AACTACATAAGCAGGCTTCGTCAGTCAAGAAGCTACTCAAAAAGGGTTCTCAAAGTCCTTCAACACCTTCAAAACGGGCGCTACAGCAGATAATAAAGGGTTGTGAGATAGCTCTATACAACGCTGCTATTCTAGCACAGGAAAACCACGATCTCCGTATGGCAAACGAGAAAGAGAAGCAGAAACGAGGGCGATCAAGGCGCCAGATGTCTCCTAATCAAGGCCTTTCTGTACAGGAAGCGAGAGATCTCATACACCAGAGAAACGAGCAAGGAGATGAGATACAGGAGATAGCTATGGGTTCTGCATCTCTACCTTCCAACGCGCCAAGACGTGCTCCACCAACATGTTCTAATTGCCATATTCAGGGACATATTAGAACTGGTTGTCCTACACGTCTAAATATATAGAACTCAATGAAATACACGTGTTTTGGTTGTTGTGTATAGCTTCAAGTTTTCGACCGCGGTCAGAATTCGATGTTGGTGTCCGGTTCGGTCGGGTGTCCGGTTCGGTTGGGAATTACGTTAGGTGCTTATAGGCTGACTAAGGCTCCAAGCGAGGGCGCCAGGCTAACCCGAAATGGTAACCTTCCAACATGTCTGTGTATATATTCTTGCCGAGTCTACCTCAACCACACTGCTTTTATAGAAGAGAGCTGATTAAATGGTCTTTTGGTCATTTCACAACTAGAGAATTTCCCCTGGTCATTGGTTTTACCTTTTCTTCATCAATTTAAACGGTGGTGTCTAAGTAAGCTAGGAATGGCGCGACCACGGTGAGAATTACCCGCGACTTAATCCTTGACTTAACTCATACAGATACCTAAACAGCAGGTGAGTGTCAGCTAGCACTGGTGGTTGACATAATCATACATAAGTAGTAATAATTTCCCTGGATATAATGTACGGATGAAAATGCATCTCCACTAAAAGTAGTAGAGAGGTTTAAAAAAAAATATTTAGTTTTCAATCGGTGCAATTCCCAGTTTATAAAATAGGAACATCGGATCCTACCTTAAGGCAATTGGCTCAATAAAGTACTGCCTTAGCTAGACTAAGGTGAAAGTACTAAGCACCTCTCATCCTATAGCCCTTGGAGCCGCTCTTTTTTTTTTTTTGAATACGGGTGATGGAATAATGAGTCGAGTGGTAGAAAACAGACACCACTATTCTTGGCTGTTTTGAAGTCATAGAAATGTTAATAGTCGAGAGATCTCTTGACTATAACCAATTACACCCTTCGAAGACTAGTAGCTCTTAAAATGAGATTCTTGCCCAGTTTAGGTTCAGTATGGTCTGAAACGTAATTTATCCAGCCAGCAGATGGAAATTAAGTCAGCCCACAACATGATATTGAAATCCAAAGAGCTCTTTGTATAATGTCTGCATATTAAGTGGTTAGACAGACGTACAGTTCTTTCTACATAAATAATAATTAATGGTGTGAACCCCCTAATAATACAGGTTGCCAACTGCCTTCACCTGTTTCCCACAATCTCTACCGACTGGGACATTGCAACCGTCTTCCGAATTCCATCCGTCTCCTCAAGGCCACGTAAGCTGGAAGAAGACCCTCCCTGAGCGGACAGACTATTTGGAAAACCCTGGGCATTGGAGATCAAACCGCTCTGGTCGGAACAAAAGTCGGGATGATTTGGCTGATTCCCCACAGCGCCGGGTTCATTCCATGTCTCATCAACGTTCCTCACTTTGCTGAGCTGATAACCGGAACCGTGGGATCGTTTCTTCGACGAGGGTCCGCTGTGGCCAACACGGCTGACCAGAACGTTCAAGGCAGGGAGGCAGGCGCAGATCAACCCGACGCCGCCTTCGGCATTGCTATGTTGATTTTGGAGTCAGTAAATGAGTTGTGCGAGGGAGCAAGGAGTTAGTTTCTGGAGAGCGTCACTTACCCCGTGAGCACGACTCGGGTGAAGACAATCGTCTGATCCGGAGAATCGCCATCTTTCACGATCATGACCAGTCGATAAAGACTGAATCCAGTCGCAAGACCTCCAGCACTCAAGAGATCAATAATCTTGAGCTTTCTCTCCATTGACATGTGGAGAGACCACGTCAAGGGCAGGGGCAGGATAAGAATCGCCAGATCGGTCACGACGCTCATCACCGAGTCTGCAGTAATAACGGCACCTTGATTGAGGCACGAGCCGCCGTGTTCAGTGCCCTCCCAGTAGGCCGAGATTGGCATACATATTCGGACCTTGATGATGAAAGCCGGAAGATAGTAACCCATCACGATCGCGAGAATGGCGTATACGACGATAACCACTTTGCGCGAGGGTGCAAAGATCCGAGCCAAGATCGCAAGTAAAGCAACTTTAACGAAGAAGGCCATGGGTGCGTAAAAAAGCGTCGCTACGTATGAGATCTGGAGGGGAAGCATCTTTGTTAATTAACTACTTACACGAAGTAGAAGAACTCGGGGGAAAGCAGCCAGAACATGATCGAATGCTAACCTTGAAAAATGTAACAAGCTCCGACTTGTAGACTTCCCATTGATGGTATCCTGCGCCATGGTGTCCCACTGTCCCCCAAAGACGTTAGAGTGAACTTCATCCAGGTTCCTCCATTAAGCAGTGAACACTCACAGAGGATTCCACAGATACAGTATCCCATAAAGAGCAGCTTACAGGCCTAAGTAAGCATCTGCCAGAAGCAACCATTCCAAGGGAAATCGGCTATACCCATCCAAAGAAACAGGCATCTGGGCAGGAATTAGCGATGAGATCGATGGTCAGAGGAAAGATTGTACTCACAATCATCAATCCCCAGTCTCTGCCGGAAATGGACCTTGACAAACAGGCGGAGAGCGGCAATAATGGAACATATCGGGATACACAGACACTGGGTCACAATGACCACTGTTCTCAAAACGTCCTTTGGATGGGCAAAATCTGGAGTCACCCCGGGAGGAGGGGGCATACCAGGTTCCGAGCCTGACATCTGGTGCTGTTGTTATATATTGACTATGGCAACAACAAAATTCACAGGATGGACCCTGAGGAAGAAATCCAAGCTCGACATCAAGGTCTGTTATCTGCATCAGAAGTCCTGCTCATGCTCACTCCCCTGAATGCGCATATCGTGCATGACGAAGCCTTCTGTGCCAACTTTTCTGACACCGGCATAGGTGCTCCCTGCCGTCGAGAAGAGATCAACACGGATACAGCCTTGTTCCAACCTTGTTCCAAAATTTTCGTAATCTTTTTGTCCACTGCTTCCGTCTCTTGACGCTTGCGTTTTCCACACTATGGAAAGCTAGCGAGTCTTCCACGCCGGCGAGGGTAAAATAAACTCGGACTAACTCGGCGACGACAGCCCTCTAGAGTTCGACGGAACGGTTAGCCTGAAGTCTCCATCTGTGTCATGACCGCCGTTGCATCGTATCAAACAGACTTGGCTTCACGAGAAGAATTTAGTTTGGCTAGTTCAGCCTGTATCTGATGATAATTGGCTCGGGTTGATACTTCCACACATCCTGAGCCGTTAGTCCGTGGGGGCTTTTCTGCTCACCCGATGCGGGTCTCAATAAATTTTACTTTGTACAGCACAACCGCGAACAACCGCGCAATCCGCGCTCTGGTCTTCCCCGACGAACAGGGTGAGACGCCATGGCGCTGGGTTGCAGGAATCAGGGATCTTGCGTGCTTGCTGCTGCATGTCCTCAGGAGTAGCACCATTCGAGCGGTATTTTCATCTATATCACGACACTCTCGTCTAGTACAGTCGCGCAACATCATCAGAGAAAAGAGCAAAAAAAAAATGGCTGCCCCGCGAGGACCCAGTTCCAAACTTTTCCAGCCCCTCGAAATTGCAAATGGGAAGATCAAACTCAAGCACCGGGTGGTTCATGCACCCTTGACCAGGAACAGAGGAGTCCCCTTGCACGCAACCAGCACGCCGGAAAATCCCAATCGTATCTGGTATCCAGGCGACCTGATCGTCGAGTATTACCGCCAGCGCGCGACTGATGGCGGTCTCATAATATCAGAGGGCATTCCGCCCTCACTGGAGGTAGGGTGCATACAAGCGCGAAGACACATTCAGCCTGCGTTAGCTTGTGCCTGACATTCATTTTCTGAACGCAGAGCAATGGAATGCCAGGAGTGCCCGGGCTCTTTACCGAAGAACAAGCTGCTGGCTGGAAGAAGGTGGTGGATGCTGTGCACGAGAAAGGCGGCTACATCTACTGCCAGCTGTGGCATGCTGGGCGAGCCACCATTCCCCAGATGACGGGTTCCCCTCCGGTGTCAGCGTCCGCCAGTGTCTGGGACTCGCCCGATGAATGTTACTCTCATATCCCCGTGGGCGCGACGGAACCTGTTCGCTACGCAGACCACCCTCCCATCGAGCTCTCGGTGCCACATATCAAACGAACCATCCAGGATTACTGCAACGCTGCAGAGACGGCGATGAAGATCGGCTTTGACGGCGTGGAGCTCCATGCAGGAAACGGCTATTTGCCCGAGCAGTTTCTGAGCTCCAATATCAACAAGAGAACCGACGACTATGGCGGTTCGCCCGAGAAGAGATGCCGGTTTGTCCTCGAGCTGATGGACGAACTGGCCAAGAGAATCGGCGAAGAGAATCTTGCTATTCGTTTGTCTCCATTTGGTCTCTTTAATCAGGCCCGCAGCGAGCAGCGAGTGGAAACGTGGACTCATCTTTGCAAATGTCTAAAGCAGCAGCATCCGTCTTTATCATATGTCAGTTTTATTGAACCGGTGAGTATGACGCTTGCTCGCACAACCAGTCAAAAGCCGAAAGGCAGCTAATGATTCTCTCAGCGCTATGAGCAAATCTTCAGCTACGAAGAGAAGGACCGTTTCCTCCAGAGCTGGGGCCTTGCCGACGTCACCCTCGACGGATTCCGCCAAATATTCGGCTCCACGCCATTCTTCTCAGCGGGAGGTTGGGACGACACGAACTCGTGGGGCGTGCTCGAGTCGGGCAAATACGATGCATTGCTCTATGGTCGGTATTTCATCAGCAACCCGGACCTGGTGGAGCGATTGAAAAACGGCCTGCCACTCGCGCCGTACGATCGCAGCCGGTTTTACGGTCCGTTCGAGGACAATGCCATTGGCTATACGGACTATCCGACTGCGAAAGAGCAGGGTCTTGATGATCGGAAAAGATGGCAAGACTGAGGAATCTTCGGCCTAGGTAGTCTCTGTCGACGGTCGCTGAATATAAGCTAGAGAACACATGCTGTGCTGCACTAAAAGAAATAGGACAAGCTATTCGTACCTTTCTGCCGAGAATCATCTCACTTGTCGAATTTGATATGCAGTGATTGGTTATACAGCTCTACAAGAAGCAACTCTAAACTAGCGTTAATGTCACTGCAATTACATTTCAAGCTAAAAAAAAATTGAAAAAAAAATTTATCCATCCCTACTTGGGCCAATCCTGCTGGATGGATCCAAGCAGCGCAGAGAAGAACAACACACACGGTCAGGCCTGAGAAGTCAAGATTTGGGGAAATGGGCAGCGGCGGGATAGACTATAGCCATTAGCAGCAAGTATAGCTGAAAACACAAAGAGGACATGTTATCCATTTAGAATATTGCAAGTATATAGGAAGATTAGGTGAATATCTAAGTATGCAGTACCGTCTCATTGACTCTCACCATAAATCCGCATGTGGCAGCGAAAATATATATATTTCTCTACTATTTTCACCACGCATATTAAATTAACATAAAAATATATAAATACTAGTAAACTAGATAATGTAACATACGAATAGTGAAATTTATAAAAAAAATTAGTTAAATTAGTATTTAGTTTGCCATCTTCTGCCTTAATCACAGCCTCGACGCGTTTTGGCATGCTGCAAATTAGTCGCTGAATAAATCATCTTCTAATGCCGCTTTAGGGTGACAGGGGTGAGGATTTCCCGCAGCAACACAACAGCCACCTCTTTGACTACTACACGTTCCCTCCATCACTAGTGACAAACCAGATGCCTGTCAGCCAGCACTGCTGGTTGACATAATTGTACATATCAGCTGGTATTTTGCCAGCAGAAGTGTACAATTGATTGACCAACCTCTTCTGTTTCTTATTGAACGCCTCTTCACAACACTCACAACCGGTGAAAAACTATGGCAGGAACTTGAATCCTAACAAGCATGTCCTTCCCCAAGCTGGCTGTAGGTACTCCAACACAAGCTCAGCTTCGCCCAGTGCAGCAAACTGACACTTCACAGTCGTCGCCAGCGCTCGATTCCATTGTCCGCGGCTACTTCTTCTGCCCCGGCTCTCGATGCTCACCAACGCGCACCCGCGTCTTTTCCACGCTTCCCCGCCGTAACCAGCACAGCCAGCACGCACAGTCGCCCTCCAGTTGGGAAAATGACCCTAATTCCAACATCACGACCTCCTCTCAAATCAATGAGGCCTTCGAGGAAGCCCTTCGTCAAATCGTCGGGCAGTTTCGGGCGCCCATCCGGTACGCCGTTGCTTATGGGAGTGGCGTCCTTGGGCAGAAAAACACCAGCAGAAAAGGTGGGCCCGGTCCGGACTGGAGTCCACACCCAGATCCCCCGAAAGCAGTAGTGGAATGGCAGAAGAGCGGCGCGAAAATGATCGACTTCATCTTTGGCGTCAGCCATACGCAGCAGTGGCATGACCTGAATCTAGCCCAACATCCGTGCCACTATAGCGGCCTGCGATACCTCCCCTACGCCAGTGCCGCCATAAGCCGCATCCAGGACTCCCTAGGCGCCGGCGTCTATTTCAACCCTTACATCACGGTCAACGGCACGATGATCAAGTACGGCGTCGTCAACTTGGACACCCTGGCCGCCGATCTGAGCGAATGGCGGACCCTCTACCTGGCCGGCCGTCTGCAGAAACCGGTTAAGATCTTGCGCGACGACCCGCGGGTGCGCCTCGCGAGTCAAGTGAACTTGGCTTCTGCCTTGCGCTTAGCGCTGCTGATGTTGCCGGAGCGTTTCACCGAACGGCAGCTGTACGAGCGCATCGCTGGACTGTCCTATATAGGCGACCCTCGAATGAATTCCTTTCTCTCGGGCGAAAACCCGAACAAGGTCTCCAACATTGTCCGGGGACAATTGCCTAGTTTCAGACAGCTCTATGCACCTCTGATGAACGAGCTGCCGAATCTGGACTTTAACGAGTCGTCCACGCAGCGCGACATCGACGGGGGGAATGAGGACGGCTTGAGTTTGCAGCAGGACATGGATCCCGTGAAGCGCGGGGATATGGTCCTGCGCCTGCCGCGCGCGTTCCGGAGGAAGCTATACGACCAGTACAAGAAGTTTGGCGTTCCTGCGAACTTGGATAATGGTGAGGCAGGCGAGTTCGAGCAGCGCATTGCCACGCACGAAGACCTCCCTGCCGTGATAGGCAAGTGTGTGCGGGCTACCGTGGCGTGGCCGAGTACGATTGAGGTCGTCAAAGGCGTGTTGACATCGGGGGTGGGGAGAAGTTGGAGGTATTTTACGGACAAGAGAAAACGGAGTCGGGAGAGATAACGGCTCTCTCACCCCGATGTTGTCTGTATAAAATCCAACGGCCTGGCAGCATTGGATGGCGTGCTTTATCTCAACCGAAGCGAGGATTGTCCAGGAGGAGGCGCTTCAGATCAAGTCTCCTCAATGTACCAGGAAGTGATGACAGAGATGACATGGCTTCAAGACAGTCGATGTTTCCATCTCATGCCATTCTCCAGACTTCCGGCTATGGCCATGGGGATCCGTCAAGAAACCACAAGCGTGAGACATGGATTTCTCGCCGGCCCGCAGATATCATTGCCTCTGCATTGATGTCCGAATCGTGTGTCTGCAGTAAAAGAGGTGTCCATGTTCCCAAACTGGCACTGCGACATCCAGAAACGGAATTTCTCGCCTTGTATGTACTCTCTTGGGCTCATATTTTGAAAACAAACCTTGCCCATGCTAGATAAAAGATCATTCTCAAGGCTCCTCCGTCGTTGTCTTTGTCCTCATGCAAATTAGTCTCGATTACGCACGCCGCAGGAGCTTTTCTGGTGCAAGGCTATTACTAAACTTGGGATTCTCAGGCAGTAACAGGTAGTCCTGTGAACCTCTATCCTCTCGCGAACCACAGATCGAATCGAGCAAGTCATGCCCTTCTGCCATACAGTATATACAAACGAGATATGAATGACTTTTTGGTCTGTTTTTTACCCCGACGAGCGAGTCTCAGCACGAATACTCTTCTACTCAGCCGCAAAGGCGACTAGGAACGACATGCCTCCCATCGCGATACTGAAAATCCACGCGTCCCTCAGACCAATCATGTACGCATTGAGGACGTCCTGGAGGATCTGCGGGTCCGGAAACGCCTCTCGAAGACCCGTAGCGCCAGCCTGAAGCACGCGTGCGCCGAGCTGTGGCGGTAGCTGCGCGACCATGCGGTTGTTCATGATGGCTTGGGATGATGAGACGCCGATGGTGCCACCGACAAATTGGGAGACTGACGTTGTCAGTAACAAAATATCTACCAAAGGGTGGTTAGGACTTGACTTGCATAGAACCGATGACACGGCGACGGCCGTATCAGCCCGTGAAGAAATCGCCTGTGCCACGATCAGCGGCACCTGCATGGCCGCGCCGACTCCTATGCCGGCAATGACCTGGTATCCGAGATAGTGCGCGGCCGGTGAGGAGATTTGCAGGGTGTAGATCATGGCCGAGCCAACGGTGGCCAGGACAGCACCGAAGAACAGGAAGGACGAATAATAGCCTACTTTGCCGATGGCTGTGGAGCTGATCAGACCTGAGATTGCTGGCATGCGCTTCTCGTTAGTAGGGTCCAAAGTCTACTGAAGACCACACGTACACATTGACAGCACTGTCGGCAGTGTGCGGAGACCGCTTTCCACCGGAGAAATCCCCTGCGATGCCTGGAAGTAAATTGGCAGATTGTACGTCCGAGCGAACTGACCGGCATTGGCACTACACCAACGTTCTGTCAGCAATGGCTACGTTCGAGAAACGGTTTCTATGCAACGTACAAGAAGCTGTACGCGGTGCAGAGAGCAATGCTTCTGCGTTTGACGATTCTCCCCACCAACAGAGCGCGTTCGCCCTGCCGCCACTCGAGAATCGCAAAGGCAATAGCCAGGACTCCAAAACCGACAAGCAAACCAATCGAAGTGCTTGAATTCCACGACGTAGTCAGACCGCTGTTCTGCAGCGTCAGACAGAAGCATATCAGTGCGCCGAGCAGCAGAACCATTCCAGGAAAATCGAACGCGAGCACACTGCGCTTGGCGGTTTCGCTGGGCGGGATGGCATGCTTCGGAGCGCGAAAGAAAGCAAGGATGATCAGGAATGTCGTGCCTCCGAGGGGGAGGTTGATCCAAAAGCTGTCAGAAGGATTAGCAATACAATATTTCTGCAGACGGGGGGCTATATAACCCACCACCACCGCCACGACACATCCTGCGTAAACGCACCACCAACAATCGGCCCCAGGACAGACGCACAGCACCAGATGAGTCCAAACGACCCCATAACAGCAGGCAACCACTTCGGTCGTATGATATACGCGCAGATCGTGTAGCAGCCAGCAGTCAGCCCCGCCCCTCCAGCACCCTGCACCGCGCGTCCCACGATGACAGTCGCGCTGTCCCTCGCGACGGCGATGATGACGCTCCCGACCTCGAACCAGAATATGCTCGCCAGGAAGACGGCCTTCAGGCTGAAAAGCTTGTACGCCTTGCCCCAGAAGGCCTGAAAGGCGGCTAGCGTCATGAAGAATGCGGAGCCGTACCACCCGACTTGGTCGACGCTGTGGAATTCGACTGTTATCGTTGGGATGGCTGTTGCGATGATGTTCTGTGGAAGTTAGTGTCTACTTATACACATGTAGCCAGAGGCGTTAACGTACCATATCGAGAGCCACAAGAAACATGGCCAAATATAACGCGAGGACCAGCAAGATCTGCAAAAATCCATTTGGATAGGATGTAGATGTCTCCGCGTTGTCACTAGGAGGTAGATTCTGGGCAGGTTCTGGTGTTTCTTTTGTTGCGTCGACTTCATGTCCAGATGATCGAACTGGTAATGATGGTTCTTCAAGCTGTGCCTTTGACTTGGAATGATCTGGAGCCATGGTCTTCATCTATTGATATGTTGTCTGGTCGGAGGATTCGTAAAAAAAAAGAATAGGATACGGAGAGTGAAATGGAGAAGGTAGTTGTGTTCAATACGTTGTCTGGTTTTTTTTATGGACATATAGTACTCTAGGTATCTGCTGCTAATTGTTCAGCTGTTAGATTAGCACCGGAGGATTTTGCGATCCGTATGCCGGCCGTCCATCTAGATATATAGGTACCCCTGTACTTCAACTCCAGGGACGTAACAGAGGGCAATTCGTCGATTCTGAGTGGATTTTGCTTATTATAAAAAGAAAGAAAAAAAAAAAGACACTTTCCCACTAGGTAAGATCATTTCACGAAACCGTGTCTATATAAGTACCGTTACTGTTTCATCTAACTGTTCCTGTGAATGCCGCACTCTCTTCCAATAAAATACTTTTCTACTCAAAACCCTCAGTTAATGATTCTATGTATGTACAGTACAGTACATAGGTACACTACAACACCACCTCCTCCCTCCTCCTCCGAATCTCCACCTTCATCACCGGATCCGCATCCAGAAACACTCCCATCCTGCGCACCTGCGGCCGCTGCCCTTGGGGAATCCTCCAGTCGTACTTGAGCAGGATATGACTCAGGGCAATCTTCAGCTCGTGCGCGGCAAAGAAGCGGCCAGGACAGGCGTGAAGGCCGTAGCCAAAGCCGAGATGGTCGGGACTGGTGCCGACGAGACTCGCGGCGGTTTCTTTAGTAGGATCTGATCGCATGCGCAGGAAGCGATATCCGTCGTACTGTTCTGGGTTTGCGTATACGGACGAGTCCCAGTGTCGGTCTGCTAGGACCATTATGGATGTCCCCTTGGGCAGTCTTGTCCCGTCTGATAGTTGGACGTGGTCGGTTGTGATGCGGCGCATACTTGCTTAAAAAAATGATCCTGTCAGTTTACCATTTATCTGGCAGATTGGGAAACATGACATACTGATGCCAATAGGCTTGAGCCGCTGCGTCTCCTTAATGACACTGTCCAGCAACTTCAGACTCTGCTGCGACGAGAAGCCCTTCCATCCTTTCTCGCCAATCTCGCTGATGACTTCCCTGCGCAACGGGTCGATCAATTCCGGGTGCTGGGCGAGTTCGAACAGGACCTGCGTCAGGAGATCGGTCGTGGTATGCGCGGAGACAAAGACCAAAACCATCTGCGCGATTGCAGGGTCGTATGGCCGGCCTTTGGCTTGATCCTCGAACCACTTGAGTGCGTCGTTGTGCTGGGCGGCTTGATGATCCGCGCGACGCTTTTCGAGAACGGCGTTCACGATTGCGCGCGCTTCTTTGACCGTCGAGCGAAGCTTGCGGCACGAGGGCAGAAACCAATGCACGATCGGTCGTGCGGCAGGACTCCAGGCGCGCATCTCGTGCACTGCTCGCATGGCGTGGACAGTGTACTCGGTGGAAATCTTCAGCCAGGAAGGATCACGGCACAGTTCAGGACCGGTGAACACGCGCGACGAAATGCGGGCGACGATTTCGAGAACCATCGCCTTCAGCGGGACGAGATGCCAGTCTGTCATCTCCTTTGGTTAGCTGATCATCTCCTGATCAAGAGAAACTTGGATCATCACCTTTTCTGTCAGTAAAAGTCTGCTCAAGCGCGAATGCAGTTTCCTCAGACAGAGGCTCGGTGACCTTCGCTAGATCCTTGTTCAAATGTAATCGAATCACTTCTTTGAGGATATCCGAGTCTTGGGCACCTTCGGAGAAGACCTCAAAACCGGGGTACCTCGACATGGTATGCTGCAACACATCAGTGTTTCAATATTAGTTCGGTGATTCTTTAGCCAGACCACAAACCTCCGCCATAAACCTCGCAAAGCTAAGACGAGGATCATTCCTAATCTCTGGAATAAACTTTGGCATGAGCACCGTCAGGCGCCCGAATTCCGAGTTGACTTGGAAATTCCTGCTTTTTCCGTTTCTCGAGTTCTGCAAAAAGTTGTCGATGATCCCTCTTGCATTGTGGACAAAGTCTTTTCTTGCGCTGGCGACGGACAGTCCGAACAGTTTCCCTGGGTTGGCGACTGAAAGATTGGGTTGGTTGGAGTGATGATTAAGGAAAAGCAACAAGGGAAGAAGGACTAGAAGAGCAGCTACGATATAGGATTGTGCTGGCAGCCAAGTGGCGTTGAAGATATTATCCATGACTGTAATGGCTTGGTGGACGGAAGATGGCTCAAGGAGAGGTAATCAGAACGAAATACGGAAGAGGGTGGAGGTCTGGCAGGTATATATACCTGTCACTGGCGGAGCTCAAATTCCAGGATATTGTGTCCAAAATATGCTGACGCATCGCATATAAAGCTTAAAGCCCATGTCAAGTGTCATGCCTAGTTCTTGACCTTCCCTTACTGGTGGGAGGAGACATGGTTCACTGTTTGCGAAACCAACCTCGATGTTCTACAGTTGCATGAGATCAAGATTTGCAGTCGTGAGCTTGCAATATATGGCTACAGACTTCTTGCCGTTTATCTACACCTACGGTGCCGCTGCATGCGTCCGGCATACAGACCTGCAATGGAAGCAACGCCTAGCCGAGCATATTCGTATTCTGCTGTCATTGGACCTGACCCAGACAGATTTGAATCTACGTCTCTCGCCTCTTGATCTCAATCATGGCGCCAAAATCCGGATTGACAAGCAGCTCATTGCTCCAGGTTTTCGGCTTCACGCCGTCCTTCAAGCGGATGTCGTAGTTGCGGAGAATCTCAATGATGATCGCCTTGATCTCGTAGACGGCGAAGAAGCGTCCGGGACAGGCTTGGTAGCCGTGGCCAAAGTTCAGGGATTCCTGGGGGTCAAGTTAGTAAGCGGTTCGCCCAGTCATGTTTTTGCTCATACCTCGTTGGTCAGGACAGCCTGGTGTTTCGCCTCGCGACCTGGAATCTCGCGTAGTCTGGCGAAGCGGAACCCGTCGAAGACTTCTGGGCCAGGATTCCCTGTTTCGGCGTTGTACTCTGGGCTCAAGAACTCCGTTGAGGTTGAGTTGCTGACGGTGGTTAATTGTATGCACAAGTACAGTACAATGGACCGGAGCAGACTCACTAGACCCCCCACAGCGGCCAGGCGACCAAAGTGCCCTTTGGCAAGGTGACGCCGTTAGAGAAAGTATAATCCGTCAGACAGGTTCGAGCGCCGGTCACTACACTGTCAGTGCAAGGCGGAACAAGGGCCTGCAGGTATCAGCCTACCAAGAATCAGCGGACTGCAGCGTTGACTCTCCTTGAGGAAACTATCAAGCTTCCTCAGCTTCTGGAAGGAGCTCTTCGTCAGGTAAGCGTGTCCTTTCGCGTCCTTCTTCAGGCCGTCTTCCTTGATGACCTGCTCCAACTCTTCTCGCAACGGCTCAATGTGCTCAGGGTATGTTGCCAGGTGGAAGAGTGCCTGCGGGACCAGTTAGACAAGCTATCAACTAAGCGCACCAGTACTCACAAATGTCACCGTCGTCGAGGTGCTGTGTATCGAAACAAAGGATAGCTGTTCCAGTCATGAGCAAGCAGCCTGTCCGCACGCCATCCACGGTCCCTACCTACCACCATCTGGTTGATACCCACGCGCTCGGCATTCTTCTGTTTTTCAGGCATATGATTCAACAACCACGAAACGAAGGCGCCTCTGCTTCCTGCTTTGATCGGTTCAGATTTCTCCGAATTATGCCTTTTCAAGACATCTGCCACTATGGGGGCCATCTTGTCGCGGGCAAATTTCAAGTCTCTCTGCGCCTTTCGCACTTCCGGCAGGAAGGGAACAACAAGCGGACGAATGAGAGCGTTCCATTTCTGAGAAGCGTAGGCTACGGCCATGCAGTCCCTCGTGTAGTTGATGGAGGCCTGGATCCACTCCTCCTCGCGAGACAGGGGCAGGCCGACAAAGATGCGCCCACTCAAGGTGGCGACGAAGCGTAGCATCTTGGCGTGGACCGGGATGGGCGTCCACTCTTTGGGCCTACCCAACTCCTTTTCGAAGGCATAGTCGCACTCATCCTGTAGTAGGGGGAGAATGTCGGCGATGCTCTTGGTCAATTCGTCCTTGATGGTAGCCACTACGGGTTCCTGGTGTACACCAAGATGGGTGTATCGCCCTTGGAACATCTCGTAGACGCTCGTCAAGAATGAGAGCTGGCTCGTTGGAGCAACCATGGCATCTTTGTACGTCGACATTGGCATTATCACGCGGGGTGGTTTGACAGGGATAATGAACGGAGTGTCAGGATACTTCACACAGCACAATCTGTCAGCGTGAAAGTCGTAGCACAGCTGCAATATCTTTACCTTCCGGTAGCCCTCGAGTATCGCATCTGAGTAGTCCGCTTTACCGGGTTCTCCCATGACGGGGAAGTCGAGCTTGGGTCTCGCTCTCCATGCGCGCAGCTTCTGGATGAGCCATGCCACGCCTAAGAGGATGGCGAGAAGCCAAGTGTGCTGCGGCAGTGTATTCAGCGACATGAGGTGTCTGTCGCTCGTCGTTCAACACCAGGTATGTACATTGAGCATGGAACGATTGAGAGGTTGGGGGCTCCAACCTCCCAAGAGACAAACATGCAAGCCATGATATATGAGTGCTACTCGAGCCATGACTCGCATCTGTCCCGCTTTTTGCGATGCCAACGTACTGGAAGTAAGCATTGCTATTGCTAATTGATAATTGATTGCGAAGTGTTGGTTGACGCCTTTCCATGTTAGGAGAGAAGGCACGGGACCCGCCAATCATGTGCTCAGATCACGCATTTCCTTGATGGATTTCATGGAAATCTAGCGTCCTGCAACTTCGTCCTTCTGCACCATTTGCCAGAAAGGGAACTGCTTCGAGAGAATGGAATGATGATATCGCTGGAGATTTCGCAACCTTTACCGATCTCACCAAAGGACTCAGGCGGGGAGTATGGATAAGACGATAGATGGAACTGATACAATTTGGATCGATGAAGATTATTCAGATTTTGGCCTCGATCGCAGGTTGTACACATGCACATAAATCTGCTGGGGCTGCCGTTCGTTTAAACAAGTCGTGCAGCTGTGCATTGTGCTGCGACCAAGCACACGATATCAACTAATTGCCTCTAAACTTCCCAAACATGGCCACGAACGGGGTTCATGTCAATGGCAGTGTGTACACAAACGGCGTCAATGGGCACTCGGGCAGCGTCAACGGCATTGGGGACGGTGGCACGAGAGCCTCAGATGCATCTCTCCTGCCTGAGCCCATGCCAGTTGCCATCTGTGGCATGGGCCTGAGACTGCCCGGCGGCATTCGCAATGACTCAGACCTCTACGATTTTCTGGTCAACAAGAAAGATGCGCGAAGGCTCGTGCCCAAGGACCGTTTTCACATTGACAGCTTCTACAGCCCACACGCAAAACCTGGAACGATCATCACCCAGTATGGATATTTCCTCGAGGATGTCGACTTTTCGAAATGTGACCTCTCCATGTTCAACATGACGCCTGCTGAGGTCGAACGCCTTGACCCGCATCAACGGATACTCTTGGAGGTCATCCGCGAGGCCTTCGAAAGTGCAGGGGAGGCAGATTTCAGAGGCAAGAAGATTGGCACATATGTGGGTAGTTTCACTGACGACTGGCTGGACCTTTTCGGCAAGGATGTTCTCGATTTCGCGCCGTATCAGCTCCACGGAAAGATGGACTTTGCGCTTGCGAATCGGGTCGCCTATGAGTATGACCTGCAAGGGCCAAGGTACGTTCAAATGCCGAAACCGGAGCAGAAGCTGACCTGTTGCAAGCATGACAATTAAAACGGCATGTTCTTCTTCTGCGCTGGCCATCCACGAGGCCGTGTATTCCATTCGTTCGGGGGAGTGCTCGGCGGCCATCGTCGCCGGATCCAATTTGAACCTGGTCCCCGGCTTGTGGGTTGGAATGAGTGCGCAGATGACGCTTGCGCCGGACGGTTCGTCCAAGACCTTCGATGCGTCTGCCGACGGATACGCAAGAGGAGACGGTGTCACGGCTCTCTATGTGAAGCGACTCGATGAGGCTATCCGAGATGGCAACCCCGTTCGGGCCATCATCAGATCCACATCCAGCAATGCCGACGGTAGGACGCCCGGCATGACCATGCCGAGCACCGATGCACAGGAAGCTCTTATTCGCCGTTGCTACGAGGCGGCATGTCTAGACTTTTCTGGGACCGCCATGGTCGAGTGTCACGGCACCGGCACTGCCGTTGGCGATCCTATGGAGGTTGCGGCCGTCGCAAGATGCTTCGGCGAAAAGGGCATTTACATTGGTTCGGTCAAGCCGAACCTGGGGCATGGTGAAGGTGCCTCTGCAATTACCAGTGTTGCAAAGGCCGTCTTGTCTCTCGAGAACAAGACGATTCTCCCAAACATCAAGTTCAACACGCCAAATCCCGCAAGTAAGTGTTATGACTGCTGGTCCAGGTCGCACGTCGATCTTGGACATGATTGGAGGGTAGCAAAGGAGAGAGATCTCAGTATCCTAGATATGTCTCAGAGTAGGAATGTAGCAGCCTGCATTCCAATACCCATCCATTGTGATCAAGACAGTCTCTATATGTGGACTTCTTGCCACATCTCGGGCGAAAGAGAAGCGGGGTCATTGCGAGTCATGCAGATGGCACAGTCTGTCCCACTACCCAATTCGGAAAACATAATTGTCACGATAGCCGAACAGCCACGAAGTGGCGTTCAGGATAAGTGACGTTCCTCAGTGAGTCAAGAAATATACAACTGGACAACTCCCACGTTTACCATCAATAAATCTTACAACCACGCCAACTAACCCATTGGTTCTCGACCACATTCTACAAGTCCTCTAATAGTTCTCAACATCCGCACTCTGTAAAAACCCCTCATTTCTCCGCATCCCCCCATAGTAACATCAATATACTATCCCACCACTTATATGCATCGCTGCCCATGACAGCCTGTCGGGGCGAATCCGCTATCTCGTGACGTGACACATGGTTCGGGCACCCTTGCTAGGGTTCCCCCCGTTGGGCTTCGTGCATTGTCGTCATGGCGGCGCTGATGTCGACGTGCGAATAATATAATAGATCGAGTTCTTCTGAGGGGGTGGACCATGGTGGAAAAGTCGGTTATGCGGATGTCGGTTAATAGGAGACCTTTGAGCAGGGAAGATATATATATCTCGCTGCGTTTAGCCGCCGGAATTCCCCCAGGCTCGATACAGGTGGACTTAATCTCCGTTTTGCAGACAATATTACAATTGATAGATCGATTGATTAATTGATTATTTCCGCATTATATAATAATAGAAAAAAAATAATAAAACAACAAAACTCCACACTCTTCGGAACTCCGAGTGTAAATGTGCTGAACTCCGACTAACGCCCTGCAGGGAATGCCGGCAACTCTCCGCATTTATTAATTAATTAATTCTAGGAAGTGAATGGGTTCCTTGTCTTGTGTCATTTCTTGAGTGTTGATCACCTGAATCGAAACCTGGGTGGATAGGAGAAAAGAAAACATATGGATAAAGGGGAGAGAGACATTGAAGAAATTAATATTAATCTAGCTGACTGCAAACAAAATATCTATATCTGCTGTTTTATATGTTCAACTAAGCTCAGAGCTGTAGCTAGATAACTTTTTGACCAGAACCTAAACAACTATCTTGTGGGAGTTAATTAATGCCAATATTACAATTTTCTACGCTAATTGCACTAATTAAGTTCCTAGATGCTAACAAGGGGCGACCATTTCAGCTCTTTGACTTTCCCCCACCTGTGGATCTTTGCGATATAGATTCTGACAATTACAGCTATAGAATTAAATGCAATGACGCCGATTTAGATCCAGATGTTGCGATACTTGTGGCGGTTGTTGTATCAGAAGGGTTGGTACTATCCTGTTACGAGGGATTAGTAGGACTCCTTTCATAGAGCACATGGCCTACGTATTCCTGGTCATTCCTAGACAAAGAGTATTGGTAGCTACCACTGCCCGCAGGAGCGACTGCGCATATGCGCCGCAGATGGTGCCCTCCAAAGCATCAGTTGGTCTGGAATGGCACGCCGGAGTCCAATGTGCAGTACCTACGAGAGTACTAGGTGTCACCACTATAAAATATGGAGTATATCACAGCCATACCGGAGTGCGCCGGGAATTTCCAAGAATGGAAACTGGCCAGGCTGGATTTAGGGCGCGGAGCGGAGCGGAAGCTAAACCCCAAGAGGCAGCGGAGTTGGCCAGAGCCTTCCCAATTGGGAGGGCGGAGAGGATTGATAGTTTTCTAGATAGGCGAGAATCCTATACCTGGATACTGCGTATCATATTGATGCCCCTAAACGGGACTTTTCTGCTCCTGACAGGGTTGATTCCCTTAATAAGATCTCTCACCATAAAAGTAATCTGTTTGAGTGGCGGATCGACAAATTGCCTGCTTCAGGGGCATCCGTTTCAACCTTTCAGGTTGGTATTGGACTGTTTGAGAAATGCCAGGGAGCGTAGTTAGTAACTAACTCGAGCCAAGAAAGGGAATTATCCATATATCCTTGTACAGATATACGGATACTAGGATCTGACTCTGCGAGGTGGGAAGTGTAGGCGCCTCGAGCTCATTCTCTAGGCCGTTCTTGCGCCGGTGATAGTGCCAAACCGAGGTCGCGTCGTCTTCGGAATGACTCTGATGTTTGCTTGAAGATCTAGAGCCAAGCAGGGCGCAAAGAGCGAGAATAATGTCCACCAAGGGGGGTGCTTGGCGGGACCACTCCATTGTTTGTTGGCGACGAGTCGGTCAATGAGCGTCAAAATGGGTCATAAGTTCACCCTCACAAAGCATCGGCAAAAGAGGGCGATATGACTGCCAGAAATAGCTGATATATTGTAACTTCTGGGCCATTGATAGCCTTATGCTGGAAGGATTCATCCCAGCTAGCATTCGACACGTCTGCAATGACTTTACACTTGACTCTCTTTAAAAGCGAAACCTAGGCAACTGCCGTGTTATCTCTCCTTGCGAGCCTCTCTGTCCTCCAATGCATTCCCTTCTTTCTGATGAGACAGACCGCAACAACTCCACAGCTACCACTCCAGATCCCTAACACTGTAAAGTACCAGCCTCTACCTGCTGCATTCAGCAGTGGCTGCAGGACAGCAACACTGACAGCAGCCATTGCACATCGAGTGATGCTTGCCGCAGCAGCCGCCGTACTCGGACTCTCCGGAAACAGATCAACAAGAAGCGTGTTGTAGGTCGTGTAGAAACACGTCCCCCAGAACCCTTGGACGAATTGCAGGATCAACGGAATCGAGACATGTGCGTGCTTGGTCACCGCCCATCCATATCCGATCAGCGTTGCGGTCGATATGGCAAGTAGTGTCAAGCTACCTCTGGATCGCGCACGCTCGATGGGGAAGCGCGAGAGATCATCGCCGGATACGCGGTCGACCGTCCAGCCTAGCTGTCTTGCGATAAAGCGGTAATTGTAGTCCATGAGTTTGCCGTTGCAGTAGCCTCCAACGATAATCCCTCCGCCGCGAGGCAGATACGATAGACCGATCTGGAGCTCGTTAAACCGGTAGATATCTTTGTAGATATCGGGGACCGCGGCAGCAAGCGAGTAGTCCACGGCATAAAAAGATCCGTGTATCCACAGACAGAGAAAGGTGTCCCAGTAGAAGATAATGCGTAAGCAAGCCAATGGATTTGGAATATGCCACCTGCGAGAGGCATCTTGTCTCCATGTTGCGCCCACCTCATCCATCCTCTGGGCTTTGAAAAACCTCATGACTAGCGTCCACCAGCTTTCTTCCCACCAGTTCTGCCTTTTGCCATTGCCCACAATACTTCTGGCTGTCTCAGGAAGCAGAGCGCCAACACTCAGTATCAAAATTCCCCCGACAATAACCAACGCCCAGAAGACCCACTGATAGCTTCCACTTTTGTACGCTACGAAACCCCCTACGATCGGTCCAACACATGTCCCCAGATTCAAGGCCATGCTGACTCTGCCAAGCATGATTCCTCTGTCACTTGGCACGCAGACGTCGGCCACAACGCCATAGCTGATCGCAAACGCGGCACTAGCCCCGAGACTCTGCAGCACTCGAAAGGCGAGTAAGACACCGTAGCTGTTCTTGTTAATTGCTAGCCCCAGGTTCCCCATCACGTAGATGGAGAGCGTCAAGAGATATAACGGCCGGCGGCCAAGGGAATCCGACAATGGCCCGAAGATCGCCGGTGACAAGGCCTGGAAGATGATATATATTGTCAAGGTGAGATTGATCGCCTGGCCGGAGACATGGAAATGCGTTCTGAGCAGAGGCAGCAATGGGAAATAGATGGTGGCCGTGAGGGGCGAGGTAATGGTGGCAAGACCAACAAGCAAAGTAAGAAGACGCTTCTCAGTGGCTGTGAAGGTGGTGTATGGAGTAGGAGGTGTCTCTGTCGGTGTCGCAGTTGCAGGTGAGCCAGCTTGACGATGTTCTTCTGCTTTCTGCGTAATTTCCTGTTTGGAAGGCTCGCTGTGAGCATTGTTTATTGGTCCCTTTTCGACAGCAGCCATGGCCGCTGTATCAGGAGTTTTCCAGTTCTAATTCCAGCGTATGAGTCAACAAGGGAAAAAAAAAGAGAGTGTGAGAGAGGAAAAGAAATTAAAACGGCAGCAAGCTATGACTCCAAGGCGTTACGGGTTAACAATGACACAGCTGGTGGCACGTGTTCACTGCGGGGGTCAAGGCGGGGGTTGAAATCCTAGACTGGAGTCCAGCTTTCTTTGTTTTCGCTGGCTCTGTTTTCCTCTCTATGCTGGGCTTTGCAGAGGGTAGATATGTTCCACACAAGTTGGTTCTTTCAAGACTTTGGCCATAATTATTTAATTGATTTATGGGAGGAGGCAGAATAGCAATGACTAGACTAACTGTTCTACCTCCGCTTGCTATACTAAACGCCATATATACTAGTGGATTCAGGTCTCACGATCTTGTCCTCGTAAATGCGTGTCTTTTGAGCCTCGCAATAGAATGTTCATACGACGGTCTCCAGCACATCGCTCTGCCATGTCTACAACTTTGTGTGATCGCGTTCTGCTGACAGAGAAGCTCTTTCAGACGGGCTCAGCCTTGCAGGTCCAGCACCTTCCGGGAAAGGAGCATATTTGTCAATCAGATAATACATATCATCATACGCCCTGCATCTCTTTAGCCACGAAGTTTCGACTTTTCCCAAAGACTTGGGGCAAGTGTACTTACGTCTGCCGAACTGCCGTCCCCTGACTTCGATGGTTGACAGAATAGATGACATTGTAGTAGATACAATACATGCGGTTCCTGTCATCCCATTCCTGGAGAGGTTCGCTGGGTGGAAGATACCGCAAGTAGGTCTTGGTATAGATCTTGTTGTGGATCTTGTTATAGTTGCATCGCCAGTCTCCAATTTCCATCTCATTGTGAGCGTAGAAGGCAGCCGCGTCGAATATGTATATGTCGCCAGTCTCATAAGAAGTCCCCGTGTTTCCCTCCCACAGATCGGTATGGATCAGACATGGTTTCACACTCCGCCCATCTCGTTCCAGGGCCCCGATTAGTCGTGGGATGACATGGGATATAATCCTCTTTGCGAGCATGTCAAATGCCTCCCAGTAGCCATTGGTCTCCGTGTCAAGATCCAAGACATGTTGCAAGAGCTTGGTAAAGAAAACAGTCCAGCTGCTCTCCCAAGACACCGCCTGAGGGATTCGGCCCTGGCATGTCGTGATATGGAAGCCAAATTTCCCTGTCGGTGACACACTATTCTGGTGCAGTTGGGCCAATTTCGAACACAGCTTGTTCGGATCCGGAACTCGGTCACTCATCTCGATAAACTGCGACAAGAAAAAGTAGGTTGGAGGATGGTCGATCTGGTATTTGCCCCACGAATGGGGCTTGGGGACGAAGTTGGGCATGGTCTTGTACAGCTCCGACATGGAATTGAACTCGCCTTCCATCATCACACGCCCTGCTTCTTCAGTTGCGCATTTCAGGAAATAGTGCGACTCAGTGCCATCAGGGAGCCTGACAACGAGATGGGCAGTGATTGTCCAGGCCGAAGTGCCAAATCGATTGGCAGAGATAATCCTTGTGCCCTCGGGGAACTTGGCTAGCACATTGGTGTCCACTGGGAAATCCCCACTAATATGGGGCCCATCTGGCACTACAACTAGGTTGTTGAGGAGGGTGTGCACTGAAGTACTCATGCTGAGATGGGTTCCAGCAGGAAACACGGTGACTCATTGACATTTATCGACACGGGAATAGATTCTGGTATCGCTCCTGGACATCAATATGCGCTCCATAGTCAAGGAGGCCATTGCTAATAAATAGATTGCCCAGCAGTCCTCCATCCATACTCAGTCATCCTGTGCGGGGCGATGCATCTCAGCCGCAGTGACAGGGTCTCCGAGATAAGCGCTTACCCGTCCCATGCCACGGGCCAAACAGAGCGTGAAGTCGTAGCTGGCGTGCACCGCGCCAATGCACATGGCCACATTTAGTTGTCCTTGCAAGGCCAGGCAGTTCCTCACGGGGCAGCTGCGCTCTCACTATGGTCTCTGTCCGCGAATAGCACTCGACGTCTGCTGCAAACGTCCGACTTGGCTCCCTCCTGTAGAACTGTCAGCTCTGGCGTCACTGGCTGTGTGAAGCATGGATTTCCAGCGACGCTTACCATACCATTGGCACATAAATAGAGGCACGTGGCCTACCTGGAGCTGCAGTCCGCCCTCCGCGCTGATGCTTTTTGGCCTTTTCTTGAGCATGGGAAACCGCCAGGCTGTCGCGGGAGGTTGCAGACACAGAAGCATTCTGGTTAGAAGGCTGCTACTGGCTCTCTGGTTTTTATTTGTCGCCCAGACTGCCATCTCACGACAGTCGTTGCTTTGCTTCGCTTTGCCCATGGGAACCCTACCCAAGGCTGGGGACTGTCGAGCTCGGTCGGCCACCCGCTTTGACGATGGTTTGTCCTCCGCTGTAGGCATCCTGGACTCGCACTGACGATGATTTCTAGTTCAAAAGGTTTCGTTCGAGTCGATCGCACAAGCATGCAACGCAAGCAGAGGGAAAAGGCCCCGCAGCCTTGGTGAACGATGATGGCAGAGCTCCTGCCTTGGGTGGTAGATCTCATAGCAGATCCCGTGGTCTGTTTCCGGGAAGTCACGCCTCGAGTCGCCGTCCGAGTCCTTCTCCGCAACCAAAAGCCACGACGCTGGGTCTCCATGTCATCCATCGACCCGCCGCTGCTGCTCCAGTCGACATTATATTCGTTCATGGTCTTGGAGGCGACAGCAGGAAGACGTGGTCGAGGAACCATGACCCGAATTTCTTCTGGCCTGAACTCTGGCTGCCTCTTGATCCCGACATAGGAAAGTGTCGGATCTTGACCTTCGGATACAATGCCAGTTTTGGCGTTGGTGCGTCGAGGAGCACCAACAATATTACTGATTTCGCCAAGGAACTGTTGTACGAAATGGGGTTTGGTAGGGATGACCGAGGAGAAGACCTCGGAATTGGGAAAGCTCCCATCGTCTTCGTTGCTCATTCCATGGGTGGCCTAGTGGTCAAAAAGGCATATCTTCAGGGTCAGAACGATCAGAGATATCAAAGCATCGTCCATGCAATATCTGGCATCGTCTTCCTTGCTACTCCTCATCGTGGAACAGACTTAGCGACGATCCTGAACAGGGTGCTTATGGCAACGTTTCAGTCACCCAAAAGCTTTATTGACGACCTCAAGAGAAGCTCGCCGATCCTGGAAGAGGTGAACGACCAATTTCGCCACGTCGCACCCAGACTATCGATTGTGTCATTTTATGAAACCCTTGCGACTCGCGTCGGTCTGACGAATCTAATGATTCTTACCAAGGACACGGCGACATTAGGATATCCACAGGAAGTCTCGAGGAATCTCAACGCAAACCACCATGATGTGTGCAAATATTCTGGTCCTGATGATCCAAATTATATTGCCGTGCTCAATATGATGAAGTCTCTTGTTGCTCAGTTTCGACTGAAAAGGGTGGACATTGTGAACGAGCTGACGCCCGACGATGCGACCGCAGTTGAGGAACTTTTGGCAATGCCTTTTGACCCGGAAGAGGATTTCAACTTTTTTCGACATCGATGGACGCCAGGTACCTGTGGCTGGATCCTCCAAGAGCCTATTATGCAAGATTGGCTGGACGAATCCCGAAGGTCGCACATTGTCTGGTTTAGTGCACCTCCTGCCAGCGGCAAGTCCATCCTGTCCTCGTATATTATTCATCACCTTCGCGAATTAGGCGTCTCATGCCAATACTTCTTCTTCCGCTTCGGGGACCAGAGGAAACGGTCCACAAGTAGTCTCTTGAGATCAATTGCGAGCCAGTTGGCAAAAGCCAACCCAGACTTTAGGCGAAGTTTGATTGACCTTTGGAAGGCAGGACTTAGGCTCGAGAAGGCCGACGTTACCCTCATATGGCAGAAATTATACGAGTCCGTCCTGTTTAAGATGCAGCTTTCGCATCCTCTCTACTGGGTTATTGACGCTTTGGATGAATCAGAATCACCAAAGCCGCTACTTGGTCTGTTTCGCTGTCTGGAAGGATCGTCCCCGACGGTGCGTCTACTTCTCACCAGCCGAAAAACAGAGGTTTTGACTCGTGCGTTTGATCAACTCTCTCGCGTTGTTGCGGTGAATTCGATCGAAAAGGGCATTCTGAACAACAGTTCAAATGACATCCGCGCATTCGTGGAACAAGAAATCACAGAGATGCGTGGCAGTGAGAAGCTGAAACGAAAAGTTGCTCAGAAAATTATGAACCGTGCAGATGGAAACTTTTTATGGGTTCGACTTGTTCTGGAGGAAATTCTCCACTGTCACACAGAGGAAGCCATCGAGGAGACTCTGGATGCAATCCCAAGTAACATGAACAGATTTTACGAGCGCATGGAATTGGCTATATTGAATAGTGGCAGAAAGAGCGACCAGCTTCTGGCAAAGGAGTTTCTTCTGTGGACAATCTGCGCACGTCGTGCATTGACGATAAAAGAGCTTGCTCAAGCACTAAAGCCTAAATTCCCAGAATTTCTCGATCTTAGAAGAACAATCCATGAGGTTTGTGGGCAGTTCGTCGTGGTTGACCAAACAGGGCAAATCGGAATGGTGCATCAGACTGCCCGTGATTATCTGATAAAAATATCCAAATCCGAGGTCTCGATAGACCCGATCAAGGCTCACAAGAGGCTTTTTATGAGCGCTATTTCAGCCCTGCTGGACCCGGGACTGCGTATGAAAGTTACACAAGGACAATCTGCACTCCGAACAACGGAGCCATTCTTGCTTTACGCTGCCACTTCGTGGGCGTATCACCTCCAGCATACTGACGCAACCTCGAACAGTGTTTTTGATATGCTCCTTCAATTTTTCAGAGGCCCCTCCGTGCTTGTATGGATCCACTTACTAGCGCTTGTCCATCAACTAGAAACGTTGGTGAAAGCGGCCAGAGCACTTTCATCTTTTGTGAACGCAAACCGCAAAATGAATGTCACCAAGAATCCCATGCTTCATAGACTTTCGGATCTGGAATTCCTTGATCAGTGGATTATCGATCTCGTCAAAGTGGTTGGCAAATTTAGCAGGCACCTGCTATCCAACCCAGAAGCACTCTACAAGCTTGTGCCCCCGTTTTGTCCGGAGAAGTCGATTCTCCACCGGCAATTCCACGAGGTCGGATCAGCAGAGGTGTTTGTTTCTGGAATTTCGAATGAGGACTGGCACGATAACTTGGTCAGGATCACTCTCCCGAATGGCGATCAAGGCTGGAAAATTGAATGCGCAGGCCAGTATGTGGCCGTCCTGGGTTCATCTGGGACCGTGTATATCTGGCGATCTGACAACTTCTCCGATGCGTGCACCTTGTGCCATCATGAAGCAGTAACAGCGATGTGCTTCAACAAAGGTGGCAGTAAACTTATTACCTACGGCTTGCGGAGTACCAAGCTTTGGTCGATTCCTTCAGGACAGCTGTTGTCTTGCACATCCAATCCAGTTGGCAGCAGAGCTATGACGATTACATTCTCAGAGAACGACAAAAAGGTCTTGATCGGATCGAATGATCGGGTGATAAGATATCTTCTCGTTGATGATTTCGACGCAGGATGGTATGTTCTAAATCCGAATTTACTCCGTGAAACCGCCCAGATTGAAGGCGCGTTCGTGAATTCCCCCGTCTGTATTGCTTTCAATGGAGACGCATCTCAAGTTGGTGTTTCCTATCGGGGATACCCTCTTTCAGTCTGGGCATTAAACGAGGCACGATGCATTGGCCGATGCAGGAGAGTCAAAGGGCCACGAATCGATGGCGTCAACGCTTCGTCTGGCTGGTTTGCGGTCGATCGGTTCACTTGGAATCCCATTTCTGGGCATATCATCGGTCTTTACAAGGACGGCAATATATTCAAGTGGCATCCAGTAACAGACGAGACTCAAGAGGTCCAGTCGGTTGCCGATGAAATCGCAGCCAGCTCTGATGGCAAGCTCTTCGTTACTAGCAGTAGCAACGGAACTGTCAGAGTCTGGAACTTTGCTTATTTTAGCGTCATTTATCAGCTCTCTTCCTCTGATCTGGTGACCGAGTTAGCATTCAGTCCTGACTGTCGGCGATTCTACGACCTGCGAGGCCGTTCCGTCAACGCCTGGGAGTCCAACAGCCTCATTCGCTTCTCCGAGTCCGACGAAGCATTCAGTGACACATCTAGTGAAGACCAAACGTTACACTCGGTATCGCAAGCCTCAGAAGCATACCTGACGCAATATGAAGCCGTTTCGGTGCTGGCTATCGCACCTAGCAGCTCACTGTATTGTGTCGGCAACGAGGAAGGTACAGTGGATCTGTTCGATGCTCGTGCAGGAAAGGTCACTGAGCTTGCAAGTTTCATGAATATGCTCAGTGTAAGCCACCTTGTTTGGAGCGAGGATGCCAAGAACATTGCTTGTGCCGATCTTGGGGGAGACATTATTGTCAAACGCTTGGTCAGTGAAGCTGGCACTCTGAGAAGTTCTACAAAAATAGAATCCATGCCCAGCCCCAAGATCGCCCTGGAAGGACGCAGTATACACCAGCTGCTCTTCAGTCAGGACGCAAGATTGCTGCTGATCATTACTGATGACCATGGGTATGTCTGGGCAATTTATGAAGGCGTGTTGAGAGTTTCTACGTCGCTCAAAAATGGAGCGTCTCGCAGATGGCTCCCGCATCCCTTACAGAAGCATCTCTTTCTGGGGTTTGGGGCACATGACGTGAAGGTTTATCAGTGGCGTGACTTTGTAGAGCAGCCCAGCCTTCGTTACCAAGTCGATGGCCTAGACAGATCTAGGTTGTCTGCAGAAGGCAATTCAGTTCCTGATTTGGCAACACTGTCAATCAACCGCACCAGCGAGAATGGATCAGCTTCGCTGGTTAATAGGGCGATGGCAACACAGGACGGCCGACACGTACTCATTCAGATCAAAGACGGCGGCTCGGGAAAGGGACAACTGACGAAACGCTTACTGATCCTCGACAACTCGACGCCGGATTCTGCGACCGCAGAGAAGTCGACAGGACTACTAACGTTCCGTCAGATTCCGCCAGATATCGTGGCACGAGTCGAAATTCCCCTTGGCATCCTAGCGGGATCAAGACTTGTTTTCTTGGACCAAGACCTGTGGGTTTGTACGTTCCAACTGGGATCTTACATCGCCGGAGCGATCAGACGCCACTACTTCATACCCCGAGACTGGGCCAACACAGAGGCGCTGGAGCAATGTTGTATGATGGAGGATGGCACCTTGCTCTGTCCTCGGGAGGACCGAGTTGCAGTCATTACGAGCAGTTTGGTTTCCGGATTTTGAGCGGGTTAAAGGTCGACAGTATTGGATTGTGTACCACTTAAAACTAATGTTACTGTCAAGAGGCTAGATTTGGGATATTTACGGAGATTGTTAGAGAACTATCTACCATCTCACCAATCCCTCAAGTCGGTGAACGCATGCACATACATGGTACTTCCACCACCTTGTTGGAAGGATCCGGGCTTGCCAAGCTCATGGCAGCATCGCATACTAAAACGACACTATCGATCGATCGATCGATCGAGATCGGTATCCTTGCAGGCCAGATATCCCTGGTCAACCTGAAGAATGCTATTATCGGAGCCGCCCTTGGCGATCTAAACTCTGACTCTGACTGTCAATGCTTAATGCCGTAATGCATTGCTCTAAAGGGCAAGCCATGAGATGATGGAGGAAAAATCCTCCAACTACGTGCAAGGAATGGTATAACCATACCCGAGTCACGGGCATCCCATGTGACTAGGGATGGAACGTCCATGCTTCCCGTCGAGGGTCCTTCCATCGCAGATGCCGCATCGTACCGCAACACTGACGGCCTGAACCAGGCCTGGACGATTCTTCGGAATGACAATAAGGTTATGTGCAGTAATGATCAATCCGTAGTCCAGTGGGAAATATATATTTAAACTACATCCCTAGGGTGTAAAGGGCCCTACGTCCTTGTGCAGCGCTTAGTAATGACATTCATTCAGCCAATCAGCATGGGCTGCCTATAGGCATTGTATAGGATTTGTATAGCCTCTCCTACAGGCTTCCGTATAGGCTCTTCATATGGGCTTCATATATAAAGGTAGGATTCATTTGTGTTCGGCGTAGGTAGAAAAAAGCTCCGGGTAGGTAGAACTGGTAGAACTATCACCTATTTTAGAATAGTTCAAAATTCTCGGAGTGGGTAGATGCATTTTTCCGGTTGGCGCTAAATTTCCATCTACCTACCCGGAGCTTTTTTTCTACCTACGCCGAACTGTAAGCCCGCTTCATATAGTTACGGAGTAGGCTCCCCTGATAATGTAAGCGAAATCATATGATTGCCAATTCCTCACGTGATTTATCAGTGAACCAATCAGATGATAGAAAGTTATGATCGATCACATGAAGAATTTCAACCAATAAGACGAGAGAGAGAATTAGAGTCACGTGATTGGTTTCTACCAGTCAGATCGATCTCTGGCGTCTATCGTCGGTTCGGTACGGCAATACCCGCTGAGTCAGCACGTGATGAGCTTGAGCAGCCAAGGTTCAATAGCTGCATGCCGATTGCAGCTAGCTGCAAGTTAGCTCAGCTAGCAGCAGAATATATTTCTCTATTTGTCTTGGTGTTGTGTTGTTTTTGTTGTTGTTGATGATGTTGTTGTCTGTAACTGGCAGTTGGTGCTGACTGGAACGCAGCCACAATTCACTCAGTGAGTCAGGCAGTCATCCTCTACTAATTAATTCTTTCCACAGGACTTGCTCCTCTGGTTCTCGACTTGGGGCCGTGGACTGGGCGTCGCATTAAGCAGCGTCCTTGGGTCGTATCGATCGCCCCATTGCGACCCCACCGGCGTCTCTGGGGGCGAAGTCAGGACACGCAACCATCCAGCCGCACAACGCCAGTCACCACGGGTCAGCTGCCTCGCTGCTTATGCAATGCGCAGAGACGGTGGAAAGGTAGTATTACGGAGTATACTCCGTAGTCCTGTTGCAATGACTCTTTAAGTCAGGTGCGTTTTTTTGTCTCAGCTGCATGCGGCAACCGATAAGCCTTACGAGGAATGTCTCCACGCACCAGATCGGCTGTTGCCATGCAATGCTCCACCGGCCCACGCCATTCACCATGCGCTTTTCGGCCACTGACCAGCTCTTGATTCCCCTGAATGGGCATCGAAACAACCCGATCGCTGGGTAAACAGACGCACCCGGCCATCGCCGCCCCACTGCAGCGATTCTCCGCCCATCGCGTTCAGGAAGACGCCTCATCACTGACGCAAGCGACGAACTGACCCAGCGCGCTGCAATAAGGCGATCCATTAACGTGCGGGGGAGCAGCTGACGGCCTCGAGGCACTCATAAGTCTGACTGGGCCCCGTTTCAGGACAATTCACCTCGCAATCCCACCACCCTACGTGCAATGTGTCCAGCGGGCTGTCGCTATTAGTTAGTACTGCGTTCGCTGAACGGGTCCTCCTTCGTTGTTCATATTCTTTCCTGGAGCGCTGAATCCCAGGTCAGCGACTTCGATATCCCTCGTTAGAAATTATTCTGTCCATTCGCTCAACATGCCGTCGTACATCAAGTCGGCTGCGCTGCTCGCGGCGGCCCTGCCGTTCGCGGTCGCCCAGACGTACACCTCCTGCAACCCCTTGAAGCAGAGTAAGTTAGTCGACGGACTACCATGCGCTTCTGAGCTAACGTCCTGCAGCATGCCCTCCCGATAATGGCCTCAACAGCGCCGAACTTACCACCGACTTCACCAAAGGCGAGTCGCCCGACTGGAACATCACCGCCGGATCCATCTCGTACGGCCCCAACGGCGCCGAGTTCGTCATCAACAAGCAGGGCGATGCCCCGACCATCGAGACCGGCTTCTACTTCTTCTTCGGCACGGCCGAGGTGAAGATGCAGGCGGCTCCGGGCACGGGCATTGTCAGCAGCATCGTGCTGGAGTCGGATGATCTGGATGAAGTGGACTGGGTAGGATGACAGCAAAGAGTGAAAATAAAGGGCTTGACTGACGTTTTCTGTAGGAAGCTCTGGGCGGCGACACGACCCAGATCGAGACCAACTACTTTGGCAAAGGATATACAGGCTCCTACGACCGCGCGACGTGGGTGTCCGTGTCGTCGCCGCAGACGACCTTCCACACGTACACGGTCAACTGGACGCCCGACAGCATCCAGTGGCTGATCGACGGTAACGTGGTGCGCACGCTCACCCCGGCGGAGGCCAGCAACGGCCAGTACTACCCGCAGACGCCGATGCGCCTGAAGCTGGGCATCTGGGCTGGCGGCGACCCCAGCAACCCTCCGGGCACGATCGAATGGGCTGGTGGCCAGACGGACTACTCACAGGCGCCGTTCAAGATGTACGTGCAGTCGGTGACCATCAAGAACGCCAACCCGGCGGCCGAGTATGAGTATGGCGACAACAGCGGCTCTGCCAACAGTATCAAGAAGATCGGCGGCTCCTCGTCTGCCTCGTCTGCGTCGGCTACGTCTGCCACGTCTGCCACGTCGGCTACATCGGCCTCTGGCAGCAGCAGCACTGCCAGCGCCAGCGCCAGCAGCAGCACCAGCACGACCGGTGCCAGCGGTAGCAGCAGCGCTGACCCCTCGGCGACTGCGACTGCGACTGCGACTTCGACGGCGACGGCGTCTGCGTCCGCATCTGGAAGTTCTACTTCTGCAGGCATCAACCCAGTGTCGGGCCTGGGCGCCGGCAACTCTTCCAGCACCGGCAACTCTACTTCTAGCTCCGGATCAGGATCTTCCACGGGCACCAGCTCTGGCTCGGCAAGCAGCCCGTCGAAGAGCGTGGTGACCAGCAACGACGCTGTGCCCAGCACCGGATTCCCTGGATCACTGCTGGCTCTGTACGCGTTTTTGGTTGCCGTTGTGGGGGTTGTTTTCTAAACAGACACGAAAACCGAACTTGTAATCAATAATCAAGTCAGGCCAGTCAGCAGACTAGCCTCAAGACAAGTACAGTACGTACATACATACGACGGACGGACATATGACATAGGTTTGGTTTATGATTCATTCTCTGGACATGGCTTGGTTGATTGTCACATAACAACATATGTATGGGTTGGTTTGATTGGTATTTATTTATTTATTCGGTCATTCAGTCAGTCAGTCAGTCATTCTTTTGATCATGGTCGCATCCAGGCTAGGTTGTTGTATGTACTGTGCAGATGAAATAAAATAAAAAGTTTAATTCTTTGATTAATTGCTTGATTGATCGTTCTGTGTAGTTCAATGGGATCGCTAGGACCGTGGGATAGGATAGGGGGAATGGGGTTACCATATCTCTTTAAAAAAAATTTAGAAAATTAGTATCCTATTTTTCTCTTTTAGTATGATACCTTATTTGATAAAGCTGAGTTGGCACTTTTATACAGCCATTTTAGGAAATTATATAGAATTTTGCGTCCTTGGCAGGTACCTGTGGGCGGATGATCTTTATTTATACCAGATATCTGGGTAGAATCGAGCATGAATAGATGAATAAAATTCAGCGCAATCGTCCCTTGTTTCTCCTGGTGCAAACAAAAAAAAATGTATACAAATTGTCGCTGTACGATGCCGTACCTTCAACCTTCGGGTACATGGACGTCCCTTCCTCAGGTCACATGCGGAGTCCATGGTCCATCACGTGGATGGACTGCTTCCTCCGACCTCCCTGGAGTATCCTCGTTAATTGGCAATCTGCAATCAGCTGAAACACAAATTCTCCTTGAAGTGCTTTTGTCAATAGATATAAAGTGGTTTTGCCTCCCTATACCCAGACGACTCGAGGCTCTAGTCGATTCTGAACTTCCTCATGATGAAATATTTGGAGTCGTCTTCCGAATCCTCTTCAGATCCTCGAGAATCCTTACTGGCGACATGGTTTTCTCTCAGGCTCAGAGGCGTCAAACCATCTTTGTCCTTGGCCTCTACATCAGCCCCTTTCTCGACTAGCAGATCGAATATCCTGCGTTTCCCTTTCGCGGCGGCTTCATGCAATGCTGTCCTCCCATCATTATTCGTCACTTCCAGATTTGCACCGCCTTTTATCAGGACTCTTACGACGGCAAGGTGTCCATTGGCAGTGGCCATGGTCAACGCTGTCCACCCAGACTCATTCCTGGCGTCGAGCTTTGCCCCTTTGTCGACAAGAGTTCGAACCCGGCCTTGTACCCTTTGGCAGCCGCTACGTGTAAAGGCGTCCATCCACCCTCTCTTTCTGCGTTGACATCAAAACCCAGTTCTATTAACAAGCTTACCACCGCCTTGTTTCCCTTGCTAGATGCGGAGTAAACAAGTGGCTCTGCTGTTGCATTAACAGTGACTCCCATTTCGAGGAGCACCTGGATAGCGGTGACATTGCCCCCTACCACCGCCAAAGACAATGGTGTCATCCCGTTCTCATCAACTGCATCGATATCGGCCCCATGCTCGACGAGCAGTTGCAGAGTCATTCTCTTCTTGTGTGCGGGGGGTTCGGTCGATTCGGGCATCGCTGGTAGGAACAGACTTCGCGGCACGCCTGACCGGCCTAGCGCGGCCACGTGCAATTGCAGTCCTTCCTTTCGCATCCTCTGCCTTGGATATCCGCACCCATCTCGAGAAGGATCCTCAGAACGCCTTCGTGACCGTGTGCCGCTGCTAGATGGAGCGCTGTCGTCCTACTGTCGCTCCCCAACCTCACAACTGGCGCTCCACATCCGCCCCATTCTCAATAAGGACTCGTGCCACCTCCTCATATCCTCCCGCCACGGCCATGGCGAGTGCAGTCGCGCCCCAAGTGTCTTTCTCAAGAACTTCTGTGGCTGTGGCTCCGCTGTCAAGAAGGAAGCGCACCACTTCGACATGGCCACCGGCTGCGGCCCATGACAATGGCGTCCGGCCATCCCAGTCCTTTGCGTTCACATCCACCCCAGCATTAAGCATCAGCGCGACTAATGCCTTCTCGCCCAGGCCTGAGACCTGATGAATAGCTGAGGGGTCTTCTAAATCGAACGAGAGTTCTTCGAAATGCCCCTCATTGTCAACTGCATCGAGACAGTGGCTGAGGGCAGACCGAGTGATCGTACCGGTCTGGTCATCCGTTAGAAAGGGTGCTGCCCGGACCGATAATGCGAACGCAGATCCATGAGCTTTGTGCTGCGGCGCAATCAGCGCCTTGATAGCAGCCAAAACGATGTCCTGGTCTGCACCGCCGCATAGCGCTGTAACGTGATACCACAGATACTTGCAGGCATACAGGAGAAGACGGTACGGAGCCGATTTGGATGGTTCGGGGGTGCCGTCGTAGTGACGGATATATGCCAAGCAGTATTTGAGAATAAACCACTGGCTGGCTTTGTTCGTCAAACGGGAGTATGGTGGAGACACCGCAGCGCTTTCTAAGTATTCCCGGACCGACAAGTGGGCGAAGGAGATGGTCCCATTATGATTATTGGGGACGTCGTCCTGAACGGATGATTGATGATCGTCAATGCCCGATACGATCACTAGTCCGGACAGAATCCGCCGGACCCACGAGGGGCTGGTTATTGGGGGAGAATGACACTGACTATTCGTCATGCTGATCAGACGCTGACTCCTCTCTGGTGATCTTGAAAGCGGCAATTTCCGCCGCGTCGCGGAGGAGCAGAGGACGACCTGCATATGCGAGCAATCAAAGAACGGCAGTGGCCTCCTCTGCATAGTCTTCTTCATCTATGCGCTTCAAGATTCGCTGGTAGGTGTCTTCCACCGTCTTTGGCAGTCGTTGGAGGGCGCGATCAACGTCCTTCTCTCGGGCCTTTCCTGCCAGGTCCCGGATCTGGAGGTCCACCCAGCGAAAGACGCCATCGGCCAGTTCTGTCAGGTGGTTGACGACTTTGTTCTTGAGAGAATCGGACCACCTCCGGTAGGGTACTTTGGCCATGCGGTCCTGAAGGTGGGCTCGGATGTCGGCGTTGACTTTGGCAATTTCAAACGGGACGATGCTTTTCTGGTTCGGAATCTGACTAATGCTGAGTTCAATATCCTCTTCTCGCCGGCTGGTGATCAAGATGTGAATGCCGCTGGGGGCCGTGCGAAAGAGTTCGGCCAAAAAGGTGATGACGTCCTCTCGATCTGTTGTGGAGGGCCATTCGTCCAGGGCATCAACTACAATATATGTCTCTTTTGATTCGTTGAGAACGCCGAGGAACGTTGCGTCCAGGTCCTCCATCTTGGGATTTCGGGACGGTTGATACGCTTCGTACAGATCACAGAACGCCTTTGGCACGTAGAAATGGTCATGATGCTTTGGATCAGGCCGGACAAGATGGTGGACGATTTGGATCAGGATCGAGTACTTGAAATGCCGAAGGTCTTGACATTCCTTGCTCTGGAAGGAGAAGTAGAAGTAGGCCAGTGCTCCCAGCTGTTACTGCTCAATAGCATCGACGATGGCAGAGCTCAGGACAGTCTTGCCGGACCCGGCTGACACCAATCAGTCGAGGACATGTTCCATTTTTTTCATCGTTGAATTGGGACAAACCTTTGGCGCAGAGCCACAGAAAAAGACCGTCGTTGGGTCTTCCACCGTTCAAACTCTCCCCTCAGAAACCAATCTCCGGTCGACTTTGTCGTCCGGTACTGCCGAGCATCATTGTGATGATGCAGGGGGTCGACATACGTCAACCAAGTGAGGTAGGAATCCTTGATGTCTTTGGTGACCGGGGCTGCTTGTGAAAAGACCATGTAAGTTTATATTTCTGATTTAACCTGCTGGACTTTACATACAATTCCGCGGTGCCGCAGCGGCAAGAAATGCGCTCACCTTAACTGTCTAACACGAGGATCTCCCAGATAGGATTCCGTCGCCGCCTCGATCTTGTCAATCTTCTCATGTTCGTCCAAGCCCACCCCGCCCAGCCCTTGTCAACGTTGAACCGGAAGTAGCGGTCGCCAAGACCGAGATGCTTGTGATTCTGGAAGAATCGCCTCTCCGTCTCTTCTGTTTCAGTCGCGATGGCTTTCAGCGTGTTTATCACCTCCTTCAAGTTATCGCCAAAGTCCTTTGGATCCGGGACCCCGGTTCCAATGCTCACCAGGCACTGGATTCCCGGGATGGCATCGGGCCAGATCGATACCGCTTCCTCCAGGACGGCTTCGACCGGGTTGTTGAAGCCAGTCGCTCCGTCGACGTATTTTTGCCGGCCTATTACGATCGGGTCAAAGAAGGTGGCGGCGGCAGACGTGGCGCGGGCAGCTTCCCAGATGCGACATCCGGTGCTCGATAACGTCTCTACGGAGTCTTCTGTCATGTACGAGCGAAGCCGGACGGGGGTGTTGAGCGCTTTGGTGAATGCGCAGACGAACCTAAAAAAAAGCATAAAGATCAGCATCCAAGGCGAAAGCAGTCGCCTTCGCTGAACTCACACTCTGCAGGTTGTGTCCGGGTAAATCAATGTCGCCTGCTCATCTCCTTCGAGGGCCTCGGCCACCTTCTTGAACTCAGTTGCGAGCCAGTCAGAACGATAGGCGGCGTCAGCCTTCCAGAAGTCCTTTGCTTTCCCAAAGATATTTGCCTTGGACCGCTTTAGTTGGAACGCCGCAGAGGACAGCTCAAGGTATTTTGCGATGCAAGTATCCACATCCATGCGAAGTCGGCCCAGCATGATGGCGATGAGCCTGTAAATGAGCTTCGCATGAGCAGGCTCCAGTTGGGGTATGGATGGCACTCTACTCTTACCCTCCAGTGCTCGTCCCACCGATCAAATCGAAATATTCGCATGGCTTGGGTGGACTTTGTGGCCTGACTCTCTTCATCAGGTATTTGAGGATGATGAGAGAGGACAGGCCGCGGATGCCGCCTCCATCTATGAACGTGTTTGGTGCTAATCAGTAGGGGATCATCAAATCAGTACCAACTACATAACTGACCGAGCGAGAGAAGTTTCAAGGGAGGAGGCGTGCCGAACGATATGGTTGTCTCGGACATCTTGAGTCGGTGTCGAGTGCTATGAATACTCTCGACACCACGCTCAGAAATGTCGGGTATATATGCCTGACTAGAACTGGCTTCTATTCCGATCCCGCTCTCCTTCAGCCTTGTATGAACTCGACATGCGGCATGCTGTGTATTACTCGCAGTCAAGCGGGGAACTGTGCAGAGCCTTGCACGTGGTGAAGCAGCCCTGCTAGGCTAATAAAGTCATAGGTACAGTACAAGCGCCGTATTTCCGTATTTTCAGGAGTTGAGCGATCTTGTAGGAAGGCTGGCTGAGCTGCATCGCTGCCCGAGCAGGATAAGGGTTTGTCATGGGCTGTCTGGGAAGGTATGGTGATTCGCTGCGTTGGTATATTAAGTGATATTAATTGCCTCTAATCCAAGTACTTAAGTAGAGATCTAGCCTTGTGAATAAACGGATGGGCAAAATAACAATTCGGTGCAAAAGAAAAGATCACTTATGTCAGAATCTTTCTTGATCGTTTGTAATCACTGCCTGATGAATATAGTGGAAAAAAAAGAAAGGAATATGCATGAAACGTCCTCATCATGACCATCGTGCGATTTTTGTCGACGTAATGTACACAGTAATGACAAATTAAAGTCCTAGCTTGGCACGGACGAACAATCGCACCAAATATGAATTGAATGTATCGAATATATCAATAGTTAGATAGAAGAAGATTAATTAGAAAGAATCGCATTCATGTCTTCCCGGAAGGGCTCCGATTATAGCGAGTATGAGCCTAAATAAATATTTAAACGTTCTGGGCTGAGAGGGAGGGAGTCGATTAGATTTTTTTTTGACCTTCTTACCTTTCTTTCTCTTTTTTTGTTCTTGGATAATTTAAGTTCAGTTCAGTTACATTGCATGTACTGTACATACATACCTACCCATGAATGTAAATCACTACTGGTAATTGATTATTGATCGCCTTCCTTCCTTGGAATCTGGAGGGGTGCTGATAATGTTCAGATTCAGATTCAGATTCAGATTCATCGTACTGATGGGCAGTAAATTCGTTCAACCCATTTTCAATAGCGGGGATATTTGCTTGAGGACATGATGTCCTGTTCAGTACATACTGTAAAAGGTCTGGTCCTGGTCCTTCCTTGCTTTTCCTTCCTTTTAGGATGTCTTGCCTTTGTCTCGGGTACGTACAGTACGTACGCAGGTTGCCATTCGTTTCTCGTTTCTTGTTTCACAGGTGCGATGTGGCTTCCCTTCCACTTAGAATTCGAGGATTCAAAGATTCGAAGATTCGGAGGGGCTGTGCAGGGGACAGTAATATGTGGTAAGAAATAGTGATTGATTTATAGCTATGTATCCCTGCGTCGATCTGTTTAATTATTCAAAAATGTGAGCGGAATGCATTCTTTGTCACTGATTGATAATTTAATTATATATATATAGGTCGGACATCGGAACCCGTATTAGCCCTAACGAACTTACCTACCGGGGTTCATAGGTAATGGACTTGATATATATACATCGCTTAATAGCCAGTCTGACTCTGTACGACCGGCTTACTCCATATCATCGACAATCAGCAAACAAACTCGATTCAACTCTATCAATGGCCTCTCACAACAACACTCCTAACACAATCACCGCCCTGGCAACGCGCATCGCTGCGCAAGCAGCCATCCTCGAACGAACGATTCATACCGAGGGGTTAAAATACCCCTCCTTTGACCAGGATGCTGATGAGGAGTTTCCCAGTGTTGACGACGATAGCAGTAGTTGCGTTCTGGAAGATGCCCGCGCCCAGCTGCTAGAGGACACGCGGGCGTTGCACGATCTCATCCTTGGGCCGGCGGAGGTGCTGAGGAGGGTTTGTTGGAGTGTGAGATAATACTTACCTACCCTACTTACTCCCCTAGCTAGCTAGCTAGTTGGCTGGCTAGATGAGATTTGCTGATAACATTTCTGTTCAGTCCATCGACACCGCCGTCCAGCGCGTTATCTACCACTACAAGATCCACGAGGCCGTGCCTCTAGGTCCAGAGGGCATTTCCTACACTGACCTGGCCAGCAGGACCGGTCTGCCGGCGCAGCGTCTGCAATCCGTCATCCGACAGTCGGCGCTGAATCGTGTTTTTGAGGAAGTCGAACTCAAACCGGAACATGATAATGATCACGAAGTTGGTAATAATGATCCTGTCTATGGCGTCAGACACACCGCCTCCTCCGCCCTTCTTCTCCGCGACAGCGCCATGCAAGACTGGTACGGCCACTGCGTTGAGGAGATGTTCCCCGCCGCAGCTAAGCTGGCTGATGCGTGGGACAAATATCCCTGTCCTGCGGGAAGTAACACCGGTGAGCCGGAGCAGAGCGCGTTCGGCCTGGCGTTTGATACGCCGGACTCTGTGTTCCGGTTCTACGAGAAGCATCCGGATCGCCAGGCGAGGTTTTTCGGCGCCATGGATGCCGTGGGCAGAGATAAGGGCCATCGACTGGAGCATGTTGTTAATGGGTACGATTGGGCAGGGTTGGGGAGGAGGACTGTTGTTGATGTGTGCAAGCAACGCTATACCCGGTAATGTTATTTCTTGCTTGGGTTTTTGTTGATATGTGGATGTACTACTGTCCAGGTCGGCGGCTCCTCCGGCTTCGTCAGCATCGCCCTCGCCCGCGCGTTCTCTAACCTCAGCTTCATCGTGCAGGACTACCAGCACACCATCGAGCAGGGCCGCGCTCAGCTACCAGCAGACCTGGAAGAGCGTATCCGCTTCGTCGCGCACGATTTTTTCTCTCCGCAGCCCGTCGCCACAGAAGAGGGTGTGAATGCGGACGTCTTCCTGCTCCGCCACATCTGCCACAACTGGTCGCGGCGCAACGCCGTCAGGATCCTGCGCAATCTCGTACCTGCAATGGAGAGGAACAAGGCGACAAGCAGGATCGTGCTCGTCGAGGTCGTCGTGCTTCCTGCTGGGAGCGCGCAGCGGAAGAGCGATTTGCAGGAGCGGTATATGCGGTATGTCAGCACATGTATTTGCTACATGTGTGTATCTGAGTACATTGCTGATGTGTTATCGACAGCAACATCAACATCGCCATGCTGGCCATGCTTAATACGCAGGAGCGTAGTGCTGAGGATTGGCAAGCCGTCGTGGAAGAGGCGGATCCCAGACTGGCGGTGCTGAGTATTAACCAGCCGCGCGGGAGTTGGGATTCGATTATTGAGATTGGGTTTAGGGAGAAATGAGGTGATTGGGTTTGTTTATCAAGGAAAGAAAGATTAGCTTTGTTAGGAATATATAGTTTCTACTCTACTTACTCAAATACACTACACAACATACGTTGCATTTGCATAGCCGCGTGGTTTACCTATCTCGTTTATTCAATGGAAGATAGGTAGAGGGGGACATATTACATGATATGTTAGTGGAAATTGCGTCGTACTAAGCGAGCACTGTACAGAGAGAGGCAACAGAAAAAAGAACAGAAAAGGTGAAGAGGCATTTGATTGAGTGCAAACACGGCCGTGTAGTGAGATACTCTCTTTTTTTTTTTTGGTAACTTAGTAATATCTTTCAGCGCGTGGTCTTAGGCCCCGGGAGGAAAACTAACAGAGAAGTAGATGGAAGTTATTGATCTTGTGCCCAGGTAGGTTTTCGTTTTCATAGCCCATCATGATTCTGATCTCTTTTTTCTTTTTAACTACCGTCTTTTGTTCTTGTTGACTACAAGTTTTCTTTTTTCCCTCTCTGGTGTTGATTAAATTGACTGTCCTGTCGACTGAATGGCACTGTTTCCATTACTATTACTGCATCACCTCGAAACGAGCTGTTTGATTTTACTTTAGTATCCTCGTATATGCATTGTGGATTAACAATGTGGCAACAGTAGAACAGTGTATGTTTTCTGCACACACACAGCACCCCCTGCTCTCTGTAAATCAGGAACAGTTGCAGGACGACAACATGTGCAGATTCGCCATAATTTCATGTCATGGCACTCCTTTCTGACCGGATCTGCAACAGAAACAAAGAATCCCTTTCTTTTCTTTCTTTCCTTTTTTATTAGTAAGAAAAAGACTTTATTCCAGGTTACTCTGATGACAACTGTTTACCTCCTAGAATATCTCAGCTTGGTTACCATGTCGTTACAGATTGTGTGACAAGATCCTGTCTTCCGCCACGGCTCGAGTCAGTCGATGAACTGAAGTTTCAGTACGTGAACTTCTGCTGCTGCCGCCGCGTATGACAGACTGCTTGAAACTGACCTCAAGTCTAGCCAAGCCCGCCATCAGATTGGCCTCCGGCTGAAATGGTCTTGTTGATTTGCTGGTTAGTAGTTACATACTGGTTGATCGTTTTTATTCTTTCAGATTGTCAGGGTGTAGTGCGATCACATGGACGTATGAACGTAACCCTAGCTAATTAACCGTGATGCCTGAAGTCAAGTCGGATACTTGCCTGCTACGGAGATAGCATCTGTATAGCAGAGCTCGTTAGAGATGTACACCCCGTAGACATCCGCGACTTATATGCGGAAAGTTCAAGCGTAGATCCCCATGTGAGCAATGGAGACGACCTGACGATATAAAGTCCTCTCTCCTGTGGAAGGAATTATTGTTGCTTTGTGAGCAACTGTGTAACTTATTCTGACCTGTTGTACACTCAACAATATACCCCGAGTTTAACTACGAGTATTCGTCCTGGATCTCAGAACCTGTATGATCAAGAACCTGTATCAATCACCTGTACAGCAATATCTCATCGATTCGTTCTCAACATGCTGCACCTGATCGACTACCTCGACCGGCCAGTCCCCAGTCTGTTCTACTCAGTCAGTGTGTTTGGTCTTCTCCTCCTGTTCTTCACCTACCGTTACTATGCTTTTCGACAACGCCTCCCCCCCGGCCCTTCGGCCTGCCCTTCATCGGGAACTTCCACCAGGCGCCAAAAGAGTACCCCTGGCGCGTCTACACAGAATGGCACAAGAAGTACGGTCCCATCTTCAGCCTGCAGTATGGCCTCACCACCTACATCATGATCGGCAACCATGAGACCGCCCGCGACCTGCTCGACAGGCGGAGCAACATCTACAGCTCGCGGCCGCGACAGCCCATGGTCGGAGAGTTGGTCAGCGAGGGAAATAGGTCCCTGATTCTGCCGTACGGCGACCAGTGGCGCGCATATCGCAAGCTTCAGGGAGCCTTTCTCAGCCCTCGGATGTCGGACACCTACCGGGAGTTGCAGGACCTCGAGAGCAAGCAGCTCGTTCGCGAGTTTCTGACCCGCTCCGACTTCTCCGATCGCTTCCACCGCTACTCGTCCAGCCTGACATTCGCGTTGGCCTACGGCAAGCGCATGCCCGAGGGTGACGAGCCAGAAGTCACTGGGATTAAGAAGATCATGAATGACCTCAACATGCTTTTCATCCAGCGCTGGATTGTGGATTACCTCCCGTTTCTCAATTTCCTGCCGCACTGGCTGGCGTGGTGGAAGTACACGGCCGACAGAGTGCGCAAGGAGGAAGTCACCTTCTTCAACGGCGTCCGTGAGGCGGCTGAACGGAGACGGGCGTGGAACTGGACCAAGGAGATCATAGCCTCCAAGGACAGCCAGGGTCTCACTCATACCCAGGTGTCGTATGTGGTTGGAAACACCTACGAAGCGGGCAGTGACACGACGACAATGACGCTGCAAGTGTTTATCATGGCCGCCGTCCTGCATCCTGCCAAGATGCGCAAGGCGCAGGAACAGATCGACCGCATCGTCGGACGGAGCCGACTGCCCAGCTTCGATGATATTGATCAGCTGCCCTATATTCACGCCGTGGTCAAGGAGGTCCATCGCTGGCGACCTGTCATCCCCGGGGGCGTCCCGCATGCCGTGACCGAAGACGACCAGTACATGGGATACCACATCCCAAAGAACGCCACGGTGATTGGCAATCACTGGGCTATCTCGATGGATCCCGATGTGTACGACAAACCGGAGGAGTTTATCCCGGAGCGATGGTTGGAGAACCCGGACCTTCCACCAGTGGCCACGTTTGGCTTTGGCCGGCGAAGATGTATCGGTACGTGTGGTCTAACCACATTGCGTGATACCAAGATCACTGACTGAGAAATGCGGTAGGCCAGCACGTGGCGAACAATTCCATGTTTATCAACGTGGCTCGACTGCTATGGGCGTACGACATTGTGCACGCATACGAGATGCGAGATGGCCGCAAGGTCAAGTGCGAGGTCGACCCGATGGCGTTTGTGCACGGGTTCAACTCCCCGCCCCTGCCATTCAAGGCGGAATTTGCTGTGCGTGGGCCTGAAGTCAAAGAGGTTATCGAGAGAGAATGGAGCGAGACGGAGAAGGACGAACACGTCCTGCTGGAGCGAATCCACGAGGCCCAAATCCGGTTAAAGGAGGGAGAGTAGGCATGACATGAATCACGAATCGAGTTCAACCTTATCTGTGCAGCTGGCGTGGAGACGAGATGTCTTCAGAGGACGCATCAGGACGTCATGGATTGCTGGAGTTGGAGATAAAGGAGGCGGTGCAAGACATGTGACTAGCTTGTCATTCAACTGCAGGCTGTGCAATGGTGGCGCATGGCGTCTAGAGTTGAGGAAGTCAGTAGTCGCCTCATGATTGTTGATAGAGCCAGGAATCGATCAGATTGATCTGGAACTACCTGTATGTCCTGTCTAGGGAAGATTTTGTTGACATCGTAGGCAATGCCACGCATGTACTGTACATACGCACTGCAACTGCCATCGCCATTAAGATTTCGACATCGAGCAGACTCTTCAGTGACCAAGCCATTGTGCAACATCTGGATGACCAAAAGAACAAGAGAGATTCGTTGTTTGGACAGGATCCTGCGATGTGTCGGTGGAGAGCAGAGTCTGATATCAGTCCTCTTCGGATTCCGAAGCTGCTGCGGTGTCAATGGACAAGAATCAACAATCTCAGCTGGACACTTGCCTGAGAAAACACCAACTATCCGTATCTGGACAAGACAATCGTTCCGAAAGCACCAGAATCCCTAGATAGGTCGTCTCTCCCCTTTCGGGCTTATAGCGGCGTCCGAAAGAGGTTACACGGACTTACTGACGGACCTTCGGCCTTCATTGGTAAAGCCACCTCGCCACGAGGACGACCAGAATATATCATGCCAGAGAGGAGTCCGGAAGCAGACGATTCCTGGAATCCGTCTGAGTCACACGAGCACCGCGACCACCCCGGTTGGTGTCTCCTTCCCTATCGCCCACCAGCATCCAGCCTCTCCCATCCTTCCAGATCGTCCACGTCTCACCGCTCAGCTTATTCCACACGTGCTGCATCATGGCTGTCCTCATCACCGGCAGCTCAGGCAAGACCTCCGGGCGCCTTGCTCGCCTCATGGAGAAAGCCAACATCCCCTACCTCCTGGCCTCTCGTCGCGGCCCCGAAGCGGTCCCCCAGGGCATGCCCGCCATCCGCTTCGACTGGTCGGACGAATCGACGTTCAAGAATCCCTTTGAGTACAAGTTCCCTGGCGATGCCAAGATCTCCTCTGTCTACCTGGTCGCCCCCGCCATTCCGGATCCCGCGCCACTCATGAATGCCTTCATCGACTACGCTGTCAAGGACCATGGTGTCAAGCGTTTCGTCCTCATTGGCGGCAGCACCAATACCCTTGGAGGCCCATACATCGGCAAGGTGTGGCAGCACTTAGTGGACCAGAAGCTAGGGTACGCGGTGCTGCGTCCCACGTGGTTTATGGGTGAGTCAGACACACGTTCACTTCGTCTTTTCCTGAACTGACATCATGACCAAGAAAACTTCTCAGAGGGCGCCCACATCCATACGATCAAAGGCGAGAGCAAGATCTACTCTGCCTGTGGCGATGGCAAGATTCCCTTTGTCAGCGCTGAGGATATTGCAGCCGTTGCCTTCCATGCTCTCATGGACGAGAAACCACACAATACAGACCACTCCATCGTGGGACGGGACCTGTTGTCTTTTGACGAGGTACGAACCATGTTCTGAGTGTCTATTCGTTCAACGATCGCTGACAGTGAGATCTTCCTCAGGTTGCGGCAAAGATTGGCACTGCGATCGGTAAAGAAGTGGAGCACGTCAAGCTCACCAGCGAAGAGCGTACCAAGCAACTCCAAGGCTTTGGTCTCCCCGAATACCTGGCCCAGTTTCTGACATGGCTCGAAGTCAAAACGGCTGAGGGCCACGAGAACTTTCTTAACGAGGTCGTCAAGGAGGTGACTGGACGTGCTCCGGTGGGATTTGATGACTTTGTCGCGCAGAACAAGGCAGCCTGGCAGTAAACCATGGCAGGACGGATTAAGCAGATAGGTCTATAGGTGCTGAGATGGGTGAAAGACTTGACAAATGACCAACCTATCCTTCTTGACGCACTTCACGAGTGAACGCAGAAAGGCTGAAACAATACTTGCTCTTAATTCTGAGTGATAATTGAGAAGGAATTAATTACCATCACTTTCTACCTGCCATTTCAAGCAGATTGTAAACCGATGAAGATATTGAGATTCTGATACTGACATCTCTTCACTCGCCTCTGTAGCCAGACAAGACATTGTCAGTAAACAGGCAAAAAATCGTCAAAGCAGACAATGCTCAATGTCAACTACATAGAGATAAACCAAGGAAGATTAAGGAGAAGGAATTTTACACAGCGTTTTGCGCTCTTTAATGCCCAGAATCCAGGCAGATTCCGCGTATCTTCCATCGTTCTGATGAAAGGCCTCTTTCAGGAGGTGAGGTTGATAATGTCTCTGGATAGGCAGACAAGAGTAGCTCAGTGATGGATTCATTCTATATACTAACTCGAACTACAATGCGGTAAATATATTCTTGCAATGAAGAAAAAAAGAGGGTGCGGTGCGGCAGGCACATGCCGAAAAAGGAAGGAGCGAAACCCGGTCCTCCGCTTGTCACGAGACCAACCAGAACGCGACGACAAAACTCCAACGCGACAGCTTCTGTGGCCAGACTCAGCTTTTTATTCCATCGCCTGTCTAATGAAAGCACTCAGTTTATCGATCTTGGGTTCTGGAGCCACCATGGAGAAATGGTTAACCTCATCCATTACGCTGATTTTGAGATTTTGAGCTCCCACCAGCTGTGCCCAGCCGGAACCGCTGAAATCAGTGCGGTTGTTCAGCAGCCAGAGCATCTCTCGTGGATCGTCCGGTCGAATCTCCGGCCGGGGATCGCTGGGGTGTTTGCAGATGCCATCGCGCGCATACACAATATGCGTGTCCAGTGGACGCCCGGAAAATGGCTGGATCTTGTACTCATCCAGCAGCCTGATGAAGGCGTTGAAATGCGGTCGCAGCCAGCTGGGAGGCGCTTTTCCATTCATCCCGAAGAAGTCCAGACTCTCGAAGAAGTCGTACATCCGCTGCGGCGGATTCTCCAGCCCGATGGGATTGGGTGAGTCGATCAAGATCAGCCGTGCGGTTTCCTCTCCCTGGCGTGCCAGTTGCTGGGCAGCTTCATAGGCACAGATGCCTCCTGCTGACCATCCCCCAAAGTAGTACGGCCCGTGAGGCTGTCGACGCCGAATCTCAACCAGGTATTTGGCGGTCAGATCCTCCAAGGTACACGTCATGTCCTGTGGTGTCTTCATCCACGGGCAGTTCAGGCCATAGACAACGACGTCGGACGAGATCTTGGCTAACGACGCGTACGAAGTGGCTGACCCAGAGCCATCAGGGAATAGGAAGAGGATCTTGGTTGCAGACTTGGGATTTCCTTGCAGCAGGACAGAAGTGGAATGAGGAGGTTTATCAGGTTCAAGGCGAAGGACGCCAGGGCCCCTCGAGACGGGGTCGCTGTCCTTGGACCCCCTCGCCTTCAGTCCCAGTGCGGACTCGATCTCATCCAAAGTGTCATTTTCAGTAAGGAGAGTCGATGGGATATCCATTTCTAACTCCTCGCTCAGCTTGCCCATGATGGTCAGCCCTAAGAGAGAATCGACTCCCAGCTCGGCGAAACTGGTTGAGGGTGTGACGTCGGCGATGGCGACTCCGGTCTCTTCAGCAATCGTCGCGCGGATGATCTCAATTACATCGTTTAGTTCTGCAACAGATGTCGCCCGTGTCTCATATTCAGAAGATGTTCCTTCCAAGTCCGTGTCGTGCTCCGGCGTTTGGATGTCTTGATCATCGACAGATGACTCCGCAGGTGACAGGGGCTGCTCACTCCCCTGGAAGAAGTTTGACAACTCCTTAACAGTCGGGTAGTCCGCGAAGAGACTCGACGGTAGGCTGAGCCCTAACTCTTCTTGGAGCCTGCCACAGATAGTTAGGGACAAAAGAGAATCGATTCCGTAATCGCCAAACTCGTCATTTGGGCTTAGCTCAGAACTATCAATGCCTGCCTCTTCGGAAACAATCGCCATCACTCGTGGCACAATGCTATTGTTGGATGGCTTCGCTTGGGATACGGCAGCAGGCTTTGATGTTTGTTTAGTGGCTGCAGGGGACCTCTTTGCGACTGGTGCTGACGCTGGCTTCGTCTTTGTAGGAACCTTGGCGTCTGGAGTGGTTGTATTTGACGCTTTTTGTGCATTCTTTGGTGCTGCAGTCTTAGACGGGAGTAAATGATCCAGGACTCGGCGTGGAACACCTTGAAACTTGACGCCTTCAAAGATTGCAACGATGTTGCCTTCGTCGAGGATATAAGTATCGCCAGCGTACATTGTTCCACTGACAAGTTGCATTCTGTTATAGGTTTGATACACCTTGTCCTTTGAAAACTTTGTCGCACACCGCATCCTGTCCCAGCCATGATTAATAAACACTTGCGTTGCTGAGTTAACGTTGTCATTTCCATTCATGATGAAGCCGGCGATATGCCCGAGGCTGTCAATCCAGCACGGATTCAGGAAGAAGCCGCCATCATCCACCTGAAACGAGACCTTTGCGGTCGCCTCGAGTTCATTGCTGTCGAGAACGACTTCCTGCAGGCCATGGTATCTAGGACCGTAGTCCACAACGGCACCAAACAGCTTGTAGACGATACCACCCTTCATCTTGTGCGAGTCGCCTTCATCGACCGCCTTGTTCAGGGATGTAATTCGGCTCCTGATGAGATACGAAGTCCGCTTCCAGTCGTCAAGCCATGTCTGCTTCTCTGTGATTCTGACTTGGCATGTCGCATGGTCCGCGAGCTTCTTTCCCTCTGAAGTGACGCTATACAAGGAAATGGACACAACATTCGTTGACCAGTCCGCTGAAGCTGAGACACGAAGCAGCTGAGAGCCTTTGTCAGGCGTCGCTATGAGCGGCTTCTCCACCTTGACGTCTGCAACGTCCAGACCAGCGTTGTCGCTCCGTTTGTTTTTCGCTTTGAGCATATAGTCCGCTACTGACATGGCCATATCGGCGTAAAGAGACTAAACAGGAAACACCGTTAGCGACTGCTGAGGGTTTTTTTTCTCTCTCCAAAGACTTTACTCACTGAAGGGCAAAGCGGTACACCGTTTACTTTATGATCCTGAATTACAGGAGCAAGTCGTGGATCATGAATGTCGGACTCCACGAGAAGCGTTGAGATATCAGCTGCATGATCCTCTTCGACAACCCGCTGTGTAGAGGGGGAAATATAAACAGGCGTTTGCTGTTCATCAGGCACAGCGGCGGGGATCTGTTGCGGCTCAGGATCGTCGCCTTTGGTGAGGCAAAAGTTGTTCCGGTATTGGATCCAGTAGTTTTTCAAGTCCCAACTGTATCGCGGAAGGCCAACAACTCGGTGTGAACTTTTGAAGTCACGGTGATACTCATTCCAGTCGATCTCGATGCCGTTGAGGTACAGTGACTCCAGTCCGCTTGCGATCACCTTCCATGTATCCGTGCCTTTTCTTAGAGATGGAATGGTCAACGTCTGGGAGCCGAATGTCCCCTTCACCATTCCAGAGCAGGCAGGATGTGATCCAATCTCAAGCCAGATGGTTCGATCATCCACGATGGATGCAGCCCTGGCAGCCTCCAGTGCCCCTTGGAAATTCACTGCGTTGCGGCACGCTTTGGTCAGATACGATGCACCCAAAGTAGTACCATCTGAAATAACCTGTCCAAGCAGTGGAGATATGTACGGTATAGATGGCTTTTCATATCGAACACTCCCCGCTGCGACTTCAAAAGCTTCCAATATAGGGTCAACCTGGGCTGAGTGAAAAGCGAATGGAATGTCCAGCTTGACGCTTTCATGACCATATGACTGGCATTGCTTCGCCAGCGCATCGATTTCATATCCCGGCCCGCTAATAACATTGCTTGTCGGCTGGTTAATGCAAGCTACTTCACAGCGAGATCCAGCGAAGAGAGGCCTGACAACATCCAGTGGAGCTTTAATGACCAGCATGGAGTGAGTTCCTTTGGTACAAGAAGCCGAAAGCAATTGAGCCCTGGTCCCGACGAGGTAGATGACTTCGCTAGCTGTCAGAACCCCGGCAGCATGGAGAGCTGCGTATTCTCCGAGGCTGTGGCCGATCGTTGCACTTGGCTTGATACCCCAAGAGATCCAAAGCCGAGAAAGACCCATTTGTATGGATGTCAATGCAAGGTGAGCGATGACGGGATCTACGTCCCCGTTGATCTCAGTGCTGCCATCGATCGCTGATAAGAAACTCGGAAAGCCTTCGCGCTGTGCGATGCCGTCGAATCGAAGGATATCTGATTTGAACTGCCAAATCGACTCAAATAATTGCTTCCCAACGCCTGCATAGAAAGAACCCTGACCCGTAAAAACAAATACAATTTTTGGAATCTTTGAAAAGTTCGGTATAGGTTTAAGATCCGGAATGTTCGATTTTGCTACGAGGCTTTCCCTGAGTGTTTGGACATCTGACCCGGCACACATTATCCGGTAATTGTGCTGGATCCGCCTTGCGGTAGTTGTGTATGACAACGCCGGTACGTAAGTATCAGGATTGTCGTCGAGAAAGCGGATCAGTGCGGCAATGTTTCCACTTAGTGACTTGGGAGTCTTTGCAGTAACCGCGATGAGATGAGTGGTACGGGGATCGTTCTCATTGCCACTCTGTTGAGGCAAGGGCGCATCCTCCAAGAGCACCGCGGTATTTCCACCCGCGGCACTGAAGTTATTTAGGAAGACAGTCCGCTTTCCATTGTAACAGTCCTTTCGATGCCAAGGGACAGGTTTAAATGCGATATGAACGTTCCTCTCGTTGAGATCAAGGGGATAATTATGATTGATCTTGGTCTTGATCCCGCAGTGAGGCGGAATCTCGTTATGTTTCATCATCATCAAGACTTTGATGAGTGAAGACACTCCTGACGCGGATTCGGCGTGGCCAACATTGGCCTTCGCGGAGCCAAGGTAGAGTGGATGACGTGGTACTCGCTCGCGACCTGGTACGAAGACAGAGAGAACTGAGTTCATCTCTGTGGCATCTCCCGCTTGTGTTCCTGTCCCATGCATTTCAATGTAGCTGATGTCCAGGGGGTTCACACCGGCATTTCTCATGATGCGTTTGAACACGGATGCTTGATCACCTTCGTGAGGCCGTGTGATGGAATCAGTTTGTCCGCAATGATTGGTGTACGCTCCAACAATGACGCCGAAGATGGGATCATTGTCTGCTTCAGCGTCCTCAAGTCGTTTGAGGATGACCGATCCAACAGCGTCCGCTCTGCAGTATCCGCTGGCCCCGTCGTCAAAGGCGTTGCAGTTGCCTTGGACATGTTAGCTCAGTAGCATACCGAAATAGACAGGGGCAGTCTTACCTGTTGTCGACAAGAAGTGTCCTCGATCAAGACCGGCAAAGTTGTCGGGGTTTGTCAGCACGTTCGTGCCTCCAGCCACAGCAGTATCGCACTCTCCTCGCCATAGGTAAGCGCAGGCCGTTTGAATGGCGGCAAAGCTCGATGAGCATGCCGTGTCAATGCTGAGACTCGGTCCGCAGAAACGAAAAAAGTAACTGTTTTACGAGCAGGAAATCAGCGGAATCGGCCATTGATGCATTTTTGCTAGCTTACCTGATCCGCCCAGGAACAAAGGCCCGGTTTCCACCAGGAATGAAGTAGGTGTCCACATTCTGGCCACTGTTCACCTCTCTCCAGTCGTCGCTGGTGATGCCGAAGAAGACACCGATCCGGTCTTGTTGAGTGGACGGGGTTCGATTTGGAACCAGACCTGCCATCTCGATCGCCTCGTAAGTAGCCGTGATGGCCAATCTCTGAGCGGGGTCCGTGTTCTCGGACTCTCTTGGAGACATGTTGAAGAATCGGGTATCGAATAGGCCTGGTTCTTTGATGAAACAGCCATACTGAATCCTGCTGGTGTTCTTTTTCTTGCCAGTAGCATCAAAGTGTGCTTTCCAGTCGAAGCGGTCCTCTGGAATGGTGCGATGCACGTCGCGGCCAGCGTGAAGCAAGTCCCAAAACTCTTCATTCGATGCTGCGTCTGGGAAACGTCCCGAGTATCCGATGATGGCTATTTTTGACTGTTCAAATCTGCCGGTAGGGGCCGAGCTGCCAGAACCAACAAGATTGTTAATGCTAACTTGAACGCTGGTGTTTTTGGTCAATGTCGAGGAAAGAAGCTGGCTGCTGGTCGATGACAGCGGATAGAGAATGCAGTGTTTAAAATCCTCGTTGGAGACAGTGTCTGTGATGACCGGAAGGATCTTGTCCCATCGAAGTGGCTTGCACAGTGTGTCTGATACGATTGTTCGCAGAACAGTCTTGAAACTGTCAGCAGCGACGGGTTCGCCAGAGGCAGCGGATAATAATGTGAACCGCTGCTTGTATGATTCAAGCACCGAGTCGTGGAATTCGCCCACGATCTCATCCACGTCAGCAGCATCGAACAAGTGAGGAGCATGATAGGGCAGCTCGATAGGCAAGTGATGCGCTCTGAAGGAGTTTGCAGTTAGAAACTCCTGTAGAAGCGAAGGGGGTCCACTGATTGTCACATTCGTTGGCATCACCGAGCTGACGTAGGGCCTGCTACTGCGCGGTAGACCCTAGAACCGGTTACTAATTTCAAACATGTGTTTTCTGACAGGACCTACCTTTTCAGAGCAGAAGGATTCGATCAATGCACGGGCGTCAGCTTCCTGCGCATCAACGACTACGGACCATGAACGCGACAGGCCAGGAATCGGTCCTTCCAAGTCATTGTGCAGGACAAACGAGCGAAGAGCAGTCCTGAAGGCTACCAGGACGGCTTCGACGCCGGCTGGAATCAGCTCGGAGAGAGTTTGGGATGTGCTGATCGCAGCAGCGGCAAATGAGCCGGTACAGAGACCCAGCAAATAGCTGTTTGCTACTTGAGGATATGGCCTTGATCCTTCGCCAAAGTATCTGCATGCGTGAGTGGCTAATTTCTAGATGGGGATGAGTATTCTACCTGATGAATTGAGCAATTTCGCAGAGACACAGCAGAGCAAACTTCAGAACTGGTCTTCCTTCTGTCTCGTCGAGTTTGGATACGAGATCGATTACCGTGGTGAAGCGCGGAAACCATTCTTGTTGGCTGGAAGGGAGGTTGGAAAGCTCCCTGCGGAGGGAGAATCCGACTTTATCAAAGAACGACCGGAGGGCATTGTTGTCCTTGACATGAAGGAGTCTTTGCAGGTCTCGCTCGAAGGATACAGTCTGGTCACCGAATAGAAAGACATGGCAAGAATCCATGCTGTCTACGATGGGAGGCATGAAGGCGGTCGACTGGACGAGATCATCCATTGTTGAAATGGAATGGTCAGCGATGAGGAAACATGAAAGGTGAAGGACGGTGTCACGATCCGAGAAGAATTTTGCGTCTTCGCGAGGAACGGGCCAACATAAAGGTCTCACTCCCTGGTCTACGAAGGGGCCTTCGGTCAGACACGAGCCCGATCTGTGTCAGCAATCGTGCCGAGGATGAGAAGACCGAATTAGGTGAGATTCGGTGTTCGTGCCGGTGGAATTCTCGTTCCGGATGATATCTCGGTGTTCGGCGGCCGTCATCGTCCAGCTATGATGGTGGAGTCAGGATGGTCAAAAAAGAACGATTTCAGCTCGTTTCGGCAAGGGATTTGGCCCCAAGAGATTACAGCACAGAATGATGCTAGGTTGCGAGACAAACAGGCTGAGCGAGGGCCGGGCTCCAGACGGACTCGGGGCTCCAGGAGACCGAGGGCCGTGGCAAGTTCTTGTGGATCGGAAGATTCGAGGCAGCTGAGTCACATTCCTTGGGAGGTTAACTTTGAGTGATCTGTTAAACTATGCTAGATATTATTAATTGAAAATGGAATTATTAATTGAAAGACAAACATTTACGAGAAGTATTCGGAGGCTGGCAGGTTACGATATACAGGATTCTACATCTGACCAATTTAGGAAAAAGAAATAGATGGAGGACCATTCAATTGATTCGTTCTCTGCTGGCCCAGTTCAGTCAGGAATCCCTCTTCAGACAACCTGTCCATCAACAACAAGCGTATCCAACCACCCGGTCACCATGGTCGTCCTGGCCATATCAGCGAAGTAGGCATGGTCCGGGGCAATGATCTGCGCGTAGTGCGGATCTTCCTTGACGGCGATGTAGTCCTGGACGTCGCGGAAGACGATCTGGATGAAGCAGTCGCAGTCGGAGACGCTGCACTCGGGGAGGTCACCAAAGATCTGCGCCATCATGGCTTTTGTTGCGGTGGTGTTGTGTTGCTATTGCCATCCAGAAGGAAGGAGGTGTTTTAAAATTATATTGAATTTATTACTTTTTTTTTTCGTGGAAGGTAGAACACACCATCGTATAACCCACAATCTTCTTCCGCACCAGCAGCTCCTTCACTTGCGCCGCGTGCGTCTCGCTCGTGTACCGGTGGTAGGCGTCCTCGTCCATGCCTGGTTTGCGGTATGCGCAGATGGTCAGGGCGAAGAGTTTCTTTTGTCGCTCGTTGGATGGAGTTTGGGATGAAGCCATTTTGTGGAATTTGACTTAGTTTAGTATGAGGATTTAGGGTTATAAGGAATGTGTTAAGGGATGATTTCTGTTCTGTTCTAGTTTGGATTGGTTTGGATTGTGGAGTATGTATGTCTTGGATAGGCGTTTGAGATGGAATAGTTCAAGTAGGGTTTTAGTCGTGCTGCTCACGAACTATTCTGCTTCTGAGTTTGTTTGTTGTCTTAGAAGAAGAAGGGAGATACTCCAAGTTTTAGGTGACTAACTTGCTAGCTATCACCTTTATGCTCGTCGATCTAGACCTGGACATTGACATGGACATGGATATAGAGCTGAACTGGGATCCTGGTCGAGATGGACCTCAACCTGAACGTATGTATGTATGGACTTGCCCGACTGGACGATTCGAATTCGAATTTCTTTTCTTTTCCCTGGATGGATTCATGTAGTACATTCATGTGCTGATATGTGCTTGTTGTACTCTACTAACATTCGGACCTCTTCTTCCTTACTCTTTCTGCCTGGTTTGTATTTCTTTTTTAGGCATGTATTCTTTTCATTTTTCACGTAGCTCATTTCCCTGCTCTGCTCCTTACCTCGCTTCCCAGCCAGCCCCATTCCTTTTTTTTAACTTCCCGAATGAACTAAATATCAAGAACTTCTTAATTTAGTTATTCTAGAATGGAATTGTCTCCTTACTTCCTTTCTTTTTGTTTTTCTAAATTTCCCCCTTGGCTGGCCTCCCCTGGCCCACTTGTCCGTCCTACGTAGCAAACGAGGGAACGAGAAAAAAAAAAGAGAAATCTCTCATGAAATTCGATTTGATTTAATTCCTCACTCAGCACGTGAAAATGGAGATTAAAAAAGAAATGAAAGAAAAGAAAAAAAATCTCCGAATGGCTCGAACAAAACATCCCGACGATCTAGACTATCTATTCTAATCAGAATATCGGAATAGGCAGGTAGGCAGACGTCATTAACCCATGATTATCATGATATTATAATGATTACTATAATTATTGATATTGGACGTGATTAATTTCTCACCTCATCTCGTTCCGCCTCACCTAGGACTAAGGATAAGGGCTACTTCGGAGGTGTTGTGTCCGACTGACCGAGCGGTGATTTTTTTTTCTTTTTCTTTTTTTTTTGCTCGGAAGCCGAAGTGCATGAGTGAGTACAAGATAGGGCATGGCAGGGCGCGGCAGGGCGTGGCATGGCATGGCATGTGTGGATTATTGATTCATTTTTATTTGTGCTACCTCAATCAAATCCTCAATCAAAGCCTTACTTTCGTTCTTCCTTTCTGTCTACGTCTTAACAACACCACCCAATAACTAGCTAATTAACTACGTAACATAGGTAATTGAGTGATTGCTCAGTCCTTCTCAGCTCTTGGATGAACTGTCCTGGCCCTTTTGGAGTTCGAGTCGAGTTCGAGTTCGACTCCAGGGTTGAATTGAATCAAGAAGCTATGATTGCGGCTGACATGTCCACATACACTGTCGATATACGTATAGTATGGATTGACATTGATTACTGTTACTGATATCTGATGGCAGTGACTGATTATAATGACTGCCTTTTTCTGCTTCTATCGTAGATAAATGATTTATTTGTTCTACATTTCTTGCTCTGGCTCGATTTTTTTTTGTTACATTCATACATTTACAGATGTAGTCAGAGTAGTGATTGCGGATTTCACGGTATGTATATTGTTTGGACTGTATATAGCTCATATAGCTCATGTAACTGTATATAGCTGAGATAATCCATCTGAAACTGTTCTCGTTATGGTTGAAACAAACAGCTACTGAGCAGCTACCCTACGATCCTCTTCCTCCTGCTGCTTTCTAACTTGAGCATGCTCGCTGACAGCAGCAGCAGCATCCTCCTTGTCATGACCCGTCATCGGCCGGAAGCCATTCGTAAACACGGGACTCTGTTGCACCAGCTCCCAGTCGTGCAGCATGAAGCCGTTCTCCACCGAGCATTTGACCTCCTCCCGTCCACGAGGGACAATCTCCTCGTCGTACGCAGTGATGGCCTCGCTGAAACTGGCGTCTCCTGCGCGAACCCGCTGGATGGCGTCGATCAGGTAGGTGATGTCGCAGATGCAGTGGTTCAGGCCTTGGCCGCGATCTACGCCAAAACACACATAATCAGTAGGCAAGCTCTGGTCTGACGGCAGGTACACTCACACGGAGGCATCGGATGCGCCGCATCGCCCACCAGCGTCATTCTCCCCCCGTGGTTGTCCCACGGCTGCGGAATCCAGTAGCTGATGTCGGCCTTGTGCACCTGCGTGTCCTCGGGAATCCACTGAAAGGCAGACCGTGCTGGCTCGCCCAGCTCTTTCGCCCGCTCCTTTATCAGCGCCAGCCGCTCCTTGTAGCTGAGCTGGTTGTCGTTGTCGCCCAGCCAGGCCATGGCCAGGTGGAAGACCCATGACTCGGGGTGGTCAGGGCCGTCGGGCATGCTGGAGACTGTACATATAATCAGTTTCGTTCTTAAAAGACTATATCATCAGGCATACTCGATTGAAACGCGTGAAACGACCGCTGGCTCAGCGCCAGATAGCTGGTCGGGAAACGCTGGCGCAGGTAGCGGGCCTTGTCGGCATCGCCGTAGCACACAGTCATGTTGGTGTGGAAGATGGGGAACTTGCTGACGCGCGCCTTGTCGGCGCTGCCCATGGCAATCTCTCGCACCTTCGAGCGAGGACCGTCGGCGCCGATGAGGATCGACCCGGCCACGATGGTGCCGTCGCTGAAGCTGGCGATGACGCCGTCGCCGCTCTCGTTGAAGGCTACGTCGACGAGGTTCTTGCCGTACTGCTGATGTCAACATGAATAGACTCATATACATGATGGTGTCCCTACCTGCACCTCTATCCCCTCCGCCGACAACGCCCGCATCCTGCTCCGCGGCACGCGCAGCCCCTTCGCGTAGGGAACGCCCGCCAGCAGATCGCCCGTCTCGCCGTGGATGATGGGATAGTTGCCGCCGGCGTCGATGGGGATGGCCGGGTTGCAGGACACGTCGGCCAGTTTGGCGAAGACGTCGGCGGGGAAGAGACGCTCGAGCCGGTCGAGGGCCCAGTGGATGGCCATGGTCCATTCGTTGCTCCGGTAGTTGAGCTTGACTTCTTTCTCGAAGATGGTGTAGCGGATGCCATTCTGTGCTGTCAGCTGTGATGTGATGTGATGTGCTTTGGAGTGTACGTACCTTCTTGAGCGCCTGGGCCAGCACCAGCCCGGTGATGCCTGTTCAATCAGCACGAGTTATCAATCTTGTTCAGGTGTCCTCACCAGCTCCGATGATGAGGATGTGGAGGTCTTTCGCGGGCTTGCTGTCTGCCATGTTGTCGCTGAGATGATAATCGTATAGCAAAATCGTAATCAGCGTACTACTTGCAGAATCAAGCAGAAACAAGAACACTCTCTTTCTTAATCGCATCCAAAGTTTCTTTACTCATCCTCGTGCTGACGACTTCTTCTCACCTCGGCATTATCACAGGGCCGACAGCAGCTGCCATTCTCGCCTTTACGGCTTCCGAAAAACAGTCCAGCACAGGCCAGTTCAGCTCAGGCCACAAGGATAATTGTCCCATTTGGCCGCCTTGTCGGCGACTTCTCCGGAAGCCGTGGTCCGCAGGAGAGACCGTCAGAGAGACAGGCAGCAAACGGAGTCGGCGATGATTCTCTCCGCTGCAAGCGAACTGGTGATGTTTCACTCCGATGTTGCACAGGCTCAGACTGGTCGAGACGAGCAGTGGAATGTGCTGTGGATGGGATCTGAGAATGATACTGCCTGAGGGAGCTCTTGCTGTTGCTTTCTGCTACTCTGGCTGTCCGACTTGGCTGAGGGTCAACTGGTCTCCCTTGGAATTGCACATACATACGTCCACCAAAATTAAACATTGATAATTGATATTCTTCTATGTGAAGATATCACCATGACAGATGCTGTAGCTGCGGCTGCTGCCTGCCTGCTTCTTGTCAGCCGCCAACTCAATCAATCAATCTGACAGCACACTGACAGCTCGCAGCTCGCCTTCTGGGCCACAATCCACATCGTCTACAACGTCTTCTTCCACCCCTTGCGGCGCTTCCCGGCCCAACGCTGTGGGCGGCCTCGCGGCTGCCCTGGTGCTGGTATCAGTTCCATGGCCGGCTCAACCACCAGCTGCTGAAGCTGCATGTCCAGTATGGCCACGTCGTGCGCGTCGCGCCCAACGAGCTCTCCTTCACCTCCGACACAGCTTGGAAAACCATCTATGGGCAGCGGTCGACGGAGATGGGCAAGGACCCGGTGTTTTCGCTGCACACGCCGACGGGGGTGCCGAGTATGCTGCTTCCTTATACTATCCTGTCTGCAGGCTAATAATCAGCAAGACATTCTGACAGCCGATCGCCAGACGCATATCCGTCAGCGACGACTACTCTCTCACGCCTTTTCCGAAAAGGCCCTCCGCGAGCAGGAATCTATACTGCAGACATATGTCGACAAGCTGCTGGAGCAGGTCTCTGCGCGCTGTGCCTCGGGGGCAGTGGACCTGGTGGCATGGTACAACTTTGCCAGTGCGCCTGCACCCTCCTCGTCCCTTACCAGAGGATCAGCACACTGATTTGGGTAGCATACGACCTGATCGGCGACCTGTCATTCGGCGAACAGTTCGGCTGTCTGGACAAGGGCGAGTACGACCCGTTCGTGCGGTCCATCAAGGCCATCGCCAAGGAGCTCACCTTCATGCAGATGCTGAAATACTACGGCCTGCTGGGCGTGCGGCAGTTCTTCCTGCCCAAGGCCGTTGTGGGGGCCAGAGCGCAGAACATGCAGCGGGCCATGAACACGGTCGACCGGCGTGTGCAGCGACAGACAGATCGCAAGGATTTCCTGTACTACATCCTCGCTGCCAACGACGAGAAGGGCATGTCGCGCGCTGAGATCAACGTCAACGCCTTCTCGCTCAGCATCGCCGGGTCTGAGTCGACTGCCACTCTGCTGGCGGGCGCGACGTTCTACATCCTCACGCACCGGGACGTATACGAGAGACTGACGACGGAGATCCGAACGACGTTTGCGTCCGAAGACGACATCCGTCTGTCGAGCATCAACAACCTCGAGTATCTCGACGCTGTCCTCACCGAGACCTTGCGCATCTACCCCCCTGTGGCCGTCACGCTGCCCCGAGTAGTCCCCGACACGCCAGCCGGAGGCGAGGATATCGACGGCTCCTTTGTCCCCGTGGGGACAACCGTCGGCGTGAACCACTTCGCCTGCTTCCGACATCCAGCAAACTTCCACCAGGCAGACTCCTTTCTGCCGGAGCGATGGCTTCCAGACCGGCGAGACCAAAACCCCTTCGACCGCGACAACAGGGCCTGTCTGCAGCCGTTCTCGTACGGCCCGCGCAACTGTCTGGGGAAGAACCTCGCGCGGGCGGAGATGCGGCTCATTCTGGCAAGGATGCTGTGGCGATTCGATCTGGAGTTGGACGAGACGATGACCAGCAGTAGCAGTAGCATTAGCGCATGGCATGATTCGCAGCGCGTGTTTGGGTTTTGGCTTAAGCCGCCGTTGATGTGTAGGGTGACGCCAGTCGATAGGAAGGAATAGAAATTCAGAGGGTAGTTCCTTGATATCCTAGGAATATATATCATATAATACCAGAATGGATATAAAAAGTATTACTATTAGGAACAATATACTTCCAAAAGAAAATTAGCTAGAAATGTGCTATGAAACGAGTTTTTCACTTGCGATATTCTCTACGCAGAGAAGGTGGGAATGTTTCGATACTGTTGACAGAGGAAGAGACCATGTTATAAATAAATTCACAGAGATAGTGGTACTGGAAAGAAAATGCCTAGTTACCTTCTTTCCTCTTCACGTTATATCGTAAAAATCAAGTATACCTAATTAAATATTCTGCAAAGGCAGAGTAACTGGATAGTATTATGCTTTATTATACTAATAATTCTCAGTATATAGATCTTTACCACATCTCCAGAATTATTTCGCATTCCTATGGAAGAAAAATTATTATAATACCAATCATTACTGCCCCTGATAAGAACTACCTTTCCCCGAATTCCCTCTTCAGCTCCTCCTGCTACTCCTCTTCACCCCCACAAACCAATACAGATACCCAAACGGCGGCAAGACAAGCTTCTCGCCACTACGAAACTCCCATTCGGACAAGTCAACTTCATCATCGTCATCATCAACGCCATTGGCGTGCTGGCCGCCACTCCTCCTCCTATCGTAGATAAGAGCCCGAAGCTCCCTCTCCGTCCTGCCCCGAATGCACGACACGTACCCGTCCCAGGCGAAAAACAGTGGGATGATCGGGATGATGTACGTGAATACCATGTGCAGCGGCGAGTGCCAGAACCAGTGAAGCGTCGTAAGCAGCGTGCCGAGGACGACGAGTGTTGTGTTTAGCAGGGCGGAGATGGTGCGGTGGGTGAGTTCGAAGATACTACAGTACCCCATATTAGCTATATACTTTTGTCTAAAAAAAAGGAAATGGGATAATGACACTGATAATAGGATAACACGACAGACAGCAAGGTAATATACTCACACAAACGCATCCGCCCCTTTAACAGCGCTCCTAAGCACCTTTCTCGCACTGTCGTCATCAAAATGATGGAAGCAAAGATTAAACATCCGACACTCCTTCTTCCTCTCGCCATCAGGCAGGTACTTCACCGTGCGAGTTGCATCGACCGGCTTCTCGATATACGAAATGCACTCGCTCCGCTTGACGATCTGCCGCCAGGTGTCCAGATGAGGGTACAGATCCGCGAGGACGAACTGGACGGGCTGGCAGCCTCGAGATTGCAGTTTGCTGTTCAGCGTTCGTTCCAGGATGGGCGTGGGACCGCCCGCGCCGGCGCAGGCGTCGACGAAGACGAAGGATGAGATGTCCTCCCCCTTAGTGCTGCTGCTGCTGTCTTGCAGCTGCAGCTGCTCGAGCAGGATGTCGCAGGCTTGCGAGGCCGTTGTAGTGGATTTGCCTAGCCCTTTAGTCCGCCAGACCTGCGCGAGGAGCAGATGCGCGTATTCGCGGATCCAGGAGGGGAACCAGGGCAGGTCTTCGAGTTCGATGAGTTGGAGCCGGGGGAAGAGGATCATTTTGCTGAGCGGAGAAAATAGAGCGAGTCTTGATGCAGATGCGTGTCTTTTGTCGTGTTGATACAACAAGGTGTTTGTCTATCGTTGCATTGGCAGGCGCTGTGCCTCTCTTGAAGCAGAAGAAGCAGCAGACAGTGCAAGACACTTATTCTGGCAGGACCCTAGCAACGAAAGAGTGTCATAGACAGAAGAATATCGTAAGTCCGTCTAAGTCCGTGGTGTGACAACGGAACAACTGTCGGTAAGCAACGACCCTTGTCCATGGAATACAATCCAGATATGACCAACCAGCTGCCACCGTAAAGTGTAAATTGCTATTAAGACTGCTAACCTAGTTGTGACACAACAGCTCGGAGTCCGAGTAAAGCCGTCCTCTGTATGCACAAACTGAATCAAACCACTTCATTGATCGAAAGCTAGATCTAGGCTGGGCCTATATAATCTTAGCCCTGGTCTCAAGGATGACAATGCAGGGATTCACCCATTCAGTCCTGGACACCAACTGGCTGAGGAGTGTCTGCGTCTGCGTTTGCATCTGCATCTGCATGTCCACCCGCGTGGTCATTCGCATCTGCATTCGAAGCTTCCTTCGAAGCAGCAGCATTTCCATTCGTATTCCCAGTTAGGCCATCCTTTGGCACATCCTTTGAGCCTGCACCATCTTCATTGGCACCATCTTTCGGCGTAGCAGCATCTCCATTCGAGACGTCCTTCGAATCGTCCTTCGAAGCATCTTCCTCGGCCTCATTTCCATTTTCATTTCCATTCGTCTCAGCAAGCACCGGCTCCTCCAACTGCGTCAAGGCCGCCTTTCCCAGCGGCACCGTCGCAAACCGCAGCAGCGCCGCCCGGTTGACCTCCTCGGTGAGCTCCGTGCCCTCGCCGATCAGCTCTTCCAGATACTCAAAGTAGCGGACGAAGAATCCCGGCGTGATGGTGTTCACGAACACGGCCTCCTCATCGAACGGGTTGCTGAACCGGTGCGGCAGCCGGATCGGCACGGTCACCATGTCGCCGGCTTTGGCGTCGATGTCGGGCCGGCCCGGGGAGTGGAATCGGACGGTTCCCTTCTGTAGATAGATATCAGTAGACAGCATTATGAGGAATGCATATAGACTGACAATCACGAAGAACCCCTCATCGTGCATCTCATGGAAGTGAAAGACTGGTCCCTTGCTTCGCGGTGGGAGCAGGCTCTCGATGGCAGCGAGGCGGTATTGGGTATTGGATCCGTCCTCGACGATTCGGTAGAGGTCTGCAATCAACACTTAGTCAAGTCAGATTCCAGACTTACGTCTGGCGACTTACACTGCCCCAGCCGGCGCCACGGCACCTCGTCCGGTTTGAAATGGTGGATATGAAGCGTCTTTGCGTATTCGTAGGTAGCGGCGTCCATATTCGATTCGCAGGCAGCAGACTTAAAGAATAGACAATAAAACAAGACCTCCTCGTCGCGTTGTATACTGTGAATATATGTACAGTACAGCTATCACCAGCAGCAAAACAAACAACTCTTGTTGCCTGATCCTCCAGGATGGGAATGTCGCGTTCGTCTCTTGCTAGTTATAAAAGAATACGCGCCCGCCGCGAAATCGCACAGACAGACATATTTCTTATCTCATCCGAGCACAGACAGACAGACATTCAGACTGACTGACTGACTGACGGCCTGACTGACGACTTGATCGTCTGATCGTCCTCTCGGTCGGAATCCGGAGATGTTCAATCTTCACATGTATGTATGTCCGTTCCCTTATCATCCTTCCATCAATCGTATTGCACGACAGATCTGATCTGATCTGATCAGGCCGTCAAGAAAGACTCGACAGAGGAACTAACCACATGGGTAGATACAACGTGATTGTCGTGTGATTGTCCGCCTTGTATTGGCCGCCCGGACCATCCATCATTCAACTATCCGTTTGCAAGTGCAACATTGTCGCTCTCGTCGCTCGTCTTTGTGGTACACGCGTCCACACCGGATGCTGGTAGTACTCCATGTTGTTGTACTCCGTACTGTACTCGACACAAAAAAAAACAAGATCTGTTCGGTTCCCGGTTGAATGTGACCTGTCGATCGTATGATGTACCGCACAGACATGGCATGTGAAAGGCCGCAACTGCTCTGCTCTCCCGGTCGGATTTCGGACATACGCACTGACTCGACTGACTCGTTAGGTTGGGAGTGGATGTAGAACGACAGAAAAGGAATGTCTCGGGGACGTACAGAGGGGATGGGAGTACGAGTCAGCTGACACTCAACTCGAGCAGGGCTTAGGTCTAGGGCTAGGGCGTCTAGTTAGGGCTAGACGAGTCGCTTTATTCAATTAACAATGGATATCAATATAGACACGAGAGACGATATGGACCTGCTTTATAGAGAAGAAAGATATATGGTAATAGGGGCAGGAAAAGCTCACTCGCAGCTCTTCTCTCATTCTCGAATAAGCAGCGAATTCAGTCATATCATATCCTTTTCAGACCACTACCTAAGAATTACTCCCAGCACAGCACAACTAACCTCGATTTCCACCCGCCCAGCGCAATTCCCACAGACCGCGAGAGCTATGCGAAGTAAAGCCAGCAGTGAGATTGACCTGTAGAAGCATCAGCAACAAAAAAAATATACATTACATCCAAGGTTCTGCATACGCTAAACTCCGGACTCGCCTTCTCGAACAACGCCCTCCACTCCCCCTCCCTCCTCTGCTTGACATTGTGCATCGTCGTCAGCGTCACGTCCCGCCGTCGATAGGCCTTTTCGACGTGCGGCGCAAACGTCCCCGGCGCGGGGGACAGGAGCTCGTTGACCAGGACGACTGCGTTCTGATTGTTAGCCATCACGGGGACGAAGGTCTGGAGTAATCGGATGCATTTCTCGTCCGGTAGATTCCAGAGAATGTTCCTGATGATGTAGATCAGCGCTTTCCCTGTAGACCTTCCAGGCAGCTTCTGCTCCTGCGGCGCAAAGAGTTCGTGGTGCTGGAATTGGATCCGTCCTTGTAACTCTGAAGGGAGCGATTGCCGACCCTTGGCGAGAAGAGCTTCCGATGCGTCCTGTACTTCGAATGACAGGGCTGGGAACTCCCCTGCTAGAAATCGCGATACTGGTCCATCGCCTCCGCCAATCTCGATCACCAGAGGGCGCGCATCTCCCTTTGTATTCGTCGTGAACCAGTCATGGAAGAGGGCATTTCCGGGGTCGAGAGCTGTCAAAAAGAAAAAAAAAGGTACATATAAGCGTAAATTCAAGAAACAGAATTAGGCCACTGTCAACTCACTCTGCGAGACACCCTCCATGGCCAGCTGGAACCGCTTCGCTTTGTCTGGGTGGGCTCGATGCCAGTCGTACATTGGTTTTCCCCAGCTGATTCAACTCTAGGTCAGTAAAGTAGATGACGACTCGTCAGGAAAGTATCAACCCACGCATAGTTAAATGCCGACTGCCCAGTCCAGTAGTCGTTGGGCTTCCTCTTCAACGTGTCCGCCAGATGGGCGCTGGCCACGCGGGTCTCAAACAGTCTGCTAAGCTGTCAGAAAGATACCAAGATTGACACTTGTGATATTAAACATACTGAAACCCAATAAACGCCCTGAACTTGGGATCCCGCACCAGCTGCTCCGATATCGCTGTATGGGCAAACACACCCTCAGACACCTCCCTCACGATATCCTCGCAGGCGTTCAGACGCAGAATGCAGAGCAGCTTATCCTCCGGGATCCCAGACTTCGCCGCCAGCTCCGACACGTGCACGCCGTGCACTTCTTCGTCGAGGGGGATTTTCTCCAGCACGCCACTCTCCAGCAGCGTATACAACGCCCCCTGGTCCCAGTTGGACGACACGTACTCGTGCAGGAACCCGTGCGGCCCGTCAAGCAGCTTGGTCAGCTGCTTCGTCAGGCCCCAGATGGTGCTGCGTGCCCGCTCGATGGCTCCCGTGTGCGTTGTCCAGACCGCGCTGGTGGCGCCGACTTCGAGCGAGGGCTCCGCGATCCCGTCGCGTCTCAGCTGTTTGATCAGATTATACGTTTCGTAGAAGATCTCCCCAGCCAGGGATAGCAGGGTGACTGGTTCGGACTGTGCCATTGTCTGTCTGTTGTCTGTCTGTCTGTCTGTCTGTATTGTTGATTCGACGTGTCTTGTCTTTCTTGCTGTGAAAGGAAGTTGATGTCTCTCTTTTTTTCGATTCTTCTTTTTTTTTTCGATCTATCAGCTGCAGAGAATCACCACGGAGGATAAATATTCGACGTGGCTGACCTGCCAACACACTGACCGGCCGGTTCGGGTTCCGAGTCATGGCCTTGCATGCCTTCCCATGCAGCCTGCCGCGACACAATAGATTAAATGCCGATAGATTAAGGCCCTTTTCTTTTTCTTATATACCTGAAGCCCATCTGCCAGCAAGTTCGAACACCTGTCTCTAACAGACGTCAAGATTCTATTCCAACTCCACAGACGAAGGTCTTGTTTTCATTTCCATTATCCAAGAAAATCTTTTAATTAAACCGATCATACTGAATATACACATGGTACTCTCTACAAACCGAGCACGATTCTGCCTTCTATGACTGAATGTCAAACGACATATCTGGGTTCGATGCCAACAGATCGAACAGAAACGTCTCAGACTGACTGTCCATCGACACTACGTCCTCGTCGCTGAGATGCCGACGTTTCCTGCTTGGAGGTCCCATCGGACGCCTCGGGGCTCTGGATGGATAAGACTGCTGCCGGAGTGCGTCCGCCGGCTGGGTCAGATAGGACATGTCTACTGGAGTCAGCAAGCTGGGCGGAGTGATCGTGCCGGGTGTGTCAATCTGATTCGTATTGGTAGTGACCGTAGTGCTCTTATTCGTGAAGCCATCCCAGGACACCGTCACAGCAGGCACTGCTCCCGTTGGCGATGTCAGATCACCAAAGTCTGTAAGATTCGGCACACCAGCAACTAGACTCTGTGTGGATGGTGTTCCCTGGCTATGGAAGCTGTCTTGAGTTTCTAACGACGACGTCTGGGGATTGATTATGAGGTGGATAATTTCGAGTAATCTCTCGAACGCGCGGCCTACTCGACGGGTATAATTGTCCGCTGGGATTCGCGAATCCAGTCCTTTGAAGCAGGCGCACACCATCTGCAGCAGATTGAGGTCCCCTTCCGCTTGGGCCTGATTGTCGCCTGAGATGGACCCCACAATGTTCTTCGCCATCAGGAAGAATGCCGGCACAGGAAACGAGCTGAGCAGACGGTGGAAGTGGGATGGGCCCGGCTCATGAGCCTTTTCGTTTTTCGCAGCAGCAAAGTCTGCATGATCCTGCGTGTTTTTATCCTGCTGCTGACCCAGTTTCCTATCCACAAATTTCAGTGAATGCATCGAAAGCAACAGACCCTCCAGCCATTCAACCATAGCCGGATTGTGCTCGTCGAGGGATGTCAGCAACAGCAGGCAGCTCGCCCTCGCGTCGTTCAACGCCCGCCGGAGATGACCCGGATCGGGACTCCCATGAAAGGCCGTGATGCGAGCGGCAAAGTAATCCAGCTTCAAGTCAATATCCTGCCCCACCAGATGCGATGAGCTATATATGTCATGTGCATTCGCCCAGCGTTCCAGTCTTTGGTCCACCCGTGCAAGGGCAATCTTGTGCTCGGCGACAGACTGCTTCTGGGACTCGGCGGAGTGAAAGAGCCGATAGATCTCCTCTTGCAGCATGGCCAGTTCCATGCGTGCCGCATACGTCGGATCAGAAAATGCCGGTTGACTGAGCACGGAGGAGATGCCGCAGTCAAATGAAGGGAGCCAGCAAATCGACCCTCGTGAGATGGCACAGCTCTTATCAAGAAGGTACAACGACCGGAGGACCTTAAATCTCTCCTCCGCCTCCTCTTGACTGACCCCATTTGAAGCAGCGTGCATCTGGTGAAGACCAATGGTCCGCACCAGCACGCAGGCCTGCGCAAAGATCGACTCCGCGAAGCCTGGCGGGTAGTACTGTTGGGCAGCGACACTCTTTGGTTGCCTCTCGTCAGTCCTTCCGAACGAGCCTGGAGGCGACAATCAACTCACCAGTAGAGCCAGAGCTTGGACATTAATTAATTTCGGAGCCATTAGGATCCGGGGGTTGCTGAGAGCCATACGGACCGTGAGGAGAAATGGTCGCACAAACTGGGACCCCATGAGCGAATCATTGCTGCCATGGTTAGGGTTCTCGAAGCCAAGAACAAGCAGAATGACGACATTGAAGCAGATGGCCCACGCCTCATCCGCCGGCGCGAACGGCCGACTGTAGATCCGTTCCACGTTGGATAGGAAATTGGACTGCACGAATATATCGGTCGTGTAGTCGGACTGCTGGAAGAATTGGGTCTGAGCCATCAGGAGAAACTGCTTGGGAGGCAGTCGAACGGGGTTGTAGCCCGGCGGCAAATCGAAGGTCTCTTCGATCTGCGCTTCCAGGCACAAGCGAGTAAGCAGCCCTTTCAGCTCTTCATTGCGAGCGACGCCATCATGCATCTCGCCCTGCTGCGGCTGACTCTGTGATGAAGGTGAGCAATGGATCTGTCTTTCCGACAGGATAGTATCACAAAACTCCTTGCAGAGAGCAAACAAAGTACACGGGCCGTGGTACCGATCGATGAGGTCCCCCTGGCTGCGAACGATGTGGCGATCCGTTACGATCCGACAGGGAGTCTCGTCGGTGAACTTTGCCTCCGCTGCAGTCGTGTTCACCATCTCGTCCTCGTCGGTCGTCGGATCCAAGAAGGAGGATCCGCGGCCTCCGTTGACTCTGAGAATCGCTGTCAATCTCGAGAGCTCACCTTCGATGTTGCTCAGGCGATCCTCCAGCCCACCGAAGCTGTGGCATCTGCCAGACGTTAGTACCCGCTGGACAAACGAACAATCTACTTTTAAAAATAATTCTAGAAAACTGGAAGAACAACGTACAGCAGCTTGATATGGTTTACTCTCTTTCGCGGGGTCGAATATCCGCATTCCAACCCATCCCGCTTGCAGCTCGCACACTGAGGTCTTTCACGGCCACAACGTATCTTCTTCTCCCGGCAGTGGGTGCAGGCCAGGTCGTGGGTCGACCACGAATGTACCTAGGGCAAGGAGCCCAATTAGCTACTCTAATTTGGCAAAGAAAGATAGGTGCCGCCTGTAAGTCCGTCGACGTTGGTACCACGGGGAAGAATAACGCATTCTAGCTTACTTGTTTTTCAGAGGACATATCCGGGCGCATCCGAATAGATATCTCACAGACTTGATGCAGAGACCCAAAATTTGTCCAAGTCTTGTGGCACTTGAAAGCGTCCTGAAGAATTGGCAGGATTGAAGTAAAAAGCGCCGTACATGTAGAGGCCTGATTCCGTGGGCCAGATGGTGAGTATAAAGCTCGACAGCGTCTCCTGTAGCGATCTGATACGATCTTATTACTCGAAACAAATTCCCGCTATTGCAAAAGCAGATGACGGGGGAAGCGATCGCTAATACACGGTCCCAGAATGGACTGGAGCCTAGACAGAGGGCCAGGAATGGCCATTACAGACCCATCTGTCGACTGTGCGTAGGAATTAAGCCACTTAACACGCGACGTTTGCAATAATTGTGTGGTGGTGCACTGTAATCATCTCATCGTGTTCGAGCCGGGTGATGAAAGATCGCTTATCCATCCATGTACTCCATACAGATACTGCAAATCCTCCCCACGAGGCAGTATGCCGTCTAGCCTACAAGCACGTTATTGGATCCGTCGTGATATCGATTGATATTGGCCTGCCTGGCGAACAGCCGAGCTTCAGAACCTATGGAGAGCTCGCACATGACAGATTGCAGGACGTTCTGTTTAAGATCCGAATACGCCTCACGCTCACTGAGGCAAATTGCCAATAACATGGCTGTATATCCAGCAAAAAATCGTTCATCGAGCCATTCACATTGATCACAAGGAGGAATGTAAATCGAGACAGGGGAGAGAGGCCTGACGGGGCCGAGTATGCATTGCCCAGCTTGCTTGCAGCCTGATTCATTGCTTTTTTTTCTCGTTTCGTGATAGGCAGCGGTCGGAGGCGAATCAGTTTCGAGTCAGGGTGGACAATTTCGAGTCAGTGAGGAACTTGGCGCCAGGGTCCTTGTCCGCCTCAGTCTGTCATACATGGTCCTAATGCGGTCAGCGACGTTGTGCTTATCAACGTGCTAACGACCTGGCTGTTCCGTGGTTGGTATCTTGGCCCGTATTCTCCGTGTGACAACATCTCCTGGTCTTCTGATTGAGCAGATGACTCCCAAAATAGGCTGTGGAAGGGCGATCCTCAAGATGATCGCCGGGCCCGGGAGTCCGGGACACTACGTAATGTTTGAAAGCTGAGGCCACCAAGGAAGGAGCGATATCAGCCTCTTCCACCGCGCTCAAACGCATATTGCTATTGTATTGTGACTTTCCCAAGCTGAGATCGGAAATGGTTGATCGTCTCACTGCCTCTGTTCCTCCTCAGGGGTGTGTCGGAATCCTGCAGATCAAACACACTGTGCGATCCACCCGACAGGGCGAGACTGAAGCCAATCAGATGTAGTGGATGAGAGATCCGTTTGCTGTTCAGCCACGATGTATGCCTAGACATCATACACCGACGACCGATGAGTTCCCATTGCCGGTGGGACCGAGATATGTAGGTGGTACGGTGAGACCTCAACCTGCGCCGGGTCCGATGAACGACGGAAAGCAGCCACGGCTCGATCAGCTTCGGGCAATCTCTTGTGCGACTCAACAAGTTAGGCCACCTCTACTCTGTCTCTGGGTCACCAATTAGGACTTTGATTCACTCAGGATCATTGGTGATGCCAAGTCTGACACATTGGAATTTAAGCTGATCGGGGGTCCGAATCGTGGTCGCCCTAACTCTCCACCATGGCGGGACATTCACGAAGCGTACACCCACACGAAGACGATGAACGAGTCAGCCTTATTCGTATAACAGCTCTGTGCAACCGATTGCTCGAAAATTTCCGAAATCGCCTCGTTTGCGACGAAAACGTAACCAAGGGGAATATTTGATTGCCGTGGAAATTCGCTTCTCGATTTCCCAGACAAATAATAACTATTACTCGTTTCGGGACAGAAGGAATTTCGGAATCGTGAAATACTGGTCCTGTACAACCGCGCATTATCAGTTCAATATGTTGACGCAATGCTTCTGCAGTGGTGGACGCCCGTGTCATCATGGTTCCCAGCGACCAGGTTTGACGCCAATCACGGACGAACCAGGGTGCTTGTTCTAGGGCGATCGATAAATCCTTATCAATCAGATGGCTCATGGCTGGTTAGTGGCGCAGACCAGTTTTGAATAGGCTCAACGACTTCTGCAGATCGAGATGCGATGGCTGAAGAAATTGAAATCGTTCCTTGCTTTGGGCGGAGTTGGACCGACTGGACTTGCCAGAAATGGAAAAGATCCAGTCTTCAGCACTGTTGATTCTCGCCTGCACCATCTCGCTGGCGCAGAGCAGATTCGGGCCAAACCAGGGATCCTGCACGCTTCCCGTGACATCCGAGAGACGGAGGAGGGGATAATTCCGGTAATGGTAGCCTGAAGATCGGGGTTTCGGACATGCAGAGCGATCATTGTTTAGTAAGCGAGAATGAATTGATATCTTGCTTAGAAATGTAGGAATGACTGCCTGCAATCCCAGGCAGAATTCGCGTGACTTCGATTATGTCAGGAAGGGCAATAGAGCTTAGTAGGCGTGGAGAACACGTGTCACCGGATGCTGCCTGCCTTGTTTGGGCGCCTCTTATCACCCCGCCCTTAGCATCTCCTTCTTTCTTCCAACAAATACCCTGTTCTTTACATCCTGCGGGCAAAAGAAAAAAAAAACACCCTGTTCTTACTTCCTGTGGACTGTGATGATATTGATGTGGAAATGCACCACCGAGTCCAAGGACTTGAGAGGAGCATTCCTTCCTACGTATACCAGATGATATCTTATCTGAGTCCCATCATTCGCACCACGTATCCTTCTTGACACCCCCTGCATCCGAGTTTTTGTCTCGTTGGCATCATATTTCCTCAATAACGACACACCTTTTGATGTTGAGAGAGCAACAAACTAGTTATTGCAAGAAATAAGTTCATCCTCGACTTTTTCAATCTCTCAATGATAAGTATTTTAGATAGCAGCAGGCCGAACTGGAGATTTTGTAAGTGCTTATAAAGGATCCAACATCTGTAGCCATGGTTCCTATGCTGAATTCTGATACTGACCTTCAATGGCGACGTATCAAGATAGAGAACCTTTGCCCATTCAGATCCTTCTCTTATGTTGACAGTTGTCAACCTCGGGCGTCTGTGAAAAGACCTTCATCATCACTTTTTTTTCTTTTCTTTTTTTTTTGCGCCTGAATGGAAATAAAATTCAATAACAGATATATATAGGAACATATTCTAAGTATATAATCCTTGTCCTGGGTTATGAAATAAGTACAGAATTTCCACAGATCTGAAGGCCTAGGATAACCTGGCGAAGCGAAGAACTAAGAGCGACAAAGAAAAAAAATAGCGCATCCAAAAAGGGCGAACTCTTAAGTCTCACAGCGAAATCGAGGGAAAATAAGTAGAGAATGCTTGTACGACCGACTTACAACCCGTACAGCGTACCTAGGTAAATCCTAAGTCGGGGAGGCGCTGAGTAACTGTTGTCACTCTGGCTAGCATCTAGCATCGATTTATGGTGGCATTCACTTTGATATCTTCGTATTAACCCAGTAGAGATCTCCTGTATTTACTCTCAGCATAGATCAGCTGCGTAGCACATGACCTGGCCCAAGGTCACCTCCTACAATCTCTCCCACCCCAAGAATCCAAACTCTGTCCACACTCAAACCACTTGACGTCAATATCTACCACCAGAATGGCCAGTCTTGGAAACGACTTGATCAACAGCACCCCAGTCCTCCACAATGTCTGGCCGTCATGAAAGTCAATCGTCGCCAGAAGCGAAACCAGTCCCTGCATCGCGTGATCTGGCGCTTGCAGAGACATACCCTCCAGTCAAATTACAACAATCAGAGAAATGAAGAAGATCGTCGCCGCCCAGTAGAGCAGACTGGAACAAGGAACTGACGAGAACCAACGTCTCGCTTTCGACCATGTGACGCCTGCGCAATTTGCGAAGATCGAAAAACACAGAACGCACCTTAGGTGGCATATCCGGTTTACGTATTTCGCCGATATCGAGACCTTGATCATCAAGCTTCCAACAGAAGCTTACGAGAGGGCGCATCTGAGCTTTGGGCAGCTCATATATACTAAAGTGATAGAAATGGGTATCGGATACGAGCAATTCTGTGGCATCGGGGCGACTATGTACTTTGGCCAAAGTGCGTCAGCAAAGGAAGGCGACTCCTCCTGGAAGAATCTCCGTATGAGATCTAACAAAGGGGATTGGCCATCCCTCGTAATTCAGGCTGGGATGTCAGAATCATTGCCGCGACTCCGCTCTAACGCTAGATGGTGGATTGAACATTCGGACGGCAGAGTGAACATAGTTCTGCTCATTTGGATTCGTCCTGCTATGAAAACAGTCAAGATCGAGAAATGGGAACGAGGACAAGCGCCTACTACGAGAACAAGTGCTCGCCTCAATCCATCCAATGCTTTTCCTACGCAAACGGCAGAGATCACAGTCCAATCGAATTCGAATACCGTCACTGGCGCACCGCTGATTCTCGAATTCAGCAAGATTTTTGATCACCTTCCGACCCCTCCTGCAGAGCACGTTTGTGTAATTACTGTTGCGGATCTTGCCAACTGGGCCTCACTGTTGTGGATAGGACTCTAATAGGCCACTGGTAGCCGCCTTTTCTGTGCCCACCATCTCAATTGACATGCGCCCTTCGTGCGACTGATTCATGGATGTGGAATTGGTTGTTCTCGATCTGTTCTTCTTCCTTCCTTCCTTCCTTCCTTCCTTGCTTTCTTTCTTTTTATTTTTTATTTTTATTTTCCCCCCCTTCTTCTAGTTTTTTACAGCCTGTATCCCTTGCCTGTGTGTACGGAGTACAGCACGATACCCGAAAGTACTGGGATTGATAGAAACTATTAATAAATAGAAACTCCCATATGATTTATCTTACATATCGACATCCCTCATGCATCATTACAGTGCTGTGCATCCTATATGTGTGCTGTACTATACGTATGTAGTGACCATGCAAGATGCCAAATCTAAAATTTGAAAAAAGCTATGAAGTTCTTTCTTTGAAGAGAACCCAAACAGGAACGCTGGAGAGAAAAAAATGTGTGGTGTCACTACACTACAACAATGACTCCTTGTACGACCGACTTACTCCGTACTCCGTACATACAAGGGGGGGAGGGGAAAGAGTGGAAGGAGGAATAAATAATCACACCGACAGAGTGTATGTACAGTACAGCATAAGTAGGTAGAAAACAAACTTGTAGTCAGTCAGTCCAAGTCCATCTGACTGTTTTTTCTCTTCCAGGCACATACCTGATATCAAAATGTCCACGAAATCATCCACATCTCCCCTCTCCGGCCTCTGGCAACCCCAAGACCATCTAAAGCATCTCTACTACGGCCCAGGCTGCGTCCAGAAGCACCTCCTCGACACCCTTCCCTCCCCAGACTCGAAGGTGTTCATCCTCACGGTCACATCGATCGCCACCAAGACGCCTCTGATCCAGCAACTGGAGACCTTACTCGGCGAGCACCATCACGCAGGCACCTTCTCCCGCATCAAGCAGCATGGCCAGGTCGCAGAGGTCGACCTGGCGACGGAGGAAGTAGCTGCGGATCCATCCATCGACACGATCCTGTCTGTCGGGGGTGGGTCGTCGATCGATTCCGCGAAGACCATCTCGTACCGCATGTTTGAGCGGAGAGGCAAGTTCCTCACGCACATCGCCATTCCTACGACTCTCAGTGCGGCAGAGTGTACGGCTGCTGGGGGGTACACCAAAGCGGACGGTGTGAAGACGGGGTTTGCCGCGCCAGGCATGGGCATCAGCGCCATTTTCTACGATGCCGAGTTCGCGAGATACACGCCTGCAAAGCTGTGGCTTGCCACGGGGATGCGCGCTGTAGACCATGCCGTCGAGTCGTATTATCACCCGTATGCGGCCGAGATGCCGTGGAAGGCGCTGTCGAATTGGGCGCTGGCGACTTTCTTTGAGTGTCTGCCCAAAGCTCGCGAATCGCACCCAAAGGACGAGGATCTGATCACTAGATTGCAGCTCGCTGCGTTTGCTAGCTCGGGCTTGCGTGGGAAGAATGTCAAGGGTGGGATGGGCCTGTCGCATAGTTTGGGACATGCCTTGGGTAGTCCGTACGGGATTCCACGTGAGTATAACAACGTTTAAACAGTGATAGAAAATGATGTGCAGACGTAACTAACTCTGCCAGACGGCGAAACCAGCTGCATCACCCTCGGCCCAGTCGTCAAGTTCAAAGCCGCGAACAACCCAGAGGACGCGAGACAGATCGCCAGACTCCTGCCCGCAACCGGCGGAGCGCCCACGGGAGACGATTACCGCGATGCCCTTGAGGTGGGCGACCGTATTCTCGGACTGGTTGATCGCCTGGGACTGCGACAGAGTCTGACAGAAAGGGGTGTCTCGCGCGATGAGATCCCCAGGATCGTGCAGCGAGCGAGTGGTGCATTGAGCAAGGGAGAGACGTATGATGAAGTGTTGAAGCTCGTGGAGGGATTCTTCTGAAGCATGGCAGTAAACAGGCATGTTGAAGGCCAGTCAGGCAGAAAGATAATAATCACATAAGCACTGTCTTTGTTTTCTTTTTACCTTTCTAGAACTCCACGTAGCTATTGTAGCGCGTGAATCAGTCAGAGAATACAGTACAATCTAGTATCAAGTCGTAAGAAGAATGGATTGCAACAACACAGCCAGCCGTCATCTGCCCATGCTAACGATACAGGGTATAAGAAGTATGAGAAACCATAGGTAGCATCTTCCATAACTCGTAACGGGCATAAGCGTTCCGAGAGTCATCACCGCCATAAGTTCAGACTGACCTGCAGGCTTCTCTACTAGAAGAAAACGTGATTCATTACAGACTTCCTCAGAGTCATCACACTCGCATCGCTCGAATCTTTTGCAGGGCCTTGAGCTCCTTGTCCAATTTGCCAATAATGCTCGCCATCGGATGGTGGTGAGCTGAGATGCGACGAAGCTGGCCGGAAAGAGCCGCATTGGAAGAGTTGTCGTGCGACCTCGACACCAAAACGTTTGATGGGAGGAAAGAAAACCTCTCGCTGAGGGCCGACCACATCGGTTCAAGGAATGCCGCAATCGCATTGCGAGCATCTGAAGAAGAACCGTGTTCTCGTTCCTCCTCGCGCATGATAACCTGTTGAATAGATTCGAGATGGTCGTCTAGAGTGGCGAGGTGAGTGAGTAGGGAATCCGTCTCAGAACTAAGCCTCGAGACAGCCGTATCCAGAAACTGCTCAAGACGACTCAGTTGACTTGCGAGCAGAGTGCCCTTTTCAGACCCCCTCTGCGATGAACCATACGACAGAAAACGGCCCCAAAAACTCTCATCATTCGAGCTCTTTCCTTGTAAAAGGCCCGGGTGATTCTGTGCGTCCCGGCTCCTCCGTGCTTCTTGCGAGACCAAGTTGTCAGAAATCGATTTCAAGCCGACTCGGAGAGTGTCAAGCTCTCGAGAAGCGCTTCGAAGCGCTGTCCAGGCGCCTTCGAATTCAAGATCCAGTTCATGTCTGGCTCCAGGATAAGTGTCACGTATGGTGTTGTATATTTGTCGAAATTCCCGGTCACTGAGCTTCAGCGGGTTGTCGAGCGGTGTCAATGCCTGTACAGTCTGGTTTAAGAAATCTTGCAGCTGAATTCTGGTTTTGACAGCATGCTGATAACTTGCCGGCAAACCGGCAAGTTTGGGGGAAGTGCCGTTGTGGACGACACAGGTCTTTGGGTAAAGAGTTGAAGCAGAAGGCAGTTGACAGAGCTGTGGGAACTGATACAGCAGCTCTGGAAGGATGAGGAGGTGCAACATAGGGATCAGAAGGATCGTATTGACAGCCATCCAAACGACCTTGCTCTGTCCTAATCTTTGAGCCAGGTAAGAGATCTTGTGAAGGACAAACTCCATGCCACTTGCAGCTGGTGCAGGGGTATCTGCAGGCGTCTTGTGCCGATCCGTCGCGCATCCTTGGTCCCGCTGGCTTGCAGAAGAGGCCATGCCTTGATCTCGAGGCGAAATCTGCTTGCTCCGTCTTCTGGGTACGACCCAAGAGCCGTCGGAGGTCATGTCGATGGATATCGATGGCATAATGAGCTCTGGTCCGGAGGTGGAAGAGGTGGACGTGATTTGCGATTCTGAAGGAGACTTTCCATCAGATCTGTACGATCTGGGTTCTGAGCTGCCTTTATTGTGCACACATTCGGCATCGCCATCGTCGCGTGTTTGCCCAGGAGGTAGGTCAGGAACAACCCACGACTCCCCTAAGACTGAGCTGTTCTGAGCTGCGTTGGAGGACATAATCACGACGACCTCTGCATAATTTCAGCGAGAATCTCTTAGAGTAGATCATGACGATGTGGCTGGTTTCATGCTCTGTACCTTAGTAGAACGCTTCGAATGCAATATTCGGTATGCAGACAGTCTCGCATGCCCCATGCCAGGTGACCATGACAGATATCAAAGGCAGAGGCACGATCACATCGATCGGATGAAAGGTGATGGTTGATGATGCTCTTGCGTGGGGTTGATCGTTGTTGACAGGACACGAAAGCTGCTCTGTGGTTGGTCAGCGCGTCCGTCCGTCTGTCGGCGGGGAAAGCTGGACAGAAAAGAAATCGAAACAGCAAGGCTGTTGCACTCATCCCATCGCGCAATGCGCCGATTCAACACGCTCTGCTACAGACAGTACCGCTTCGCAGGGCCACCTGCTGTCTCCATCGACCGACAATGGCCCAGAGCCAGTTCCCAGGTTCGACACTGCTCGTGTTCCGCGGCGCCCGTTGACCGGCCCAGAGCTGCTCCCGCCAGACACGCCAGCAACAGCGCCTCGAACATCCAGCCAGGCACGCCAGCTGCAGACCATCGAGTGCTGGGAACCGCCCAGGAGCTTTTCACCTCGTCCCCCTACAGCCCCGGCTCGCCGCTCTTCCTCCCCAATGGGACCCATGTGATCAACAAGCTGATCGCGTTCCTCCGCGCGCAGTACCGCCAGTACGGTTTCCGCGAAGTCCTCACGCCGAACATCTACAAGAAGTCCCTGTGGGAGGTGTCGGGCCATTGGCAGAATTACAAGGATGACATGTACGAGGTCCGGGGCCGAGGCGCCATGGGGGAGAAGGACGGAGAGCTGGGCGAAGACGAGTCGTACGGTCTCAAGCCGATGAACTGCCCCGGCCACTGCCTGCTGTTCAAGGCACAGAATCATTCCTACCGAGAGCTCCCCATCCGCTACGCCGATTTCAGTCCCTTGCACCGCAACGAGATCTCTGGCTCCCTCAGCGGCCTCACCCGGGTGCGGCGATTCCACCAGGATGATGGGCATATTTTCTGCCGGCCGCAACAGATCAAGCGGGAGATCGCCTTGGCCTTGGGTTTTGTGGACATGGTGATGAAGACGTTTGGTCTGGGACAATACCGTCTCGTTCTGTCTACCCGGCCGGAGAAGGACTTCATCGGCAGCTTGGAGCTGTGGGACAGCGCCGAAGCACAGCTGCGGGATGCGCTGAACAATACGGGCCGCCCATGGGAGCTGAATGAGGGGGACGGCGCGTTCTACGGGCCCAAGATCGATATCCAACTGCAGGACTCAGATGGCAAGTACCACCAACTGTCCACGATCCAGCTGGATCTGAACCTGCCCCAACGGTTTGGGCTGGAATACCAGGTTGCGCCCGGCGAAGAGGATTACAACCCAGACACTCCCGGAAAGGCCACGCCGGTGCTGATTCATCGGGCCATTTTTGGATCATTGGAACGATTCCTGGCCCTTCTGATCGAGCACTACGCGGGTCGGTGGCCGTTCTGGTTGTCTCCCCGCCAGGGCATCATCCTCACCGTGCAGCAGGACGACGCCGTGCTGCGCCAGGCCCAGGAGGCCGTCGCCAAGTTCTCAGGGTTCCGCACCCTGTTGTCCGGTCCGGAGGAGGGTTCTCAGCCTCCTGCGCCCCTTTCTTCGACCGACCCGACGTTCCTCATCGACCTCGACACCAGCAGCCAGCCGCTGGGCAAGAAGATCCAGCGAGCCAAGCAGATGAAATACAATCTGATCTTTGTGCTGGGGTCACGGAATCTCGACGATGGCAGCATCGAACTCGATGTGTCGGGTCAGATGCAGGGCAGCCGCGACGACGGGGCCGCCACGCTGCGTCGTCTGCTGGAAGATCGCGTTGGAGCAGACTCTCTGCAGAACCTCCGCGCGGTGAAGATGAAGATCGACGACGTGCATCCTCTCTTGCTGCAGCTCGAGAAGAATTTCTTGTGATGACTGTCCCGATCCTCTCCTCACGAAGACATGTCTGTATTATTAGATCCACATGTATGTACAGTAGTTACCTCTAGAGAGATATCCCACAACGTTTTTCCAGCTAGCATGAATAATATCAGGAGTCCAAGAGGAGATTGTGTCCACTGTCCACCCGCACAAACCCCATGAAGATCTACGACAGGATGATCTCGTCAATCAGCGGATCGAGAGTGGTCTACTCCGTAGTGCTAGAGTGGCCCGAAGTCCCCGAACAGGCCGGTTAGTAACTTAGTAATAGTACAGAGTACTCCGTACTCTACCAGTCTACCTACTGCCCTAAGCACGGCCGATAGGCACTCGGCACGTTAGGAACCGATGAACGGGGCTCTGCAGACGACCGGTGCCAATCATTCGCCGCGTTGGCTGCTGTGATCGTCAGTTGGTGGCTGAAGGCGGCGTGCCACGCGCAGTCTCCAGGTCTTCGACAGACCTTCTAGACTGAATCCACGCTACCAGCGAGCTAGTGGAGGCTGCGTGTTCCGTTCCACGCTTGCCATGCACTGCGTTAGGTTAGTTTTAGTTGGGCAGCATTAAGTCGGTGCTCTGGCAGAAAGGGAGTCTGAACGTCGCAACGGTGAGTCGATTTTTGAAAAAAAAAAAGAGAGAGGGAGAGAGAACGCTCTTCCTGTTCTAATGGCCAATGACAGCTTGTCGTAATTTTCTATTCCGTATTTTATTTCTTATTTTATTTCTTTTTGTGCGTGTCGACATGGCCTCCTCGCTGCAGTCATCTGTGGAGCGAATCACGATACGGAATGGCGGCAGGCTCGAGAGTCAAGGCCATGGCCGCGGTGTCCACTAGACTCTGGTATCGCAGCACACTGGATCACCAGCCTGCCAGGTGGGTCGGGCAGATCGTCTTCCAGACTCCAGCGAGTCCGGCCGTCCTGGCCGATAATCGCTCGCGCGTCTCTATGCCTCGTCTTCTTCGGAGTCGGTTAGCGAGTACGGAGTAGACAATCGGGGATGCTACATACCAGACAGGCAATCGCCATCCGTTCCAGACAGGAGAAACGAGGAGTTGCGCGAGGTCGAGAACGAACTGGTGCATCCAGAAGTTAAACGCGAGGGGGACCCCTTTTCTTGCAAAGCTTGGATGAACGAGACGGATGGGATGCCCTACGGACGGCTTACTCAGTTCCCCGCGCTCCCGGTCGACGCCCCACGGAACGAGCCTCGCATCTCTCCTCTCCCTGAAATTTAGTATCGAGCCAATCCATTATCCACCGCATCGTTGCTGCCATTGCTCTGCGAACGCCATCCGCGAAACCTGCCAGCCCGTATGGCAAGTAATGTCGCGCCGACGGCGAGCTGACTGACCGTGGCCATCGTCCTGACTGCTGCCTCTTCCCCGCCGCCATGGCGGAGGCGTCGGTCAAGAGCAGTCTTCCCAGGAAGAGCGCGTTCTCCTGCGAGGCCTGCCGGAAAAGAAAGGTATTTTTGGCTATTGTCCTTCTGTTATCTCCTGCGACCAGTGCAAGCGCTGATTAATCCGTCTCGCCAGGTAAAATGTAACGGAGCGAGTCCGTCGTGTGCGCGATGCGCTGCTCGTGGCGAAGTCTGCGTCTACAGTTTGTAAGCAGCTCGTGGTCCATGTCCCGGAGACGAACCAGCCTGTTGTTCGCCCTCGATGGTCGATTGGTTGCTGACTGGTAGGGGCATCGCTGAACCGGCAGAGCGCCGACATTATCCTACACCAAAACCCTCGAGGCCAAGATCGCGCAACTCGAGGAGGCCCTCGCGAAACTCCAGGGTGAACGAGCCCGTGAATCGGAAAACGCGTCCAAGTCGAGTCCCCATGGTTCGTCAGGAGACTTCAAGACCGAACCGGACGAGGGAGGAGAAGGCCTGGCGGACTTGACGGGAGACTTTGAGGGCTTGAAGGTGGAAGATGACGGCCGGATCTCGTTTCATGGCGCGACGAGTCTCTTTCACCTCCCCAGCGGCATGGTCAACGAGACTGCGACGTCGCCCCATACGGCTCTGGAACTCGAGGCGCGGAAAGAGCGACTGATCAACAATGCTTGGCGGGAAAGGGCATTCGAGCAGCTGGCTGCCATCCCTGTACGTCGTCGCAGCATCTTCTCGATCAGGTCTGGCGTTGCTGATGGCATTCTCAGGAACCGTTTCAATATCTCCTTGATTTCCACTGGTGTTGGATCCAACCACTGTTTAATTTTGTCTATCGACCGGCATTCACTCGTAAGTCATTTCCTCTTCATAAGAACTCTTCCAAGGTCGCTAACTTTGGGGGCATTTGCAGGCGATATGAAGGTGGCCGGTCCGTACTACTCCGATATTCTACTGAATGCGATCCTGTCCCATTCGGTACGATGGTGCAAGGGCGAGCCCAAAGTTGGTCCTCTGCTAGAGTCGTACGATGGTGGCGCCAAATTCTACCAATCGGCCGTTTCGGGGGTCTTTGACGCTCTCCGGGTCGGCTACCCCAAGATTCCTACGGTCCAGACGCTCCTCCTGCTCAGCGCCCAGGAGTGTGGGCGCGGAAATCGGACGCAGGCGTGGCTGTACAGTGGCATGGCGTTCCGGCTGGTGGAAGACCTGGGCATCTCGGTAGACAGCCGCAAGTATTCGCGATCCATCCCGTTCAGTGATGAGGACATTGAGATTCGGAACCGGCTCTTCTGGAGCTGTTACTTCTGGGACAAGCTCATCTCGCTCTACTTTGGCCGGTCTCCGGCCATCAAGAACTCCCGCGTCAGTCCTCCTCGGATGATCTGTAAGTCTGGTCCTTGCGTCTCGTCATGGATGCCACTGATTCACAAACACAGTGGACGACACGTCCGAGATTGAGCCCTGGGTTCCCCACGGCGTGGTCTTCCCGGAGGGCACGCATTACCCGCCCACGCAGGCTCACTCCACGTCCTGTTTCATGAAGATGTGTGGCCTGGCCGAAATTCTGAACCAGATCATCATCCACATCTATGACCCGCTTCGGCAGACGGGCGAAAACGAGTTCCTCGCCTGCGTCAAGGAGCAGGAAAAGAACCTGGCACGGTGGTGGGACGAGCTTCCGGACTATTTGCGACTCGTGGCCACAAATCTGCCCCCGTATTGTCCTCCCAGTCACATTGTCACCTTGAAGTAAGTGAGCCATCTCCAGCGGATGATATACCTACTAACATTTCTCAGCTGTCTCTACCATACTATCAACATCCTTCTTCATCGTCCCATCCTCTGTGGCCGACCGCGCACGTCCAAACAAGAGAGGCCGGACATGAACCATCTGATCCAGTGCATGACGTCGGCAACGTCGATTCTGGCCCTGTTCGATCTCTACCGCCGCACATTTGGCGACAGCTACGTCGTGCTCTCGCTTGCGTATAGCGTGTATACGGCCGCCTCGATTTTCCTGCTGGAGATTCAGGCGTTCAAGTACCCTGCTCCCGTGACGCTCGACAAGGTGAAGTTCTGCATCATCGCGTTGGAGCGGGTGAAGACGGCCAATCCGGTGATCAATACCGGTCTGGGTCTGATATACCAGGAGCTGCGGAAGCTCCAAATTGATATCCACGTGTCGACGACAGCAGGGCAGCCGACTGTCAGTCTGCATCCGCATCAATCTCAATCTCAACCTCAATCTCAGTCTCAACTGCAACAACCACAGCCGCAGCCTCCTCCGCCGCCTCAGCCTCAGCCTCAGGTCCAGACGCGGACCCCACCTCAGCACTCGCAACCTCCCCAACAGTCGCAGCAACCCAGCCGGCACATCTCACCATCGCAGCAATCTGCCGCCGCCGGGTCGACACCCTGCTCCCTTGGCCCTGGGTTAACGACAGCCTCGTCCACCGGCTCCGCGAGCCCTCCTGCTGCTGTACTACCTGGATACCAGCAGCAGTATCATCAGCAGCAGCCCATAACGAGCTTTGACCTGACGCAATCAACCGCCCCGTCGTCCTTCGCGGCCGGCGCACATCTTCAAGGCAGCGACGGCAGCGCCGGCAGCGCAGGCATGCCAGCCGTAATGCTAAACCCAGACGGCACGACAATGACATACGAAATCACGCCCGAAGTCTTCGAGGCGTTTTCGTACGTCGAGCCCATCACGACGAACATGACACCCGCACCGGGCTATGATCCGTCGTCGTCGTGGGGGATGATGGGTGCGGGAATTAGTAGTTAGGTAGCCTCTCAATTCTCCGCTCTCTTGAATTTAATTATTTCACGAACGAAAGAACGACATGACGAACCTCTGACTTTACACTGTGAACGGTTCGGCGCGATGTGTTGCTTTTTTTTATACCAGCAGTAGCACCAGCAATGGAGGCGTTTGTTTCTTCTCTTGTTTTCTGATCATTCTTCTTTTTTAATTTGTCGTTCATCTCCCTCTCCATCTCCATCTCCTCATTTATGGGACAGAGATATACATATATATACACATAGCAGAATTTGGGCGTCCTTGGAGGAAATCGTTTCGTTTTGCTTTTGCTCTTGCTCTTCAACAGCTCGATGTATGTATTGTATTACTGTTCTTGTTTGTCTGTTAGGTATGTATGTATGTACGTACTTAAGTCAGTCAGATGGTTCCAGCTAGGAGGGAGGAGGGTCAGAAATAAATAAATAAAATAATACATTACATAGGATCCTGGATCTGGGCGTGTCTGTGGCTGCATGTCAGTTGGTAGTGTCGCTGGCCGGCGAGGACGATAGCTTGATAATATAACAGCGCCGGGTCCTAGGAAGTCGGGTGGGCGTATCTATATATCTAACTATCGACAAAAAAAAAAAGAAAAAAGAAAAAAGGAAAAAACCATAGGACTGACTGACTCGTCAATTAGTTTACTGTATGGAGTGTATGTGTAAACGTTAGCTGGACATAATGAAGTTTAATTATTTAGTAGCACGAAAAATGAAGGGAAAAAGTCTCAATTCATTTGATTTCGATTTTGATTTCCTCTGCTGTCCAATGAGCATAGATAGATAAGACAAATATATTTGCATAAATGGATAATATAAGCGCAAAAAAAAAAGAGTAATTATATATATTGCTGCAAATTTGTCCAAAACATAAAAATAATGACACTCGCTTTTTGGGGAAATCTGTGGTATGTTAGATATTTCCAAATATGTGTGAGTATATGAATATATATATGGATAGATGTATAGATGTATAGATGTAGAGCTCAGACAGCATTGTCTTGCGGGATAGGCTGCTTTGATTCAGAGGTTTTCTCTTCCTTGCGAGAAGCTTCGTAGTCGCTGATGTTGTCGTCACGCAGCGTGGCGCGCCAGCGGAGGTACCACGGTCCCTCGAAGAGCTCGCCCATGCGCTCCATCGGAACACCTTTCGTCTCCGGGGCTAGGATGCCCAGGATGACGATGCCGAGGAAGCAGATGCACGCCCAGAACACGTACGCGCCCCACACGTCCAGCGAGACGAACATGTTGGGCGTGACGCGCACGACGGCGAACTGGAAGAACCAGTGCAGCGACATGCTGATGGCGTAGGCGACGCTGCGGATACGCGTCGGGAACAGCTCCGAGCCGTAGATGTAGGGGATCGTGCACAGCCCGACGGACCAGCCGACGGCGTACACGAAGATGGACGCGATGGCCGCGTCCGACGCCGACTTGTTGTTGCCCGCGCCCGGGATCGCCATGTACACGGCCATGTAGATGTGCGCCGCCAGCTGGAGGGCCAGACCGACCAGCGAGCACCGTCGGCGGCCGAACAGGTCGATCAGCCCCCAGGTGAAGGCCATGGTGAAGACGAACTTGACGATGCCGTACGCGCCGGACGAGATGAGCGACTGGGCGTTGCCCGTCACGCCCGCGTAGGTGAAGATCTGCGGCACGTAGTAGGTGATGCCGTTGCCGCCGGTCCACTGGGCGATGGTCTGCATCGCCATGACGAGCCAGAAGCGGCTGCGGTAGTTGGGGTTGAGCTGGATCTCCTTGAAGATGCTCCACATGGACACGCCCTCCAGATCGGCGACGTGCGCGCGCACCTGGGCATCGATCTCGTCGAATTCCTTTTCCACGGCGGGGTCAGACGTGGTCGAGCCTCGCAGGCGGGCCAGCACCTGCCGGGCTTCCTCGTGGCGTTCCTTGGACGCCAGGTAGCGCGGGGTTTCGGGCAGGAAAAAGGAGCCGATGAAGCAGAAGCCGACAGGGATCAGCGGGATGGCCTGGACGAGGCGGTACTGGGTCCGGGTGGGCGCCATTTCCACGCTGGCAGCATAGTTGATGAAGAAGCCTGTGTATATCCGGTCAGTCGGAGAATCATTCCTCGCGTGTCTCGTCCGGTTTTCGTCGTACCCAATGCCAGGATGAACAGCAGAGTGACCATCGTCATGCTGACTGCCACTCCGCGAGTTCGAGCCGGGGCAATCTCGGACAGATACAGCGGCGAGATGACGGTGAGGGCGCCGGCGCCCAGACCGGCGAAGATGCGCGCGAACAGGAGGAGGCCGTAGATGCCGGACGAGAAGACCTGGATAAAGGTGCCGATGACATAGACGACGGTGGCCAGCTGCCAGGCGCGCAGGCGGCCGATGCGGTCGTTGAAGAAGATGGCCAGGAGGGCGCCAATGGCGGCGCCCAGCACCAAGAAGGAGGAGATGTTGGCCTTGCGGTTGGCCAGGCCAGTGGCATTTCCTTTCCAGTGGGAGGCAGAGAGGTTGAAGTCGTCGACGAAGGAGGGCAGGGTGACGCTGGCGCTGAAGCCGCCTTCATCGTAGCCTGGCGAAGAAGGCATCAATCAGCACGACGCAAGGCAGTGATCTGCGGCATCGCATACCTTTGGGGAGACATCCACAGGCGATCAGGAAGACAATGGACGCGTAGTAGGCGTTGGTCGTCCATCTGGACTGGCCAGCCGGCTGCTTGGGCTCCATGGCCGACGACGAGTCGAGGAAGAGACGATGTCTGCACAGTGAGGAGAGAATCGAGAGAGCATGGGCCTCGAAGGTTAGTTAAATAGAGGCAAGTAAGGTTAATAAATTCCGGCGATGCAGATGCCGGCGTCTGCTGCCGTCACGCTCTAGACAAGGGTGTGCAGACCCCTCGTCCTCAGCGCATCATTCGACGGCAGGATTTCTCCGATCGTTGTGCTTGCAGCAGGAGAAGAGATTCGCGATCAAGTTCTGCAACGATTAAGTTCTGCAACGCGGCCGCTAAGATGACGATTAATTAAGCGCGGCTCCACGGCGTGGCGGCCCCAAGGAGCAGTAAGCCTGCCCCAGATCATCCTTCTGTCCTCTGCTGCCATCTCAATTGACATCTGCGATCGAATCTCAGGTATTTTTTCCGGAGGACGACGCCGTTGTTCACTGTCTTGTGTCGCTTTTTCGCTAGGCGATCGCACGATGGGGCTGCCAGGAGGGGCTCGGTCAACTTCCGACGCTGCGTGGAGAGAGCCGACGCATGGCTGAGCGATGAGGAACAGCACAGCTGGCTGTGCAGGAGACGATGAAGAAAAGAAAAAGAAAGCATGGCTCATGGCTCTTATATCTCTGTCAGGCATTTTTCCGCACGTTGCAGGGACAGCTGGTGCTGCTGTGTCACCCAGACGGCATCCTTCCGAGCCGCCCGCCAGTCAGTCGCCATGTGGATGGCCTGGTTTTTTTTCCCTATTCTTTCTTTTTCATATAATTTTTTTCTTTCCTCCAGCCAGGTGAATGTCGCTTGCCATCTGTCCTGGCTGGCATCGCATCCTGCTGTACAGTTCAGTACATGAGCAGCTGTCAGCGTCGGAGATTTCCCGTTTCGACCCGTCGACTATCTCGACGACTATCAAATCCACAGATCGTGTCAGCTCAGGATGCTGCTCAACGGATCTAATCTAGAGAATCGCTAGTGGGGCTGGCCTGTCACTGAGATCGCCTTCTTTCCTCCTTGCACGCCGTCGGTCATTCACCGGTGGTGGCTCTTTCTTTATCCTCCATGCTTCCCTCGCTTGTTCTGCAGCCGTGCGTGGCTGTCCGGCGAGTTCCACCGGTGAGTGCCTGCTATGCTGTCTGAAAAAGTCCTCTATTCTCCTGTCTCTGTGAGACGATGTTGTATCGCTACCACCTATTCCATTGCGTGGATTGTCCGGTGTTCTTGCGGCCATGCTGACCAAGCTCAAGCTCAAGGTCCGCCTTTTCACAGCCCGTTTCCTCGCCAGCAAGAGCCAGACGCAGACGCAGACTGCTGCGTCGGTCAAGCCATCGCCTCTTGCGCAGAGGATTCCTCCTGAATCATGGGACAGCCACATGCATGTCGTTGACCCTCAGCGCTATCCCATGGCCCCGGGTGCGTTGTATACGCCCCGTCCGCACACGCTGGCCCACGCGCAGACCTTTGAGGCGTCTGTCGGCATGCGCAATGTCGTCCTGGTCCAGCCGTCCATCTACGCTTTCGACAATTCGTGTCTGCTCGACGCGCTGAAAGAGATGGGCCCGTCGCGGGCGCGCGGAGTGGTCGTCATCGATCCGGACTCAATCCAGCCCGAGACCCTGGCCCAGTGGCATGCGTTGGGCGTTCGCGGCGTTCGCGTGAACCTGAAATCGGTAGGCAAGGTCATGACGGGCGACGAACTGGCCGAGACGCTGGCAAAGCACGCCCAGGTCATCCGCCCGCTCGGCTGGGCGCTGCAGGTGTACGTCCCCCTCGACATGATGCCCGCGCTGGAGCGGTGTGTGCCGCAGCTGGGGGTCAAAGTCTGCGTCGACCACTATGGATCGCCGGATCTCTCTGCCGTCAAGGCCGACTCGTTCGACCCGTACGCCCTGCCGGGGTTCGCCTCGCTCGTCGCCCTTCTTCGCGCGGGACAGACGTATGTCAAGCTGTCAGCGCCGTATCGGCTGTCTCCGGATCCGCAGATGCGCGTCATTCGCGTTTTGACGCAAGAGCTGCTGCGAGTGGCGCGGGACCGGGTGGTGTATGCGACGGACTGGCCGCACACGCGGTTTGAGGGGGTCGACATTCGACCGTTTACCGAGATGTGTCTGCAGTTGTGCGGGGGGGATGCGGAGCTGGCGGAGCGTCTTTTTCAACGAAATGCAGAGGAGTTGTGGGATGTCTCACCTTGACTGTTCTTATTTCTTTGTTCGGTTGGACGCCGTAGTGGTTGCATGGGTGTGGTTGGCATCATTACGACTGTAGATTTTAGATTACAGCATAATATCATCTATGATACCCACGAAGTGCTCTCGATGTTAAGACTGCGTGTAAGATGCAATGTAAAACACCGCGTCATTCAGCGTGATCCACCTGAAGTCAGAATCAAGAAATATTCCATCATCCTAGCATTCACAAATTCTTTATCTAGCTCCAACCACGAGTCGACGAATACTTGGCCAACTTCCAATCCGGCTGTTCATACCTACCTACGCACTTACCTAGGTATGTAATCTTCTCGACGAATCTAAATACCTAATCTAAGTAGTAAATAATCTTAGTCCAATGAAGTTCCCAGCAGGTGATCCTTTTTCCTTAGACTTCTTTTGATAAACTTTTCTACTATAAATCTTAGATATTATTACTGAGATTGAGTTTGATCCGAAGTCAATATTATATTTATTCCTACACATGTACTGTACTGTACTGTACATATCTGTCATTCAACCGTTCTAAGTAAGTGAGACCGGATTGCAACGTCAAACCTACTTTCTCTACTCTCACTTACGTCCATAAATATGCTTGAGCAAGGTAAGAAGATCATCGACAGTATCATTCTCAGTTAGTCAGATAGTCAGCTAGTCAGTCAGTTAGGTACCTAAGTAGTCAGTAGTCTGGGCTGGTGAGCTTGTCAGTCAGTCAAGAAAACCAACCCATCTCGTGATCCTCGACATAGATCTTGGGAGGGAACGGACACCCACGACGACCATCAATAAAGACCGTTCCCTCAGCGCCATAATTCGGGCTCGGAACCACCTCGTAACCCGCGACGCGGACACGCGAGACCCCAGCATACCGCACCAGCATGTCGCACATGAGATCGACCTGCCCGGGCAGAGCGACCTGGCCGTCGTCGACCGTAGCGCACACGACGGCCGCCAAGCGGCTGGTCGCGGAAAACAGTCGCGGTACTCGTACTCCATCAGGTCGAAGCATGCGGTGCATCAGGGCGTGGACATGGCGCTCGCCAGCATGCGGGTCGAGAGTCCTGTACGGCATGGGAGGAATGTGCGCCATCAGCGCGCCGTGAGTAGACACGATCATCGCCACGCTGCATCCCTTCAGGTCCTGTGTGCCGATCGCTGCCACGGGGCTATCGCGCTCGAACGAGACGAACTTGATTCCGTCCATGGGCACGTCGCGCGCTTCGCCCATGAGGAGGGCTTGGTGGAAGGTGGAAGCGGCTGGGCGCGACGGAGTGGGCGGAGATGTAGGCCGAGGAGTAGTACTGCATGGTGCTGCTGAAGTCGGTTAAGTCGTGACTGTTGGTGTTGCTGCTGTTCCTGAGGATGACGCTTGTCGTTGATCGGACCTGATCTGATCTGTCTGATCTGATCTGATGGATCGATCGATCTGATCAAGGATACAATGATTCCAGACTGAAGAGTTTTTTATATCCATGGTCATAACAATAACTACAGTATATACGGCAAACAGCGACAAGGAAAGCATTACAAGTCAGTATTCTACGACCCATCCCGGCAGGAGTTGGATATCGAGTCGGTCTGGGCCGGAGTAAAGGATAACTACAGAACAGAAAACGGAATATAATGCAATGAAATGCTATTGTTTGCGAGGGTATATGATTCTTTCTTTATGACTCTTTGTCTGGAATCATCCAAAATGGACGACGACGATGAAAGGAAAATGATTATTATAAAAGCACGCTTTGTTCCGTCCGTCAGTCCCTTATAATGATACTGATGATAATATCTAGAGAAGAGTATCTGCAGATAGTAGAGCAATGCCTGTTAGAACAAAGGATTGTTTCTGCTACAATGGATTGTTTTTTCCGTCTTTGTCTTCTACAATATGTAGGTAGATAGCTGGCTAGGTAGATAGGGCATTATTCTCCAGCAGCGGCGGTGATATTCTCCATAATTAGATATTTGGCTAGATATTTTTTTAAAAAAAAAATCAAAATTCAAAAGTCGACTCCCTGACGTGATAGTATAATACCATACTACGATATGATATGGAAACATGGATAATTACGACCGTAGGAAACAAATTCTAAAAATTCCAGTCTTTTACTTCCATTATAAACTAAATATCTTTTTTTCTTTAGTTGTTGACCTATCTCTCCAATCCACGATTTTATTTTATTTTATTTTTATTTTTTTTTCCCAGTGAATAAATATGTAGTGTATCTATCTGCAGCATCGAACAAAGAACATTATCCTACCTGATGTATGTACTGTTGTACAGTACGTATGAGCAGTACAGTAACCCTAACCCTTGAGTTAGTTGACTTCCCGCTTCCTGCTGAATGCCTGCTAACCAGCCAGCCAGACTTGATAACTGGGTTTGAAAAGATCGATCTATATATGATAATATATGTAATCTCCATTTGTGTTCTGGTCGTTGGATTCTGATTAATTTAATCTCCACCACGTTACTCGATTGGATCCACGGGACTCTCCTGTGAAGCTTAGCTGGTGCTCTAGGAAACATGCACTATCTATTATGTCTGGAAGAATCAAGGACTGGTACCAGTATGAGTCTGTCACTCAAGAGGCTTGAGAAGGTCTGACGATACCTCATAATGGAAGCCAGACCTTATACTCGTCGAGCAAGCCGGCAGTTACGGGAAAAGAATATCTCGTCAATTCATCTGACGTATTTGCCGGAATTGTATTCAGTCATGATTGGTTATTTCTTGGTTATTTCTTGTCTATCAGACACGAACAGCAGCGTAAACTAATTAATCTCGATGATCAAACCACCAACAGAACAAGCTGACTCTTTCCGACAGAAGGACAGTTGGGTATATTCGATTGTATTCTATTTGACTTGGTTCGACTAAAGTCAATTGATCCTAATCCTAATCAAAGCGAACTGACTACCATTATCATCGTCATCATCATCAAATCAAGTCTTCCACTCAGCCACAGACGTGCATCCCCATTTATTGTTGTCGTCCTGTAAGCATAACACAGAAACAGCGCATTAGTATGCATCCATTCATCAATGTCCAAAGAAATGACGTGGAGAATAAGAGTGCACAAACCAAAACATAACAACACCACACATCATTAGCCTGCGGACAGGGTTGCTTCGCTTCTGGAGCGGGGGTACCTGCACCAACAACACCACAGAAAATCAATCAGCAGGGTATTCAACTCAACAGCATCAACAAGATTATGTTCAGGGTAGGGTCTTCGCACAGCTATCAGCAACAGTCATCCCATTGGGCCACTGCTCCACTCGCGAATCGTCGCAGCAGTACGGCTTCTGTGGGAATCCTTCGTCTTTGGCGAGGCTGCACCACCAGTTGCCGTTTCCGGCATTATTTGTAGTAGTACTGGCAAGGGAGACGCTGGCTAGAGAGGTGAGGAGAAGGAGAAGAGTAGTGGTATGCATTGTTGGTTGATTTTCGGACTGGTAGGGAGGTAGAAAATCGTATATCGCCTCAACCGGTAGTGGGCTAGGAAGAAAGAAGAGAAGAGATACAGAGTACAGATAGGAAGAAAAGAAGGGTTGATTGCATGCATTGCGTCTCGTGCTGCCAGGTACATGATTCTCGTCAGCCCCTTGCATGCATGCATTGCATGTTGTGTCGAGATATTTCCCAAGGGAGGGGGGAATGGAATGCTCCTACTTGCGCCTACTTGCCTGTTTTGGTAAACCTACATAAGCTAAGCTATGACTTATTTAATATTATTTCCAACCCCTTGGAAGATGGTGCATGTACTGTATATCGTCACGTGGAGCATGACAATAGGGGAAGAAATCAATGAATAAAATAGGGTATGGTCGCCAACCGTTTTTTTTTTGTTTTGAGAAAAAGGTGATTGATTATCAAATGTATATTCTAGAATTAAGCATCACTTTCATACATGTTTGTAATATACTGTACTCTTGAATCTCGCGTGTAGTGGTATCTATCAATCATCGATCTACTCTGGTATCAAGAATTTCTGTATCATTACCCATCCAGCGAATACTAGTATAGGCAGAAAGTTAAAAAAAATCCCCAGAACATCAATATCATCATATACTTTTGTTCTAGCCATACGCATTAATCCATGTAAAGCCTGCCTGTGGCGATTCCGTCCAGACGAGTGCATTGCGGGAAGACTTGTCAGATGTTATATTTGTAGAGCGTCTGGACCCTCGCCGTCGAGGTACATTTCTTGTAAACAAAAAGATGAAACAGACGTTAGTAATACTCCGTAGAAGATGAAGACACGAGCAGAAACAAAGCAAATTAATTGTTCTCGTTAATAATCTATCAACGTCTATACAGAAAACGTTCCCAAACAGCAAATGCAATTAGTCGTAAAATAGACATTGCACAAGTTTTACCAGTTTACCAGTTTACCAACTCAACTGCTCGCACCATTCACCCCGTTGGCAGCCTTGATATCCTCCTCCGAGCTCATGATCTGCACCTTGATCGCTCCCGTCTTGGGGTTGGCCGCCGTCTCAAACGCCTTGACCGCATCCTCCAGCGGGAACCGGTGGGTGACCAGCTTCTTCAGGTTGATCACCCCGTTCTTGACCAGACGGATCGCCTTGGGCCAGGTGTTGCAGTAGCGGTACTGGTACTGCAGGTCGATTTCCCACGTGCTCAACCGCATAAAAGGCACCTTCATCTCGTTCTTGCCCACGCCGATCACAAAGACTTTACCTCCGAACTTGACGCTCCAGATCGCGGACGCAACGCTGCTCTCCACTCCGGTGCATTCCATGGCCACACGGGGTCGAATCGCGTCGGGAGCACTGCCATTCCCGTCATTCAATGCGTCCAGAATCCCCGCTGCGTTCTCCTCGGGAGAAAGTCCCGGCTGGACCTTGTAGGTGCGAACCTCAGGCACCAGTTCCTTGGCGAAGCGCAAACGACCCTCGTCGATATCGGTGATCACGATAGGGGTGGCGCCTGCAGCGCGGACGCAAAGCAAAGTCACCAAGCCGATGGGGCCGGCTCCGGCGACCAGAACGGGATCTCCCAGACGAACTCCAGCGCGGTCCATACCGGCGAGGGCGACACTGAGAGGCTCGAGCAGGGCGCCATCCTCAAAACTCATATCGCCAATCTTATGACACCAGATGGCCGGGTGGTTGACATAGCGTCGGAGCAGACCGTCGACCGGGGGCGTCGACAGGAACTCGACATTCTCACAGCCGTTGTAGCGACCGGTCAGACAGGGCTCGCACTTGTTGCAGATGATGTTGGGCTCAATCGCAACGCGGTCGCCGGGCTTCAGTGTCTTCACGTCAGGGGCAACGGCAATGACAACGCCCGCAGACTCATGACCCAGGATGTGGTCCCCCGTCACGATCATGGGACCGATGCAGCCAGCATGCCAGAAGTGAACGTCTGATCTGTGAGAATCCATCAGTCACTGAGGATAATATTCGGTTCCACTCAGTCTTACCCGCAAATGCCCGTGCTGCGGACTTCGACCGTCACCTGGCCGGGTTTGAGGTCGCTGCCGCTCTTCACCTCTTCCAGAGTGGGCTTTGCGTCTGCGACCCACAGGTCATGGTTGGGATTCGTGTAGACGCCAATGTTGGGCTTCGTAAGGTTGATTTCGGCGGCCATATCGTACTCTTCCCTTTGACAACGTAAACCGTCCAGCGAGAGTATCTAAGGGGCGAACGACGAGAGGTGTGTAGAAAGAGGGGGTACGGCAGAGTAGGACAAGGGGTCTAATAAAGATGGGACACGCCTGCGCGGCGGTCCAGCAGCCTGTGGAGGCAGCATCGACGTGTCTCAAGCTAGGATCTCCTGTCAGACCGGAGAAGAAGGTATTATCCGGGCGCCGACAGCAGATGCGCGGGGGAGGAATTGCCGTGATTGGAGTTGGAGGGGAAGGTGAGCCGGTGCGAGCCCCTCCACCCCGCTGGAGAACCATCTCTGGCTGTGCGGATAAATTTGGATACCTTGTCGATACTATCACCATTGCTGCCTGACATTTTTCTAGACAGTCTCCTAACGAGTACTGCTGTCGGTGAAAGTAATCGCCTAGAGTTTCCCCAAGAGTGTGTCAGCAGAGGAATTGTGCATTCTATCTACCTGTCCACGAGACCCGCTGCATACTTGCTGAACTCGAGCATCGCGATAACCGTCTCTTCGGCAAAAAAAAAAAAGGACACACTCACCGGCCTGACATGGCCCCAAACGCTCCACACGTGGCCAGGCATCAGATCTAGACTGGTCAGGTGACAATAAAGATTGTTTAGTCTGGAAAACGTGAACTGATCCATCTCGAATTTGCCGACAAAAGCACGGAGACGGAGTGCCGTGTCTGGTAATTCTCCGGCGGAGATTCCTCTACCCCGGAGTACTGTCCACCATCCACTCACATCTTCTGGATTAGTATTATCTCTAGACATGCCTTCTCTGGCGATAATATTACATCTCAGATGTTATACTCCAACATAGAACGATATCTATTGTCAGCTATTGACAATTGAGATGCTTCCCACGTCTCGTCGGGTATTGAAGAGACACTGCGGAGAATCATCTTTTACACCCGCTCTCTCTAAACTGATCCAATAGCCTCTACACCTAGTTTGTCATTATATCCTGCGACAGCGCAGATTCTTTGCTACTGTTCACGCCATCTTTCGACCTGTTACTTAAGGACCTCTCTTGACGCGCCATCCCTCATAAACATTCCCTGTTCGCACTGATATTTGGTCAAGGATTTCTTCGCAACTTTCGTGAAACCACTTCCTCTACCAAGCCCATAATAGTGCCTGGATCCCGATCTCGAGGACTGCGACAGCCAATTTCAAGCTGATCAAACAGGAAACAAAACAGTGCTCTTTAGGCGAAGAATTTCTTGACCTGGACTGTCACCTAGATTGCTGTTCATGATAGCATCGGGGCTAGAATCCTCGAAACTGACAGGAAGTGGGCAATCCGCTAGGGAATCCTCCGGTACGTCGATGAGCGAAGATTAGCAATTTCGTCCAAGGCATCCCAAGACGTGGCCTTTCCAGCAATCCATTCTGCTTCTGCCCGACGATCTCGTCAGGAAACGTTTTCAGTTACCACAGTAAAGTTAACCGCCTTCAAGAAGTAATTCGATATATATAGCTGGGAGAAATTCCAAGTATTATTGTTTCTAGTTCTAATAAATAGTAGTATATCAATCTAATAATTTAATAGCTACAATAGAGCTTACTTAGAGCTTATAGCCTTTTCAAGGCAAAGGCTGGCGGTCAAAAGTTTGACTTAATTTTGCCTCATCTATCCTATCTGTAGCGACTAAATTGAGATACCATTAAAAATATCGAGGAAACTTATGAAGGATCCAGGAGGGACGCACCAACTACGTACATGATACCTATGGATGATCCTTACACGTGATGACTATGGATCAACCATGTGATCTGAGGATGGACCATTCATGCTCCCCATCCGTCAAGGTACAACCTTGTACCGCAACACTATCTCTCTTCATGGAGTCCTTGTGGTATACTGCCAAGTCACTTTTAAATAAGCTATGACCATTTACTTTATTAACCAAGGCATGCCAACAGATGTAGATATAGATGTGGCATAATAATGAAACAATCAAGAAGTAGAGACAGCTATATAAAGGTAAGCTAAAAAAAAAAGAGTCGAAAGAGGAGGGCAATCTAGAAACAAGTTCTATTTTTCTCGAAAAATAAAATAGATCGATAGCGTCGTCTAATGATCATTCTCTGTTTTATTTTTACATGAAAATTAATCTACCGAAAAAAAATCGTGAGAGTCAATTTAGAGACAGACTTTGGAACTAAGCCAAGGAAATTCCTGCAAAAGGACTGGAAGCCGTCAGAGGAGCAAGATATCTCCCATTTATGATATCCACCACAATCTACTCCAGCAATATATATTGGGATATCCATACCATAGATATCTCCAAGCTATATACAGCTCTATTTGCTTGAGCACCCTCCAGTAGCGTAGCGACTAAATGCGGTATGCCATTGCTATCGAGGATAATCCATGAGATAGATGATCGAGGAAGGATCCTCCGACTACGTACTGTACAGTACAGGGAATGGGATATCCCTACCCAAGTCACGGGTATCACATGTGACCAGAGATGGAACCTCTATATTTTGCGTCAAGGTACAACATTGTACCGCGACAAGTGGTCATAACAGAAACTGTTATTCTACACCATGCAATTCATGGCCATTTGCTAATTAGATCCAATATGTACTGTTAGAATATAATGGCATGATTCTAGATGGAGACGACCCTCATTGCTGAAGATGTCATCTAGTTTATCTATGCAATTGTCATCTATTATTCAAACTCTGGGAAGAATCTCGTTTTTAGTTATTGGAGTAGGATTTGGTGAGCTAGAGAGAATACAACAGGCTGTGTCGCATGACAACAAGGCAAGCCCATTGTCAGGACACATGGGTACTCCATTGTCGCTAGATGGTCACATGTTGTATAGACTGTCCATGTATGTAGTATGCATACAAGCTTCCTTAACTGTATTCTCATCAAGCTTCTTCCATGGTTACACTAAGCACATTTCCATGTTGCAGCCTGCATGACAATATATGCAAATGGGGTTTATGCCAGTTCCAGTGATCAAATCATACAGAGCTCCAAGATATGCCTCAATGAACTATCAAGAGACAAGCAGGTCATCTGATTCCTTTCCTATTCTAGGGCTGGTGGCATGCCACCTTTTAACACCCTTATGCTACTGCAGGAGATGAGGCAGAGTGATCAGCACAACTATGAGTTTATATTCTGATGACAAGGCCTTGGTATTATAGCATATTTGTGATAATGGCAATGCGTAAGGTACAACCGTGGAAGATGCTTAAAGATCTAAGATCAAGGACACTCTTCATCTACATACGTGGCCGATCCACACACATGACCGTCTAATGACAATGGACTGCCCATGTGATCCGACGATGGAGTTAGCGTGTCATCACACGACAATACTATCTCTCTACTTATATATATATCTGTATCTTGATATTTAATAAAATATAACAATGCAATGTAACTCAGCACTTTACTATCTTTTTACCCTATCTATTTGACACTGTCGAGTCACTTGATAAAACCGTTCATTCAACCCAGCACCCGCCCGTAGCGTTGCCTTAAGTTCCTGTTCTTTCCTGCGTCGTCCGTTACTCGTCCGCCGTCTTCTCGGACCGCGGTCGCTACCCCGCAAACACTACTGCAATAACCTCAGGTACTGTGGCAGCAGCTGTAGGTATTTCATAAATACAGATCAGGAGGTGACGACGACACTTATGAGGAGTTCAAGTTAGATTTACTCCAAATCTAAGACACATCTCCTTGTCTCTGGCAGAAAGACAACATTAGACACCAACTATCTTACGGTCTTCTCAACTAATATATTGTTAGGCAATGCCTATTTACCTCTTAAAAAAAAGCTGCCATGACAATATAGCATTGCAAAAATGGAATGAAGCAAGAAAAAAAAATCTACAAAGCAGGGACGATTGAAGAAAGGCGAAAAACCACAATATACCTGTAACATGCGAATGTGCTAAGGTGTAACTGTAGAATATGCTCAATAAATCTAAGATCAAGATACTCTATACTACATACGTGGACAGTTCATGCAATATGTGACTATGTAGTAACAATGGGTTATCCATGTATCCTAATAATGGCCTTACTTTGTTGTCACATGACAATATCTGCATTTGAAGGAGTCGATACGTTTCCTCACAAAGAGTGTGCTGGTCAAGGTAACAGATTGAGAAAGCAACTACTTATCGCAAGATAAGGCATGACATAAAGTCCTCCGTAGACCTGGTGCAAAGCCGGTACCAGCCCTGCTCTGTCACTCTGGACGCCCCGCCCCTTCTTCACCTTTACAGCAAATCTCCAACCAGAGGAGATCACCGGAACACATGAAGGGTGACCAGGATAGTATGTACCTTGCAGACAGGATGTCACCGCCCAGGCTCAGTCTTACGTGTCCTCCATATGAAACTGTTGGAGTTCCTCTTCGACATACGCGTACGAGGGCGTTCGGCCCCCATTGTTGGTGATGCTTTTCGTGATAACTCGAGTACCAGAAACGTGGTCCCCCACTTCCTTATATGGCTGGAGGGTAATGAACAGTTCGACAGATTATACTCCGGTATAGCAGGTCCTAAATGCTCCGGACTTTTGGCCCTCTGCATGAAAGCGTACAGCCTACAGCAAAATGCCTGTAGAATCCGTGTAGAAGCCGAGATGCTTACATAACAGGCACAGACGGGTGCTGAATAAGCATAACATGTTATCAACCAATCACATTCACGTGCGGATACTTGATACGCAGATCTGGCCAATCACACACGTTCCCGTGCCCATGGTCACATTATGCTCGAGAGAGAAGATTAACTTATTAAGCGTCTCCAGCAGACTGTGGGGAGGAAAGCTTATTGCTAGCCATTCGTGAACCATAATCCTTCGTTCTGTAAACCGCCCGAGCGAAACGACGGATCCAAGGCTTGTTGAAGCCACAAACGGCGTCTTTCCATTCGAGCAGAGGAGACGAGAGCGTAACAGTCCAGTCGGCGATTAGAGGGTCACAATCCAGTGGAAGGAGGGGGCGGACGGGTGGGTCAGTCACATCTTCATCGTTCCCATGCATGAGCTTAATCTGATGTTGCATTCACCCCCCACAAACTGAAACGAAGGCGGATCACCTGTTTCCCTACCTGGCTATCTCGCTGGCTGACGCTGTCTGCTGCTCCTAGGGTCTATTGCAATCACAAAATGTTTGTCCAAGGGTCAAGAGACAAATATTCGGTATCGCAATATCAGAATGAAGGTGTTGAGGAGCTAAACCGATCGATGCGGGGATGGCCGATCATGGTACGCTACATCCAAGGGACGGCAGGACCCTGCGCAGTCAACCGCGCGGCCAGGAGACTAGCCCAGGAACGTTGCATCTGAGGTCAGGAGCCTCCCTCGATAGCCTCATCCTGGTTCGTTATCGCAACCCTGGTACGCGTTTTGGCTGCAACCCTCCGTGATGGTTCCTTGATCCCTTTACCCTGGCTGCTACCTTACACGGATGCTGGTTATCACTCATCATGTGTGCGTCCACGTCACGTCTCTTGAGTCAGCCGCCTCTGCTCCAGGGGGGAAGCATAAGTATATCAGGGCATCCTCTTCTGCCGGTCGTTCTCTTCATTCTCACTACAACAAGCCTCTCGAGAGCCTGCGTCACATTCCCTACCTTACCTAAAGGTCCTTGACGGATCCGTCCATTCCCTCTAGTGCCTCAACTTTATCGTTCCTTCATTGTACATACGTTCTTATCGATCCCTATCACCATGCATTTCTCCAAGGTGCTCGCCAGCCTTGGCCTCATGGCCACTGCTGCCTCGGCTGCCCCCCACATGCTCAAGACGCGCAATGCGACAGGCACTGGCGCCCAGAACGTCGTCTACTGGGGCCAGAACGGCGGCGGCATCGTCGAGAACAACGACCTGGCCACCTACTGCACCTCCACCTCCGGCATCGACATCATCGTGCTGGCCTTCTTGTACGAGTGGGGTAACGGCGTTACCATCCCGTCTGGCACGATCGGGCAGTCGTGCTACATCTCGACCTCCGGCGAGGGCCAGAACTGCGACGACCTGGCCAAGGCCATCGACACGTGCAAGGCCAACGGCGTCAAGGTGATCCTGTCGCTGGGCGGCGCGTCGGGCTCGTACTCGCTGCAGTCGCAGGAACAGGCCGAGACCATCGGCCAGAACCTGTGGGAGGCGTACGGCAACGCGGGCAACGGCAGCGTGCCGCGGCCCTTCGGCAGCACCTTCGTCAACGGCTGGGACTTTGACATCGAGGCCAACAGTGGCAACCAGTACTACCAGTACCTGATCGCCAAGCTGCGCTCCAACTTCGCCTCCGACCCCAGCAACACCTACTACATCACCGGCGCGCCGCAGTGCCCCATCCCGGAGCCCAACATGAACGTGATCGTCACCAACGCCCAGTTCGACTACCTCTGGATCCAGTTCTACAACAACCCCGGCTGCTCCGTCAACGGCAACATCAACTTCGACCAGTGGAAGACCAACATCGCCAACACCCCCTCCGCCAACGCCAAGCTCTTCATCGGCGTGCCTGCCTCGCCGCTGGGCGCCACCGGCACCGAGAGCGGCGCCCAGTACTACCTCCAGCCCAGCGCCCTCGCCTCGCTCGTCGGCCAGTACCAGAGCGACCCCGCGTTCGGCGGCGTGATGATGTGGAACGCCGGCTTCTCCGACTCCAACGTCAACAACGGCTGCACCTACGCCCAGGAGGCGAAGCACATCCTGACGACTGGCTCCCCTTGCTGAGCAAGCAAGCAAGCAAGCAAGCAAGCAAGCAAGCAACATCTCTCGAGAGATCGCTTTTTGAGACTCGGACACGGACATGGACATGAGATCGTGGATTGATTCCGCGAGTTAGTCCCCTGTACAGTCCAGGAGGTCTATCTAGCTAGATATAGGGCCTTTTGCGCAAGTCGTATATAGGCCTTTTTTTTTTGGCTTCTCTGTATCTAGGACCCAATTCATCTTTCTCTTTGGAGACTTTCTTCTTGGACATAGAATTTTGAATTGAATAAAATCTGTGACAAACATCTTCTATTGTAAAGCAGGAAACAGTTCCATCCAAAGCAATCTACCTAGAATCTTCATAGCAAAGCAAACAGTTGTAAAAACTACCTGAAGCAGAGTAACAATATATATACGGGCTCAGGGTGTTGTGGGACTGCCAGGCGACATCATGGTCCTTAATTTTCCTACTTTAGTTAAAGGTTCTACTACTCCGTAGTCAGTACATCCTCCCACCCCTAGACTATACCTAATTTGGTAGTAATATATGCATGAGATCGGAATCTCATGCACAGTGGACTTTTGAGATACCCCACTGTTCAGCCAGCCTTATTATTGTGAAAATGGTTAGCTGCAGCATACCCCGCTCGCGGAGCTGCAGATGAACAACATGGTACCTATGTATGAGGTCCTGATGTTTTTAGGCTTTTTCAGCTTTGATTGGTGTGTATCGGTAACAAATTGTTGACAGACACGTCACTCTTGGAAGGTTAGACACCTTACTGTCCAGTGACGCCGTAATCCAGTACTGCGGAGTACAGTGATCATTTTTCTCGGCGATTCTGTAGCTGAATTCGTTGAATCCCAACATTCCTGAATTTCTGAATTCTTAAGATTAGAAGAAGTTGGTCGTCATCTGGAGCATTGAGATTACAGTTCAGAACGGTAAATATTTCGACAAGTGGTCTATCGCCCTTTTCGATTTCCAGAATGTTGGCACAGAAGCCACGACGTCGACACCGCTTTCGAATCCACTGGCATAGACGAGGTGATCAGGGAGATAGTCATGGGGCTCCGCAGACAACAATCCCTAGAAACAAGACAGATGATGCGACGGCATGGACAGGTAAGCACTAGTTGTCCAGAATCCTCACCACAGTGGCCAGAAACATGCCACAATTGACATGTACACAGGTAATATTGGCTTTGAGTCGTTTTTTGAGAATAGATCTGGGGATGAGAGACTGTCCAAAGCGCAACAACGGTTGCGTGATGCAACCTTGGAACTCAAGGATGCCCTTCAGGACTACGCAAAACAGCACCCGGACAGATCACATGAAATTTCAGTCATTGATAACAAGGATTTGGCAACAGCTATGGAGGAGGCTGGAAAGAAACCACAGCCTGAAGAAACGTTCGGACGACTGATAGAACAGGTAGTGGAGAGCCGTGTTCAGAGAAGACAAAGGAGGTCTGGCAAACTGGCTTCTTGCATGACCAGGGTATACCCTATCGCGACTCTTGTATTAGGACTCGTCTCGTTCAGCGCGGATGCAGCAGGTTTTATACCATTGAAGTTCGCCGTCAATGGTCTGAACATAGTTCTCTCCAATGCTGTGGACACGCATAATCGAGCAGACGACATTGTCAAAGAATTAGAGGTGATCAACAATTACGGACCATATCTGAGAAAGCTGCGTGAGCTGGACGCTAGCCATCACGTCTTGGTGCAAGCAACGGACCTGCTCACCGCGATGACAAGGTTCTTGCGAACGAGTATTTCGTATCTCGAGTCGCACTATTTGCAGAGAGTAATTGCTGACACAATTGGGCAGAAAATGGCGGAGAGCCGACAGGCCCTAGTGGATGCCCGGAACCAGCTAGACCAAGCGATGATCAACGAGATGGGGACGACCTTGCTCAAACGGAGAGGAGAAGAACAAATTGACACTCGCGTTCATATCGAAGCTTAAGTTCAGGGAGAAGCAGGATGGATACTGGAACCGACGGATGCCAGGTGCTGGGCAGTGGATCTTGAATGACGCAAGATTCAAGAGCTGGGAAGACGGAAGTTGCGACCCTGAGATCCTCTGGTGTCATGGACTGCGTGAGTTAAAAGTCTTCTTTGGAGGCAGCATTTCTCGCCCGCTGACATAGCAGTCAAGCCGGAGCTGGTAAGACCTTCATAACGTAAGTCTACCCCGGTATTATCGTTGCAGGCTTTTTTGACTCTTTCCAGATCCGTGGTCGTGAGGCACCTTGAAGACCGCATAAAGCGCGAGAGTATCCAAAACGAGATCAAGAGTGGCCTCGCGTATCTATACTGCGACTTTACCAACCAAAGAGAGCATACTATCGTTGGTCTCATCTCGAGTCTTGCTCGACAGCTGGTCGAATCACGGGGCCATTTGTCACCAAATCCCCTCATGCGGGAGGCCAATGCGTTCTACCAAAAATTCCAAGGAAGATTACCAGGGCTTATGGATTTTAAGCAACTCCTGAAGGACCTTGTTGGACATCTCGACAAGACCTTCGTTGTGATCGATGCGTTAGACGAATGCGCCGAATTCGACGAAGATGGAGGCTCAAATCGCGAGACCCTTATCAACGTCTTGCTCTCTCTGCCCGTGCGACTTTTGGTCACATCGCGTCATTATTCCACTATTGAGATTCTCTTCAAAGACGCAAAAACACTGGAAATTTCGCCGGACCCGGATGACATCAAATCTTATGTCCACTGGCGGATTTTTGATAGGCATTACGGGAGCCCTATGCTGGCCAGTCTAATACAGGACAGCCCATCTCTTCAAGATACCATCACTGAGACCGTGTTCGACAAGTGTTCTAAAATGTAAGTTTGCGAGAGCTTCCGAGATGCACTCTAGCTTACTGTCATATAGTTTCAACCTGGCCCGTTTACAGATGGATCACATCCAGCGATGTCACAGTGTAGGAGCGGTTCATGATGCATTAGCAACGCTGCGGACAACCCAACGGGAGTTTTATGACATGTCATGGGATCGCATCGAGAAAAGCCGTGGATATGGCGAGCAATACCACCTTGGTTTCAGGGTCCTCGCCTGGATTCTCCGCGCCAAACGGCCCTTGAAAGTCGACGAGATCCAAGATGCTTTAGCGGTCAGACCAGACCGTTACTCCGCCTCGGAGCATCCATTGTACAAGACCGCAGAGCATGTGTTGGTAGATGCATGTGCTGGTCTCGTGATCATCGAGCCAGGGAGCAGGAATATGACCTTTGCACATCCAACAATCAGGGAATACCTTGACGATGTATGCTCGAGTGGAAAGTTCCCCTTCGACGTCGAAGTAGAGCTTGCCCGGACATGCCTCACCTATCTCTCCTACGACGTTTTCTGCGAAGAAGGAGCCTGTAGCGATGATGAAACGTTGACCGCACGGTTTAAGAAATATGAATTTCTTCCCTATGCGTCGCGACATTGGGCAGAGCATCTGCGTGGCGCGCCGGAGATGTCACTCCGTCCCTTGGTCATGGCCTTTCTCAAGGATGAGCGCCTGCTTTCATCTGCCGTCCAAGCCAAGGAAACAAAACAAAGTCGCTTCACCTATGTTGGATATAGCCAGAATTTCAGCAAAGGGATAAAAACTTTAGGCGCTGCCGCCTTATTTGGCTTAAAGAACGTAACCGAAGTACTGATCAATGGGGGGTTCAGTGTCGAGGAAAAGGACGACAAAGAGAGAACTCCACTGATTCTGGCCGCGAAGGAGGGACATGACGGGATTGTCAAGTTGCTGCTTGACCACAGCGAAGCTGATGCCAAGGCTACGGATGAAGATGGGTGGACGGCGCTGCATTCGGCCGTGACGGGAGGACACGACAAGGTAGTAGATGTGCTACTCGAATCTATCTCCAAGATCGACATCAACGCACGAGATAGCAGTGGGTTTACAGCATTGCATCAGGCGGCTATGCAGGGAAACAAGGAAATGGTGGAGAAATTACTTAACAAACAGGCGGATCCTAAGATAAAGGACAACCACGGATGGACCCCGTTAGATTCGGCAGTGCCAGCAGGATACGAGTCGATCGTCCAGCTCCTTCTAGCGCATGGGGCCGACGTCAATTCTAGGGACGAAGAAGGATGGACCGCGCTGCATTGGGCCGCACCGCAGAACCACATAGGAACAGTACAGTTACTTCTCCAAAATAATGCCGATGTTAACGTGCAAAGCCACGAGGGACGGACGGCACTCCACTGCTGTGCTCAAGATGGATCCGAAACAATCATGGAGATGTTACTTCGCAAGGGGGCTGACCCTAATATACCAGATGAAAATGGATGTACGGCGCTCCATGGAGCCGCTGCGAAAGGACGTGAAAGAATGGTGCGGTTGTTGTTGCAATACGGTGCCAACCCCAAGGCTGAGGATAAAGACGAATGGACACCATTGCACGCAGCTGCTGTGAGAGAGCAGGAGGCAGTCGTCCAAGTGCTGCTTGACCTAGTGGACAATGGAAGGCAGGTCGTCGATTCCATATATCTGGATCTGAGCGATATCCGCCAGCGAGTGGCACTAGAGGAACTTGCTGAAGAGAAAGAGATTTATTCTGGTCCGCTTAGTGGTGTGCGCGAGGCTGCCGCTGAGAAGCGTGTTGATAGGATGCAGACGTTGCTGGGCAGGGGAGTTGATATTAATGAAATGAGCGATAGAGGATGGACGGCTTTATCTGTGGCGGCCAGTGACGGGAACGAAAAGATGGTGCGACTGTTACTCGACAACGGAGCCCACGTCAACGCAGTTGGAATACGAAAACTGACACCGCTACATTGGGCAGCGCAGAATGGCAATAAAGAGGTAGTGCAGATGTTGCTTGAGAGAGGTGCAGATATCGATGCAAAAGATGAAGGAGGACGGACAGCACTTTACATGGCAGCTGTGCAAGGATATAACGCAGCCATGCGACTGTTGCTGAAGCATGGGGCCGATGTCAACGCGAAAACAAAGAAAAGCCGGACACCTCTCATCAACGCCACCTACAAAGGCGAGGCGACCACGGTCCGGCTGTTGCTAGAAGCGGAAGCCGACACTGAGATCAGGGATAGTGAAGGGTTGACGGCGCTGCTGTTGGCAGCGGAAGGAGGACATGATGCCGTAGTCAGTCTCCTACTTGATCACAAGGCAGATATAGAAGCCAAGGGCCCCGACGGATCAACAGCATTGCTGCGGGCCACTCGAGAAGGATATTACACCATCGTAAAGCGGCTGCTCAAGCATGGGGCGAACATCGAAGCCCAGGATAACAACGGATTGACTGCGCTTATGATAGCCATGCAACAAAAGGATGAACGCATTGAGCGGTTGCTCATTGAAAAGGGTGCGGATCCACCTCCGGACTATTATGGGTTCATGAAATTGTTCGAATGCTGCGGTGAAGCAACCCCTAACCAGAGTCAATGTCATTATCCTGATGTATTTTCGGAGGAAATACAAGCCTCTCTGCGAGACTAGCGGTGTTCTCCACAAGCACTGAAGCATGAGTGGCTGTAGATCAACTATGTAAACCCATACCAGGACTTTGGGTTGGGGCTTGATGATTCCTGCTTCCTCTGAGGGTTGTGTTCTTCACAAAGAGGGCTTGATTAATCAATCAATGACACAAGCTTTGCAATATATGTCAGTGTCAATGCTTAATGCAGTATGGCATTGCTATGAAGGATGGACGATGAGATGATGATGCCTTTGTCCATGAGCCATTGAAAAGATCGTGTTTAATCAAGAGGAACATCCTATCTCTGGTTTCACTTACATTATATCAGCAAACGTAGTACTTCCTAATTAGGTTTAGGTTCATACTCGTGACAGATACATCACGTGACAAGCCGACGCCGGACCAAGTTTTTCCCTAGACTTTCCGAGCGTCAACTCCCAGCCTGGCCCTTGGGATCCGTCCTGACCAGACGATCCATCTGTCCCACCACTACGCCCGGTCGGCCATTGGACTTCGTCGCCTGCACCAGCGACGCGCATCGTTGTCTGTCGTTCTTGCCCTCGCATCCTTTTCCTCCGGTGGCCAGTTGGAAAATGCCCGTCACGGCGTCCCGTGCCGTGCTGCGGCGGCAGTCGCAGTTTCTGTTCCGCAGGACCGCCGTCCGACACAACTCTTCCCAGGCGGCCTCCAAGGCCAAGGAGACTGCCTCGTCTGCCGCCTCCAAGGCGTCCGAAGGCCTGTCCAAGGTCTCGGCGACCGCCGGCCCGGCAATTGCGAACGCTGCGCAGAATGTCGGCAGCGCCCTCAGGAAGATCGGCGGGAGAACCGGCCGAGTCATCGCCTTCATTGACTGTAAGCATGTCCTTGCCATCTCCTCGCCCTCGTGGCGGTCTCTCGATGGGTGAATTTTGCAGACAGGTCCGGAAGTTGAGAAGGATCCTTGTTTCTGCATCTTCCTCCTAGCGGATCGCTCGCTGATTAATGCAACCCTTTACTGACACTATGACCTTTTTTTTCTAGCATTAATACCTCCCACCATCTACTACTCGAAGGTCGGCCTTGAGCTTGCCAAGCTCGTTGTCCGCGGTCAGAACATGGCGCCTCCGTAAGCGACGTCTTGCTCTGGAACCTCATCAGGTTCCCGTCAGCTGACATTCCTGTGCAGAAGCCTCTCCGCCTTCCAGGCGTACTTCCAGCCTCTGATCAACGGCATCCGCAACCCTTCGACTCTGAAGAACCTCTACATTTCCCCGCAGGACATCCTGATCCGGATACGCAACATGGACAAGAAGGAGCTGGCTTTCGTTGGCGTGACTGCTGCCGAGGTCCTGGGATTCTTCACAGTCGGTGAGATGATCGGTCGACGCAAGATTGTTGGATACCGGGGCAAGCCCGCCCACGCAGATGCGCACTAGATAGAGTCTGAAGAAGCGCGAAAAAACAAACTCGCATCCGCCTGACACTGCCGTTTCCTATCCTTTCCTTTTTCCTTTTTCTTTTTTTCGTCACAGCGTCTTGTACTACTGTATGATAGACGATGGAATATAGCTGCATTCTGTCCTGAATATGTTCCCTGCATTTGGCACGGAGGTTGCCATTTACAACAGCTTGTCCCTGATTTATGCCGACTGTGTTGAGTATGGCATGCCCGTGCATGGTTACGATATGTTGGGATAGATGACATTTCCCTTCCGGGTCATTAATTTCCCAGCAATATTACAGTCAATTGGGCACAGCAATGGCGATGCTTCAATCAGTCCTTGGATAACAAGGCAATCAATGTTGGTCAGCGGTCGAGCATCGATTAGCGGCATGCTCTGCGTATATATCCTGAATAAGACATGTTGGTGAAATTAGGTAGTTATGATTTTTATTTCTAAGAAATAAATAATTTTCAATCTCTCAAGCAGAATGGAATACGTAAATGCATAATCTTTGCCTGTCTGGATGTGTTCCTGAGGAAACTGTGCAGGGTGCTTTGGCGGCATCTGATTGGTCCGGAGCGGAAGTGGGAAGAGTGTTCCTCCGCGAAACTTTTTTCTTAGCAAGTTGATTGATGCGCAACATCACATAAAAATAAACGTCGCAAGCACAACAGCTTCTTGAAAGAAAGAAAGAAAAGAAAAGAAAAAGAAAAAGATAGCATACAGATATCCAGTCCTGGTTCTGTATAGATGTTCTTCTCAGGATGGACGCATTCAGGCTGCTGACGCGGTCGACGAAACTAAAGTCGATATCCGGGAGGCAGAGCACCGCGACCCCATTACAAGGAGGCCGCCTGCCTTCAGCCGGCAAGGCGGAGAACCCGCAGCTGTTTCGCGGCTCGTCAGCAGCGGAGGAACAGCAGCAGTCGAAGAAGAGGAAGCGAGAGGAGGATGGCGACGCGAATGAGAATTCTGACGCAGAGGACGATGTCAATTTGGATTTCTTTAGCTCCGCAAAGGGCCTGTTGTCGGGCAATGCGAAGGACTCCAAAAAGAGGCCCAGAAAGGAACATGCTGACGGGCAGAGTGTCTCTGATTCGGATTCAGAGGGCGAAGATGCACAGGTGATGGATGAATCTCAACGACGGTCCATCCTCAAAACGCACAAGATCAAAGTCACCGATCTGAGGGACCTCGAAGAGATCCTGCCCGTCGCCAAGTCTGAAGACGCGACAAAGGAAAAGGAGAAAAAGAAGAAGAAGAAAGAGAAGAAAGAAAAGAAAGAAAAGTCGGCTGTTCCTGCGCTGACGAAAAAGCAGCAGAAGGAACTCCGTCGCTTGTATCCTGAACCGCTGGTTTCCTTTCAGCAGCTGCGGAAGAAGTATCGCATCTCGAGACGACTGGCCGAAAACATCGCCGAGCAGGGCTTCTCTGTGCCGACGGAGGTGCAGATGGGAAGTCTGCCTCTGCTGCTGGGCCATTCGCCGTACTCTGGCGAGACTCGGCCTGCGGAAACTCCAGAGCCAGATCTGGCGGTCGTGGCTCCGACTGGCAGTGGAAAGACGCTCGCCTTCATGATACCATTGATCACGAAGATTGTTCGCCATCACCATGAGCATCCAGGGAAGCGTGAGATATTTGCTGTCATCGTCGCGCCGACCAAGGAGCTTGTTTGGCAGATTGTGAACGAAGGGCGCAAGCTGGCTCTTGGAACGGGAGTGAAGATCACTGGCATGAAGAAGGGGATGCAAGTTCTCGAGCGTACGGACGACGATGATGAACCATTAGAAGAAGAGAGGGAAGAAGACAATCGGGAATCTTCCGAATCAGAAGATGAGAGCGACGATGACGCCGATGCCAACGCTAACGGAACGACGCGATCTGAGAAAAAGAAAAAGCCCCGACGAAAGAGCACGATAACCAAGAGCGATATCCTCGTGACGACGCCGCTGCTTCTGGTCAACGCTCTGTCCGCAAACCAGACGAAGAGCGTCGCGCCAATGCCTTCGATCAGAAACCTGGTCTTGGACGAAGCCGATGTGCTCCTGGACCCTCTCTTCCGCGAGCAGACAACCAGCATATGGAGTGCTTGCACCAATCCCCAGTTGCGTGTCTCCATGTGGTCGGCGACGATGGGCTCCAGCATCGAGCAGCTCATCAAATCGATCATCCAGGATCGACGGACGTCTCTTGGCCTGACTGATAAAACACCCCTGATCCGGGTTGTCATCGGGCTGAAAGATACCGCCGTCCCGAATATCACCCACAAGCTCATCTATGCGGCCACCGAGCACGGCAAGCTGCTTGGTCTCCGACAGTTGATTCATCCCACTGCGACGATTGCTCCGCCGGAGACTCGGCTGAGACCGCCCTTCCTCATCTTCACCCAGACAATTCCACGTGCTGTGGCACTGCATTCTGAACTGCTCTACGATATCCCCCCCGAGGCAGGCGGCTCCTCGCGCATTGCCGTGCTCCATTCAGAGATGTCGGAAACCCGACGGTCCGAGATCATGAAAGGGTTCCGCAAGGGCGAAATCTGGGTGATAGTCACGACGGACCTCCTGGCCCGGGGCGTCGACTTCCGGGGCATCAACGGGGTGGTCAACTACGACATCCCGACGTCGGCCGCGGCGTACGTCCACCGCGTAGGGCGAACAGGGCGCGCAGGACGCGAGGGCGGCATCGCGGTGACGTTCTACACGAAGGAAGACATCCCCTACGTCAAGCCGATCGCGAACATGATCGACATGAGCGAGAAGCTGCAGGGCAAGCCGGACAGCGAGAGATCGGTGCAGAAGTGGCTGCTGGACGCGCTGCCGGACCTCAGCAAGAAGGACAAGAAGGAGCTGAAGCGCCACGGCGTCAAGGCCCGACAGGCATCCGCCAAGCTCGTCGACGCCAAGGAGCGCGCAAAGACGCGGATCAGCACGAAGAGCGGCTTCGATCGCCGGAGGGAGAACAAGAGGAAGGCGGCGATTGCGAGCAGTCGCCAGAAGAAGCTCCGGGCGATGGAGGGGTCTAATAATAACGATAATAACAGCGGCGATGAGGAATGGGAGGGGTTTGACGAGTGAGGATGGTACAGTACATACAACTGTGTCAGAAAATGTATGCATCTATGTTTGTACTGTATGTATATACACAACACCAAAATGCAGCAGATAATTGAATTAATTAACACATAATCTGGCATACGTATGTATGTACAGTACATACATGTTGTTAGTCGCGATTAGACCATGAGATGATGCTCTCTCTCGCACTACCACACTCTGCCGCCGTCCAGTGAACTAACTCATTATGAAATGTGAAATGTGAAATTATGGTCCTCCCCAACGGCAGAAAGCACTTAAGTGCCAGTCGACTCAAAAAGGAGGGAGGGAACACGGCTGAAGTTGGCAGATAATGATAATCTCAAAGATTAATTATATTGTTCATTCCCTGACCAATGCCAATGTCCTATGTATGATGGCAAAGCAAAGAGGAAAGACATGACTACATACCTCTAATATAGTCTGTCTGTAAGTAGGAGGAAATGACGTCCTTTTTTTTGTTTTGTTTTTTCAGCGACATTTGTTGAGATACACCGAGTTTGATGATGTGGCAAAGCGTTTCTAAGTGGAATTGAAACCCACGAAAACTGCAGCGCCTACTAACTAAATGAGGACGTCGTTGATAATACCCCCCTACGTATATACATACATGTACATGTACGTATTGGATTAATAATTAGCAATGAATTGAATTAGGTATGTACTGTACAATGTACACTGTTATGGATAATTATAGCCATACACATCTCTATTTCGCCCAGCCACTAACTTCTCTCAAACCAAACTCCTTAAAGCCCTTCTTGTGCATAATCTCCAGAATTTCATTCAAGTCCTGAGACCTCGTAATCTCCTCAACATCGTCACCCATCTGATCCCAGATGTAGAAATTGCTGCCGGACTGGAACATATACAGCCCCTCGCCAGTCTCCGGAGCGCTGCACATGATCGGTTTGGGTGACTCCAGGCCACGTTCTCTGGCCATTTGCGAGCCAATGCCCTTGTCGTCGGCCCAGTAGAAGTCAAAGTCGAGCTCGTCGGGGTCTGTTGTCCAACCTTTTTGGGGTGTGATCTTGGATCATAGATAGATAGGTCAGCGCAATGGGGCTCACTGAGCTCTACTGTACATACATACAGGGTGGGTGGGCACGTACATTTTCTGATGAAGCCATGGAGCTCCCGGTAAGTATTAATCTGTCCAGGGTGGACTTGTCTATAGAAGCGCCGAAAGACAGAAAGAGAATAAGGCCAAGTTCTCAAACTGAGATGGGTGGCGGTCAGTCAAATTAGATAGTATTTGATAGCGAGTGGATGGAGAAAGAGAACATGAATGAGTCAATGTGCTCAGCTCCATGTACCACACCTAGGTAGTTGCCTGACCAAGCAATCGTGGATCCGGAGAGTTACTGTCAAGTGCCATGATCACACGTGACTAACTACCCTTATTCTTATCGAAACTTTCATATCAATATCGCTCTCTGACGTCTACTCTATAGTCTAATCTCTAGTCTATCATCTATCGTCGTGACTTCGTCTCTCATGCAATCAACATCCACTCTAAAGCTTCTCGCTCCATCCCCAAACAGACCACCAGCAACGGACTTCAATTGAATTGCCGTCGGCACCTTCCCAATCGTCGTATCCGACTTCTTCTCCCTGGTCGACTATAGCCAGGCCAATTTCCTCCATCCGACGTCGGAATTCCTGTACCTGCGGTAGGTAGGCGTCCCTCAATGGCATTTCCATCACCACTCGCGCGCCCAAACCTCGGCTGAGCCAGCGCTCGATCGTCTGGACGAGCCATCGGGGATGTTCTGGGGAATACACTGGATCCGCAGCCAGGATGATATCATAACGCTCATCTTTCGTGGGAAGTCGATCTGGAGTTATGGACCAGTCGAGAACGCCGGTTGTGACAGTTGTATTTGCCTTGCTTAGCAGTTCGGAGTTCAGGCTGACATTATGGGCGAGGTTAGGAACGATAGAGGGCAGATCTGTCAGATGAACGGTAGCGGAAGCGCCACGAAGAACAGCAAAAGACAGCCCGACCAGCCCGGTCCCCGCACCTAGTTCCAAGGCTCTGACCGTCTTGTTTTCTCGCTGTAAGGTAGACCCCGATGGGACAAGTTCCGGAACGGACTCGAGGATGTTATGCAGCCGTTGGGATAAGAGATACGATGAAACCCATGTCTTCAAACCCAAGTTATCGGAGGTAAGAGACGGCTCATGCAGAGTCAGAGTGATTTCTTCGTTCGAGGATGTGGGGATGTTGAAGACGCGAGATAATGCCGGCATGGCTGAGACAACAGGATGTCAGCACCAATTTCCCCCAAGGACGCAAGGCTAAACACCTACCAGCTCGACCAGAGCGCTCGCTGAGTCGTGCTGCCGCCGCATCCCAGACCGCTTCTCGCTGCTCATCCGATTCCAACCATGTTAAAGGGCTGGAGATAATGGAAGTCAGATATCGCGAAACTCCTGCTGGTAGAACCGTCCGCTGCTTTGCCGCATCGCGAGCCTTGCTCCCGAAACTTCGTGGCTGGATTGCCAGCAATTCTAGGGTTTTGAGAAGGTCATCTGCGGACGGCTTGGTATAGAGCTGAGGTAGGTCAAGCACTGTAGTTCTTCAACACAGCATCCACACTTATCAGCTTATCAATCCATAGCACATCCTCGTCGGTGGAAATGAAAGGAGGGGGAGTGGGGAAAAATGGATTATACTGTACCATGAAGAGGCTCGTCACTGTCGGCGCTGATCATAATGCCAAGGTCCAGAAAATAGCGTAGCGAGCTTGACGAGACATAGCCGATTATTCGCAAGATCTTTCCCCGCCTGGAGACGCCAGAGAAGGATTTTATCGGCCTGGGAAAGGGCGGAATCAATTCACGATGGAGAAAAAAAGGTCTCCGTTTCCCAAAATGGAAAGGCCGGCGCCATCCCGTGGGTCTCTTTCGGGATCGGATTCGTCCCGATATCTGGCTATCGATCGGTAAACCGCAGCGCGGAAGCGATGACAAAATGGGAAATAAGTGAATAGTGACACAAAAAAAGATCTCCATTTCAGACGGAAAGAAGACAATGACACAGACTGGTATATAAGAATATAAGAACCAAAAAACGCATAACACCCCCCAAATTCGTGAATTCCTAGACGCCGCATCAAAACGCCAACTGGAAAACTCCCGTCGTATCGGCAATACCCTCAACTTAGTGTCGCTTTGAACCCCTGATATGCTTGCTCAATATCGAATGCCAGCTCTCGCGCCTGCTCCTCGCTCAGTTCTTCTGTGGCCCGCATCTGGTTCAGCGTGATGAGCCACTGGATGATCTTGCCCCGATTCTCAAAGTCTCGATCCGTCACCTTGTTGACTGACTGGATCACCTCCGACAGCAGCGGGTGAAGGGCATCCTTCGACACCATGTTCAATTTAAGCGCATCCAGGAAGGTAATGAAATTCTCAGTGGCTGTCAGGATAAGACTGCCAGAGGCACCGCCGGAGGGAGCCGCGCCGGACGCGCCGTTGCTTGGTGTATGAGTGCCATGGGGAGCTTGCTCGACAGTTGCCGGTAAGCCGATCCGGAGACGTTCAGTGGCTCTGGGACATTCCAACTGCGCATGTTAGTGTGAGACGTGACGACGGGACCAGAGAGGCCTACTCCCCAAGTGCGCTTGAAAGTGTCGAGGTCGACAAACTCACGTGCGACCGCTTCATCGCTCAAAGTGGACTTGTACTGCTTGAGAAGACGGGCGCACGTCTCCGTGTACTCTGATTCGGAGATGGCATCTCTGATATAAGCCTTTTCTAGCCCATCCAGCGTCACGATAATGCTGTAGATTTCGGCCAGCGATTCATACAGGTCCCGCTCCGCAGAGCTGGACGCAAGCTTCACTTCCTGCCGCAAAGCATCTGTCAATCAAGCTGCAGGGACAAAGAAAAAAGTATTACATTGAAATGAACTCACTTCATCAAGATTAATTGACGCTGACAGAGCCGGATTGGGCGTAAAGCTGTATGGCGTAGGCGCATAGGACAGAGGGCGCTGGGAATACATGGCGCCTGGTGACGGCAGCGACTGTCGAGGCGGGCAGCGCGGGTTACGCCCACGAGGAAGGCGGGGAGCGGCCGGTGGTCCGTGCGGCCGTTTTCTGCCGGGCACTTTTTTGCTAAAATTTCATGCGCAGAACACCAACTTTTCTGCACAGCACACGACCCAGCAGTCGACAGCCCCAATTCTACAGCACCTTTCGCTGTAGAGCGACTGTGTTTAGCCACAATGGGCAGCAAACTGAAGAAGTCGACCAAGAAATTCGAGAAGAAACATCTGCACGATGTGCTCGAGCGGCGCAAGGAAATCGCCAAAATCAAGCAGCGGCAGCAGCTGAGAGAGAAGAAAAAGGCGAAAAATGCCGAACTGCGGGAGAAGGCTGCTGCGGAGCGCCAGGAAGACCCCAAGGAGCAGGAGAGGGAGAAGGCCTTTGCGGAAATGAACGTCGACGACTTTTTCGCCGGCGGGTTCGATATCCCTACGGAAAACGGCAAGAAGGCGCAGAAGAAGGACGTGACGCCGAAAACCGGAAAGCGGAAGCGGACGGAAGATCAGGAGGATGAGGCCTCGCAGTCAGGAAGCGCAGAGAGTGAGGGCTCAGCAGTGGAGAGTGACGATGACGACGATGCGTCCTCTCAGGCCAGCAGTGTGGGCGACATCGAGGAACACAAGGGACAGCTGGCAGCGTTGAAGGAGAAGGACCCGGAGTTCTACAAGTATCTTCAGGAAAATGATGCCGAACTACTGGACTTCGGCGATCATGGTGATCTGGCGGAGGTTGATGAACTCAGCGATGCAGAGGAAGAGGGCCCCGCCAAGAAGAAAAAGAAGAAAGACGAAGACGAATCGGAGGACAACAAGCTCACCCTTGCGATGGTGAAGAAGTGGCAGAATTCCATGCAAGAACAGCATTCGATGCGGGCAATGCGGCAGGCAGTGCTAGCTTTCCGCTCCGCAGCCTATATGCACGACGCGGACACCCAGAACACCAGATACTCCATCTCTGATCCCGATGTGTACCATCAGGTGCTGGTCACTGGTTTGGAAATGGTGCCCAAGGTCCTGGCACACCATTTGCCGGTGAAGGAGACCGCATCGGGCAAAGTCAGAGTATCGCTCGATTCGAAGAAGTTCAAGACCCTGTCACCGCTCATCAAGTCCCATACCTATTCCATCCACCAGCTCCTTACTAGCCTGTCTGACGCGCCCACCCTGAAGTTGACTCTCTCGTCGATCGAGCCCATGCTGCCATACCTCCTACAGTTCCGGAAGCTACTCAAGGTGCTAGTCAAGACCGTGGTCGGCATTTGGTCGGATTATTCCAACACGGAAGCCACCCGGATTACGGCATTTCTCCTCCTACGTCGCCTGATGGTGATTGGAGATGCTGGGATCCGGGAAGCGGTCTTGAAAGCCACATACGAGGGTGTTGTCAAGGGAAGCCGCAACACGACGGTCCACACGCTTCCGGGAGTCAATCTGACGAAAAACTCGGCTGCAGAGATCTGGGGAATTGATCAGAATATTTCTTACACGACGGGCTTCACTTTCATCCGCCAACTGGCGATTCATCTCCGGGGAAGCATTACAAACCCGACTAAAGATTCTTACAAGACCATCTACAACTGGCAATATGTGCACTCGCTTGACTTCTGGTCCCGGGTGCTCTCGCAACATTGTGATGCCCTGACGGAGGCCAAGGCTGGGAAGCAATCTGCACTGCGACCACTTATCTATCCTGTGGTTCAGATTACCCTCGGTGCGATGCGCCTAATTCCCACGCCGCAGTATTTCCCACTCCGCTTCCAACTCACCCGTGCTCTACTGCGGATCTCTCGTACGACGGGCACCTACATCCCACTGGCTCCTGCGCTCTTGGAAGTGCTCAATTCGGCTGAGATGCGCAAGAAACCCAAGTCCAGCACCCTCAAGCCCCTCGATTTCAATACGAACATTCGTGCACCGAAATCATACCTCCGCACCCGCGTCTACCAAGATGGTGTCGGCGAGCAGGTCGCGGAACTGCTATCCGAATTCTTCGTCCTCTGGAGCAAGCACATTGCTTTCCCAGAATTGTCCCTCCCCGTCGTGGTGATGCTGAAGCGCTGGCTCAAGGAGGTGGTATCTCGTACGAGCGGGAACAAAAACGGCAAAGTCAATCAGATGATCCTGGTGCTCGTGCAAAAGATCGAGCTCAACTCGCGATGGATCGAGGAGCGGCGCTCCAAGGTTACGTTCGCGCCAAAAGATCGGGCTGAGGTGGAGTCTTTCCTGAAGGACACCGACTGGGAGACGACCCCACTCGGTGCGTTTGTCAAGACGCAGCGGAAGTTGCGTGAAGAGAGGGCGGCACTTATGGAAAAGGGTAGACAGGAGGAAGAGAAGCGGAGGAGGGAGAATGGAGACGAGGACGAACTGATGGAGGATGTGGTAAGTGACGACGAGGATGGCGAAGATGAGGTGGAGGAGGATTCTGACGATGACGACGAGGAGGACGAGGAGGAAGAGGACGATGAATAGTTCTGCCATGTGGCAGATTTAACTTAGGGTCGATATGTGCGGGCTTTCTACGTACTGCACATCTCATCTTTCGTACATTCCCTTTTTTTTTTAGATCATTTCTTGTATTGTATATGGTCCAAGGACTTGACTACTCTGGGGCACATAAAATTGATTTGACGTCCGTTTGTTTTCCTGAATTATCAACCACTGTACTCGGTAACACACCGGCTGTGCGTAGTAAACAAAAATGTTGTGCGACGATTTCATAGACTAGTACCTCTTTGGTCTAGAGTCTCTGCAGACAAGGGACATGTGATAATAATAGCATTTAATAGATTAATTAATATATCAACGGGGGAATATTGATAATTGTCATCGGCGAGACGATCATGCTTGGCCGGCGGGGCCGGATCCTGCCTCCCCAGCTAGGAAGCAGACTACACACCGCTTTCTTTTTTCATTCTTTCACAAAAAGGACCCAGCGCCCTGCTGTAAGAAGCTGCTGCGTCGAAACTCCTCTTCTCCTCCCTCCTATCACTTCATGAAATCCATTGACTCCATTCATCTCTGATTCTTCCTCTCTAACAATGTCTTGGATCTCTTGCGTGTGGGACCCTGAGACAATCGGGTCTTACGGGTAGATCTTGAGCGCGCGCCGTTGCCGAGAACGAAACAGTCGAGAGAGCAATTCGCAGCTTGCTCATCTGAACAGTCAAAGGGGACTGCTACTCTGGCTTTTTGTTGAATTATATTCTTTTTTTCTTTTTGCCTTTCGACAGGAAAGGGTGTAAGGATAATTCGATCTAAAAAAAAATTCATACAGTCCCCCACCACCTATCAGTATGGCTGGTAAGTTCCCATTTATTCAGTGATAAATCGCCCAAGTTATTAAACGCCTTCTGCACACTTGTATCTTATTATATATGATACTGTGTATATCCACCTGCTAATGTGATATGAGAAGGGTGGCGAACCTCTCTCTTCCGCAGCATGCGGAACGTGCTGCCTCCTCTCAACTTTCTCACCTTGCACTATATCTACTTCATCATGATGAGCCTCGTCTGGAGTGTAGTCTTCTGGGGCGCAGCAGAACCCTTTCGGAGCGTCAGCTACACGGACTCGTTGTTCCTGTGTATGAGTGCCATGACTGGAGCCGGATTAAATACGGTATGTCTTCTTTCCTTTCTGATTTGCGTTCGAGTCCTGCTTTTGATGGATCAATTACTCATATATGTTAGATAAATCTTTCCACTTTGACATCCTTTCAGCAGGCGATGCTCTTCGCCCTCATCCTCCTGGGATCCCCAATTCTGATATCGAGCACTGTGCTCTTTGTACGAAAGCGGGCTTTCGAGTCCAAATTCAAGGGCATTGTTGAGGAACATGTTGCCCGGAACAGTTCAACTCATGGTCACCAGCATAGTCTAAACTTGCCTCTCACAAGGCTCAGGAGGAAGTCACATTCTGTGACGACCAAAAGAGATGTCGAAGATGCACCTGGTGGCGCCGTTGCCTCAGGCTCACAGTCTGCCCCTTTCGAAATTCAACGGTCAACTCGTGATGGTGCAGAGAACACACAGTCGTCTCCCACGAGCCTTCCTCACGATGTTGATCAGATCAGATCTCTGGACGACGACCAGCTCACATTAAGTGTCTCTTTCCGAGAAAGAGCAAGACACCATCGAGTTTTCCCGATGGCGGGCGTTGGGGCTCATCCTGATCTGCATCATCCGAAGGATGCAGTCCCTAACTTGATGGTCGACAACAGGAGACCGTCACTCATCAAAAGCGCCATCAAAGGCACCCAGAAGTACTTTTCTTCAAAAGGATTCATCTCTCGAAATTCGCAGTTTGTTGGCCTGACCCCTGCCGAGCGTGAGAAGCTCGGCGGAGTGGAATACAAGGCGATCTCATTCTTGTCCGTTATTGTCCCATTGTACTTCATCTTGTTTAACATCCTCGGCATCATCGGTTGTGGGAGCTGGCTCGCCGTGAATCGCCCAAGTGTTGCACGAGTCAATGGCCTGGCGCCATTCTGGACGGGGGCATTCTTTGCTGTTTCGGCTTTCGGCAACAACGGCATGTCTCTTCTTGATCAGAACATGACTGTTTTACAGACCAGGTTTGCATGACTTCTACGCAAGACATGTAGAGATGGCTAACAGGGTATAACAGTTCCTATATGTTGATCACGATGGGGATGCTGATCCTCGCGGGAAACACGCTCTATCCATGTTTTCTTCGGTTTATCATTTGGACCATGCGATGTCTTTTGCCGAAGGGCCAGTCATGGCAGGAGTGGAAGACTGTCCTTGATTTTATCTTGGACCATCCTAGAAGGGTGTGTTGGGATTTTAGTCAGAAATATACCAACTAATATGAATATTCTAACTGGGTGATAGGTTTATACGCATCTCTTTCCGGCGCATCACACCTGGTATCTGTTAGGCACGATCATTATTTTGAATGGAATTGATTGGCTTGGCTTTGAGATCCTGTCTATCGGAAACAAAAGTCTCGAAAGTCTGGGATCTTATCGAGTTCTTGACGGACTGTTTCAGGCCCTAGGTTAGTTGATGATCTCTAAATCTTATAACAAACATCTTGCTGACGCAACTCAAGCCGTCCGCTCGGGAGGCTTCTATGTTGTTACGATTGCCGACCTGAAGCAGGGGTTGCTTGTTCTTTATGGTAAGTTTGCCTTGCCATCGCCAGGTTTTACATAGATCATTCAAACTGATTTTCGACAGTTCTTATGATGGTCAGTTGTTGCCTGATATGATATATGACCAAGTGAAAAGAATACTGACATCAGGACGACCAGTATGTGTCAGCATATCCCGTCCTAGTGACGATCAGGTTAGTTATTCTTTTTTCTGGCGCATTAAAAGCCGCGTTACTTACTATACCGTCCCAGAAACACAAACGTCTACGAAGAACGCTCTCTGGGCATCTACGCCAACGACAATCTGGCCGACGACCAAAGACGGCATGCGTCCCTAGGCAGCATATTCGACCATATCAAAGTCCTGCTCTTCCATTCATCTAAGACTCCGGCGGACAACGGGGGGCCCGTGCTGGGCTTTGACGAGAACAACCCCTCGCGCAGCTACTTTGTCCGGCAGCAGCTCCGCTCCCAACTCAGCCACGACATCTGGTGGATCTGCCTGGCGATCCTGGTCATCACGATCGCGGAGTCGTCGAATTATGAGCGCGACCCGGTCGCCTTCTCGACGTTCAACATCATCTTCGAGGTCGTGTCCGCCTACGGCTGCGTGGGCATCAGCGTCGGGCTGCCGGACCAGAACTACTCGTTTTCTGGCGGGTGGCACACCATCAGCAAGTTGGTTCTTGTAGCGGTCATGCTGAGGGGCCGACATCGCGGTCTGCCCGTCGCCATCGACAAGGCAGTCATGCTCCCGGATGAGGCGCTGGCGTGGGCTGAGGAGGAAGATGCCGCCCTGCGGCTGGAGCGGTCTATGACACGGGCTGCTGCTGTCAGATCT